AATACAGTATATTTTCAGGCATAGGCCTGACGCCAATTTTATATAATTTATTGTCGGGGGACAATCTCCCCCCCCCCGACAGTGGGCAATAGATATAATATATAAGATATGTTATACAGTCAGGGGACATTCTGCCCCCCCTGACAATGTGCAGCAAAAAACGCATATTACATATATGTATTCTTTAAATAATAGAAGAATTGCCCAGGTTAGTAGGCCTGGGCAATGTGCTTCATCATCCATGTGCCATATTTACACAATTACTAAAATATAGTTCCCCCTCTGTGGCGTCGACCTACCAACCAATCTGTTCATAACGCGACATCCACACTCGAATTTCCACGCGACACGCACACCGACGGCTCACCAAGCCGGAGGAGGGACCTGGAGACGCATCAGCACTGGTAAGAGCGTGTGTATAGTGCACGGCTTCCATTTACATAATAAAAAATACTAAAAATTATAAAACAAAAAAAAATTAACTCATATTCACTAATTCTCTCTGAGCCTGCGCCGTGTCATTTGCCTTAAAATATTTCAGCCGCGGGGACGGGGACGGAGGACATCCGTCCCCCCCCCCCGCGGCAGTCCACATTCCTGACAGCACGACAACAAAATAAATAATTAAAATAAAATAAGATATAGAATAAAAATGTAGTCCGTCATCTAAAAATATATCAGCCGCGGGCGCGACGGCGGAGCATATCCGCCGCCGCCCCCGCGGCAGTCAACATTCCAGAGGACGGACAAATAAATAAATACATGGATACAAATAAATAAATAAATAAATAAATAAATATAAATAAATAGATAGATAAATAGATAAAAATTAATAACTTATTTTTTGTTACAGGAACACCTCTCCGGCCGGTGGCCCTACGCGACATTCATACTCACGAACAATTATATCTCCGCCGCCTCGTCGGCTCGCGGGCCGGCCACACGGCGGCTAATCGCGCGCGGCGGCGAGACATCGGGTATGCCGCCATCAGCTCGGCGTGGAGGAGCCCTATACTGGCGGACGCCAGAGACGTGCTCCACGTCTAGATGTCCCTAGACCAGCGTATGGTGTCCGACACGATGAGCCTGCGCATCATGGACGCATACGTACTGCCGATACGCAGCAGTCTCAGCACTGGCTCATTGCGCGGATCTCAGGAGCCGAGCGCACCGACGACGAAGGCCGTCACGACGACACGGTACCCGAGTCGACCGAGCGCCTCCGCCAAGGGAGCGTACTTGGCGAGTTTACGCTCCCTAGCTTCCTCGAGCGCTATTGGCCGATTCTCGAATGGCACCGTGACATCGCATATGACGACACTCTTCGACGGCTCGTGCCTGATCACGAGATCAGGTCGTAGCTCGCCGAGTTCCCCATTGATGCCTTCGACCCGCCGGTTCACGGTCACGTTCCCTGGCAGACGGCAAGCCCTGCTGAGTCGGAGCAGGATCGAATCGTGACGCCACTGGATCGCAGCGGAGTGGGGTCCGCAATGACAGACCACATGAGGAAGGGTCTCGGACTCCGCCCCGCATCGCCGGCAACGTCTATCACCCTCTCCCCACCGACGTGCGCCGTTCAACGGCAACACGTCGAGACGAGCACGGTGGATAAAACGCCAATCAGCGAAGCGGGTGAAGCTGCCGCCCCGCATAAAGTGATTGCTCACCCGATGACGAGACGACACCTCGAACACCTTCCCCTGGTCTGGTTTCCGCGACAAGGTGGTATCATACCACTCCGCCACCGCAGCACGCAGGCGTCCGATCACCTGGGCACGAGCCCCAGGTGGGATCTTGGTGATCCTGCCCCGCAGACCGCGACATTGAAGGACGAGCTCGCGGCGCTCCTCGCTCCACAGCCACCGGATGGCGCAGCGATCCGACTGATGACGCGCGGCGTTCCGCGCTCTCGACCACAGGGAGCGCTCCCCTCCCCCCCTCAGTCCCCCCTCGAGTGACCCCGAGAGAAAGGCGGCGATCTGGTCGCAACCAGGGGGGTGGCCGATGCGGCGTGCAACCACTCCCCGCAGAGACGCCCAAGCCAGGTCCCTGACCGCGCGGACGTCCGCCGTCAGAAGACGAAAGACGTGCGCGACCGAGAGGACGTCGGCGAGGTCAGCTAGAGGAAGTAGCCCACATCCCCCCTTGCGAGGGGGCATGTAGACCACTTCGGCGCTCGCTCTCTGCGGGAGGTTGAGCCACATCTTACAGGACCTGCGGATCTGCAGGTCGAGCTCCTTGAGGGGGCCCTTCTCCACTGCGGCTCCCCGCAGCAAAATGTCGAGCCGCGGCAACAAAAAAGTCGCCACGGTCTCAGTCTTCTGCCACGGGGCGAGGAGGGAACGGTCGACCGACGCCAAGTCATCACGTAGCACCCTAATGGCAGCATGCGGAGTCTGGTTGACCCCGAAGCCCGTCGGTATGCCGAGCGGAGGGCGGGACTTCAGACGGATAGACGGCAGTTTCTCTGTGTGTGTGTGCCGACTACATTCTTACATAGAAACGTACGGCAATTGAAAATGTTTAAGCATATACCCTGAGATTCTATCTGTTGCGTATGACATGTGTGTGTGTGTGTGTGAGTGCGTATATGCACACGTACGTCACGCACACTTTCAATGCAACACATGCACACAGACACAACTACGCAAAAAAACGCCTGCCGGAGTATAAATAAATACTAACGTAACGCTGAAATATTTTGGAAAAATAATTTTGGGTACACACAAAATATTATCTTATTATCATATATTTATATATCGATATAAATCGTATATAATCTTCATGATATTAATCATATACAATCTCAATTCTTATTTTTTTGTGCATGTTAACATGTTAATTCATGTTACAAATGCATAACAATGCGCGAGACCGTGCTTGTCAAGTACGCTATTATGGTTGTAGCACGGACATAAACCGCCTGAAAGTGGATGTAGCACGGACAGCCACCAGATGCAGGTTTTACCGTCGAGATCTAAAAGTGGATGTAGCATCGTAGTTCCCCTCTCAAAATGGATGCAGATAGCGCCCATTCCCAGTGCGAAAAATCGGTGTCGCCGAAAACGCCGTGTTGGCCGCTGGCTCTCAGTTTCCTCTCTACTATTCGACACATGCCCATTTCTACCAACCTTGATTAACTTAACCGGTTAGTTATTCCAACGGAATTGACCAATCGCATTTGTCGTTAATTAGAATGATTAAATGCGATTGGTTCATTCCGATGGAATAACCAGTCGGTTAAATCAACCAAGGTTGGTAGAAATGGGCAACAGCACGATTGGACACAAAGGCTGCGTTCCGATATTCACTGCCAGCACTGAAATTCTATAGTATACGTGACACAAACTATGTATTTTCAGTACTCGTAGTAAATATTGGAACGCAGCCATAGTAAATGATTCGTTAGATCTAGTAATTCACCAGATAATACTTTTTGCGTCGGTTGATTGTGTGCAATCGTGCTGTGTCGAATTGGGTGCTTCCTGTAACTTTGCACAATTTCAACTGAAATAACTGGTTTGTTCTTCATGTTCTATTTCTTCTCACAGCGACTTCAGTTGGGATCCTACAAGGTTATTACAATAGTTAGTTGACCTGCAGCTTGGTAAAAGTGGCCCTTAGGATGTTTTTCAACAAGAGGAGCGAATGAGATCCGTTATTTTTTAAAGAAGTTGCTAAACTGATGCACATAAAGCCCGTTCACACAAGGACATAAAGCACATAAAAAACGCAAGTCGTAGAAATCCATCAATCATAGTCGAATGTTAAGAGAATATTCGACTGTGATTGGTGAATTCCTACAACTTGTGATTTTCCGTTCTGTGTCTTGCGACTAATGTAGACGATTATTTTTATCTGAAAATTTACGAAAGGCACAGATGATTATTCAGCACTAGCACAGTACCAAATCGCTAACTTGGTCGCTTTCAATTATGACACTTTATAACAAAATGGCTACTTCCACTAAAACTGCACATCACTTAGTGGTGTCTTCTCCTAAGATCTGTGACTACGAAGTGAGCACTGCAGATTAAATCGTATTATTCTATATTTTTAATATATCCGGACGATAAACAATTATATCGAATATCATATATACACGACACACGCATTTTGTCGACGTCGCCATTTTGTTGTAACATGTTATGGCTAGAAAGCCGACCGGACACGGTTCTTTTAACAAAATTAGAAAAAATAACACTTCTCCCGGAATTCTCCGCTCACTGAAAGTGCTTGAAAATTAATGTAATGATCCTGGAAATAAAAAAGCCAGATTTTATGCGGTTCACAAATTTAGTAAAATCTAAACTTGTTAGAATTGAATTTGATAGTATTCGTCGAAATACGTAAGGTGGCACCACCGTCGATTTTCCTTCCACCGGAAATGTAAAAAAAATTGCTTTATTTTCAAAATTACTCTACTTTTCAGTGGACGGAGAATTTCGAGAGTGGCATCATTTTCTTTGTCTCGACGAGTATTACCGAATGCAATGGTAAAAGTTCACAAATAGCATCTAGTTTAGATTTCACCAAATTTTATGGGATTTACAAATTTAACAAATTTAGTACTATGGATTACAGTAGAGGTAAAAGGTTGATTGAAGACCAATCATTATTAACGACGAGCTTATGCTTTTTTTCTTTAATATAGCACATAAGATAGATGAAATATAAAGTGAAACAATCTGCGGTAATATCGTTTTAGCGGGCGATGCGCGAGGCTCAGTTATTGAACATAAACAGTTTATTTCAGACAAATTTTTGATAATTTATTTTTAATAAGAAACGAAGGGAATATTTTTCTCGTGGAACACATAAACGCTCACGTCAAATCATGAATTGCATTTTTATATATGCGTGGAATGATTCTTTATGTATGCTTTTACACTTTTTAAATCTTCAACATAGGTTGCATCGACAGATACGATTCTAATTGTCACTACACTAACATTAGAAATATAGTATAAGGGATTTGTGTATATTGACGAAAAACGTAAGAAGTATATGTTTATTACAGTCGCACGTATAATCGACGAGATATTAGGTCATATTAGTTTCCTCTATGACAGTCTCGGTTGGTTTTCAGAATACGCGATTTATATCTGTAAAAAATGACTCGCGAATATCTATAAATCACGACAAGTATACACAAGTGAAAGCAACGTATTATGGTGTTGCCAAAAGATACTGTAATTGTATACTCGTAATATTTGAATGTGCAGTTTGATGTTGTAAATAAACCACAATGGTGGAATGGACTAAGAAATTAATTTATCGAAGGATCTATTGGCGTGCACAGCAATTATCACAATTATCTCTTCTGGAACTTTCGGATTGCGTGACTTAATTAAATCTTACGAATATGCGATAAATAATTAAAAAACTAGTATAAAAAATAAGTACCTGTAGGACAGAATAGGAATAAAAAAGATACGCACAATGTTGCTCCCGAGAAAATCATCAGTTTACATCTAAAGCTTGTGAAAAATAGCAGCTTAATAATATTAAAATAAAAAAGAAAGTAAAAGACAAATGCTACCTCTCACATACACACATACACACACAGCCTCGTGAGTTCTTGATTTTTACGACAAAAAGACACATTGTAGACTTCACCATTGGTAGTTACCTGAACACTGGATCTTTATATTACGTGTATAATTGGACCTGTGGCAACTAAAGCCGAGTGAACCAATGGAATAATGTAATTTTCTCATTTCGTGAGATATAAATCATAGGATATGTGAGCGGTAGACTGAAAAAAGTGATTTCGTATAACTAATAAGGAAACCCGCGACTGTGTCTCACTACGATTCTGATGCGCTTCGTTCACGTCGCATTCTAGCTCGAAAGCGACGCGTAACTTTTATAAGTCGTGCGCGTTTAGAAGAAGAAACGTCTTCGGTAAAAGTTTCAAAAGTACTTTTTGAAACCTTTTCATCAAAGTAAATTAAAATAAACCAAAGTAAATCAAGACGAAGATTATTCTACGCTGAATTCAACTTGCGCTTTCATGAAACAAGCACTTGTCTTCCATTTGGACTTAGATCACAATCTAGACGCATGAAAATCGGAAAGTGACACTCTCTGCTGAGCGGGTTTCCTGGTAAGGATAAAATACTAAAATTACTAAGTCTACATTCAAGCCACAAACACGTTGGACGAGTACAATCGCGTTCGTAATCACATAAGTGCGAAATTTCGATTAAAAAGAAAAAACAAAAGAAAAAGAAAAAGAAAGGAACAACCGATCCTTCCCTTCAGTTCGATGCGAACGCAAGAACATAACAAATCACCGATAAAAATATTTCAAATTAATCGACGCCGGTGGCGTACACTCGCTTGCGAAATGGCTCGAACTTGACTTTTCTTTCCGATGAAGTTGGGAGTATCGGATGTGTGTTATTCATGAGCTTGCGTGGCATTTCTTCACAATAGGAGCCAAGGCGATATATGATACATCCGATGTTGAAAAGCGAAAGATTCAGGAGAAACAACTTCGTTATATTCTTATCCATCGGATACGAATACGACGAAGGGCTAATTTTGGCACTGCGTATACCGACTCTCAAAAGTTTGAAAATTGTTTTCTTTTAGGAATTCCGTCTTCGGTCGTTCAACTCCGCCGGAAAAGAGAAATGCGTTCGAAGCGTTTCGCAAACGAGCGTACGCAATCTCGGAGAAACGATAGCTACACATACGTATACGTGTTACCGTACTTATTAGCATGTCACTGATTCAAATCGAGATTAGGTTGCGCACTTTCTTCTTTCGTGTTTATTACAGATATATTATGACAAGCGCATTAAAGGTAGCATATCCATTTATAATGCATGTAATACAAACTATCAATCCCAAATACGTCACGATGTCTATCTAAATGACTAATGGCTCGTGCACATACAATATATTATATATAATTGCTGTTAATGTCTACTGAAGTATCAAAGCGTGACGCCGTTATTCTCTGCATTCTCGTACTTCCGCCGGTATCGTTATCATATATCCGGGGTACGGAGCATGTCTCTCGGAGCGCTACGCCTACTTAGTAGAATGTATTCGAACTTCTTTTTCTCTTTTTTTTTTTTTCAAATTTTTCTTTACGCAATGTCGTTTGCTCGTGCCGTTTCCTCGCGATGATCCGATCGCGCAGAGAGAATTATACAAAAATGAGAGGAAATACGAATCGCCAGGGTTATCTTCACCGAATATAAAATCACAATCGCGCACGCGCGCGCGCGCCATCAACTTCTGTATTTTCGTACTGGCAAACGCACTTGTGCTCTTCTAACGAGTCTGTGTCCTTGTCGAAGCATAATATTCATAGAACTTGCGTTTTCGTGAATAAAGTGTAAGATGCGAAAGCATGTGTTCTCTCTTTGTATGGGTGGAAGACGCGAATCGAAGATAAGCGTTTTCAACGACAGGACTCTGTCCCGAGCGGATCCGGAGAGTAACGTGTGAACGTATATGAAAAATCCCAAGATCAACGTCGCGAAGCTTTTCTTCGTTTGCGTCACTACTGCCTCGTGTAATTTGTAATCCCATGCTTGTTACTTTTTTTTTTGGTTTTTTCTTTCTTTAGCCCCAAGTACGTTTATAAGGAAATGCAATAACGATGAAGGTAAAAGACACTAAAGGCGCAAAAGCCTTATCTTCTCTTCGACACTGGAGATGCAGAAGCATTATACGATAATCGTTCATTCCTCCTTCTCAGCTTTCTCAACGTCTTGCTTCTCTTCGCCTTCCGTGGGGATGCCGCCCTCGAATTTCGGGCCCGGTGTTTCGTCGCCCTCCAGGACGATCTCCTCTGGGTCAGGCGCGCGCGGCAAAAAGTCCTCGTCCGGATACATTGCCTTAAAGATACTCTTGGCCTGGAATAGGCAAAAGGACATACATAATAGGATTGTACAAAAGTTACCAAAGCAGTGATGTTTCATCCTAATCATGCAAGTTACGTCTGTTTATATAGATCACAAAAGGAAAAAAATTAGGAAATTATTTAATAATAATTAAATAAAATATTGAAATACACCTGAAATAAATTTTTCTACATGAGATTTTCGAAAATAATTAGCTGATTTTTTAAATAAAATTTTAGGGAACGATTAACTAATTTTTTTTATAACTAAATTATTTAAATAAAAATTTAATTCAAAATAAAATTTTATAGGAGTAATCATTTACAGTTAATTCCTCAAAGTAAAATTTCCAGAAATTGGTTAAATGTTTCAGTAAGATTTTAGGAAATAATTTGTTAATTCTGTTTAACAAATGATCATCACGTTGGCACACCTGGTTCACCGCAAAGTCGAAATCAAGTTCCAGATCCGGTCCAGAGCATAGGTGTATGTTATTGGGCGCCGAGTCGCTTAACTTAATGTCGCTCGCGGGTAAATTCAAGTACAGAGACCACAGCACTTGCGGTATCGGGTACTCCGTTTCTTCCTTCTCCTGATTATCACCATCCTGGTGCAATTAGTCGAGAGAATTCGATTTAGAGATACGCGCTTTCGGTCATAATTCAATCTGGAGGAGGTTTCGTTACCTGAAGATGCCGTTTATCGGGAGATACCGTTTGAGTATGGGAGTCAGAAGAACTACGTGCGGCATTGGGATCAAGCGGCTCAGCTCTCAGGAACTTGTCCACAACATACGCTAGATCTTCCTTCGCGTTCTTGGTACGTTTGCATGTCATGTGAACCATAACTGAAGAACAGGACAGTGGGGGACATTCGAATCAACCGACTTTTACGCGTACAGGATATTTCTTAATTAACGCCCACAAGTCACACAGTGTTACGTAACAATTTTTTCTGCGATGCTCAATGAAACAATGATTATTAGATAAAATCTAGTCAATTAGTGCAGTCTCTTAAATGAGTGTACGTGTGTACGCGTGAACATGCATTTTTGTTCTAAGAATTATTGCTTCATGAAGTATCGCAGAAAGGAGATGTGTCGAGATTTCTCGACTTGATCCTTTCCGCCTTTAACCTTCATCTGATTTGACCTTTTCGATCTTTGATAAAAGAAATGCAATGTTATATAGTCCATTGTGTAAGAAAAAAACATCCCGTACATTTTCACGAGTGTTATACGTACACAATCCTTGGGGACAAGCATTGGTGGATGGTCCCAATTCAATAATAGTAACTGGTTCTTGGCCTGCTTCTTCCGGCGGATAATACAAAAGTGTTAGACTCTCCTTCTCGCCTTGCATAATCGATCTGTGAGAACGAGAGAGTCCTTATGATAACGCTGTGCACGATACAGACATCAAGACCATGTCACGTGAGCCGTGCGAAACGCAAGCAATACCTGTCAGTGATGAAAATCCCGCGTGAGATTTGGTTCTCCCCTTCGGAGGCTACGATTTCCGGCGGCAAGTGCCCTTGCCCTACGACTAAATGCTCCAAGGCCAATCTCTGCTTGCCAGTGATGATAGCTTTGCACTTCTCCCCGTTGACTACCACGCCGTCCAGCTGTCTTTTCAGGCAATAAACCCCGCCGAAAACCGCACATAATCTAGCAAGGGAGAAAGAGAGAAGAAAGCGAGAGGTGAAGACCGATTATTTCGAGGAAACTGCAGGATTTCCATGCGTTCCCGTATTCGGGGCGTACCGGCAAAAGCATTGAGGCAGTTCACCGCTTCCGTACATAGGCCATAAGAAGGGCGTATTACCGTAGCGTCCAAGGCTATTCAGAAAGTGCTTCGTGCGATTAACACCGTCCCTGCACGTCGTTTTGTCTGTTGCCATCGCGATGGCTTGCACAACGTAATGTTGCACTATAGGCGTCAGATTTTTCGTGTTGAGATACTCTATGAACGTTTTATCACGGAAACCTGAAACCGGTCGGGTCGTCTTTAACTCCTACTGTAAAATCGAGCTGAGAGAAGGTCGAAAATGCCACGATATGGCGTCACGTACCATCGAACTCTGGACTGTCAGCACCTTGCTCCATGCAAGATGTCAGAAGCTGCATCAGCATTCTCTTCTCGACCACGCTGACGGTCTTGTTAGCGAATACATCGGCTCGAGAACAAGGGACCTGCGTGAGTTTACCGTCCATGAACGTAGCGACCCTGGAGACCGCGCGGAATTCGGCGTAACGCGCAATATTGCTAGAGATCAATAGTTCCACTAATTCGCCACGAGCGAACAATAGCTGCAACAGAAACCATACGTCAAGGATGCACACGTAGCGAGTGCAATAAGTGACGGTGAGGTGTTTACAAGGACAGCGATAGCTCACTTTAGGTGCCAGATCGATATTAAATCTTCTATATTCCTTTTTTATACGGTCTATGCTCCATTGTTTCACATTCTCTTTCTTATCAGCCTTGTCCTGATCAGTCTTTTCCGCACCGTCGATGGCACCGCTATCCCCAGAACTTTCGGTCTGGGTATCTTTCGAGGAAACCACAGGTAAATCCGCATCGCTGTATACAGGGGGGAAAACAATGAGAATATACAGGGTAATTTTTCAGATTGTCAGACAGTCAACACACATCTCAATCCTTACTTGGAAATGTACCAAGTTTCTCCGATGTTCTCGACAGTGGAATATTGATCACTAGCTTTCAAGAATTTTTCACCGTCCTCTAAATCAACATTCGTATTTCTAGTGTTGTTCTTAGCCGTTTTCAGGTCTTCTATCCATTTTTGCAATCCATCAAAATTAAATGTAGCCCAAAGACCTCCGTAATATTCATTGCTAAATGCAAATAAGCAGAGATTATATGAAGCAACCCATGAATCTCTAATCTTCTTACAAAATATCTAACAATTTTAATTGTAATCACACTGAAATATATCATATGTGCAAGGAGATTTGTGATTAATGGCATATTGATTAGTATATATTGATGCAGTATTATATCATATAATTCTGACATCTTTTATTATTTAACAAAATACCATATGGACCCATAGACTGTACCTGCACGATGACCTAAAGTCAGTTTACTACATACATCATCTAAGTTTGCACAACCAGTATAAAACTGATTTGACAAGTTCTGCCGTCGTAATCACTGTTGTTACATATTGTATATACAGTTATACAGTTCACAAATGAATGGTGATACAAATGATAATAATTATACAACATGTAACACCGAAAGTCATTGGGAACGGACCGAGAGCGATCAAGTCAGTTTTAGCATGCCCAAATCACAGGAGCAACTAAACCGACTTTTCAGACTACCGTGTAGGAAATGGTCTACAATAATGTCAGTTACATATGGGATTGCAGCTGATTAATGGCATGTCAGTGCAGGAAGTAGGAGAAAGTCGCGCCGGCCGGGCACCTGGGTATTACCTGTCCAGGTGCAGAACTTTCTTGCCGATCCTGCTTGCCGCCGCGGCGACGATGGACTCGGTCATACCTGTCGGGAATCATCATAGCAAGCAATGTCGGGTTACTGGCGAGAATTCGCCGCGGCCGAACACAACGCGCGGCATCGTTTTGATAAAAATCAATACCTGTGCCTACGACGACCACATCGTACTCGGTCGGCAGATCGTCCTCCATGGTTGTCTCCTCCCCCAGCTGTCTCCTCCTTGGTCTCGGCGAAACGATTTCACAACGAAGTAGCGCGCTCGTGTTAGACTTACAATTACACACCAGTCGTGCGACGTCGCGGTCAATTCCGGCCCATCAATTCATCTTCCTCGGCGGTCGGATATCAGTGTCGAAATTCGCGTAAAAGTCGGGCCCCACCCCGAGCACAAGCTTTCACTCCGACTCTCGTGCGCACGGGCCTTCACCCCTTTTTGTTCCAAGTTTGACAGAACAGAGTAATACACCATGCAGAGCCCGATCGCTCGCTCGGGCGGCCTGCGTGGCGCCATCTAGCGGTGTCGCTAGAAGGGAAAATCTGCGTCGCTTTTACCCGTTATAACGTTAAACTCGTCACTTTTATTAGTTCCGAGGTCTCCACTACGAGTTGTCATCTGTTCTATTTTTCTTATCAGCCTTTATCTTTGTTTATGGGCTGTTGCGAGTCTCGTTTATTGAGACAGGCTGATGAACGGATGTGTGATGTTGAGCAGCGTAGTTTTAACGGCAGATGGAGATTGTAATTGTCTTACAACAAATGAGGAGGCGGAAAAATTAAATGGGATAATGGAGCAAGATAATACATGAAGAGAGGAAAGATAAAAACATAGATAAGAGATAAAAACAAGAAATCAACAAATTTGAATTTGATGTTTGCAAGTAAAGATATAATAAGAGAAGCAATAGGATCCGTAACTGAAGAATTAATTGAAAGATTCACAAGGATAGATCAAATTCAATCGAAGATGAAAGAATGAATGCAGAGGAATTTCAACGACTAACAGGAATACAGAAATATAAAGAAATATATACTAACCTAAGAGAAACAATCAGAGAAGTGATAGAAAAAATGAAGATGAAGTGTAGAGACCAAGTAGAACAGGGAAGGAGAAAACAGAGAAATATAGAAAAAAAAAACAGAAATAGAAAGAATAGAATTTATAAAAACTTATATGAATATTTATATAAATATACAATGGCAGCCAGAGAAATATATTCTAAAATCAAGAAGAAAAAGAATAAGATAATAATATTCTTACGGGTACCAATACGTAAAGGTATAAGAAGTAATAAGATAGAAGACCAATTAGTAAAAATAAAAACAAAAGAAGAAGCAGTTAGTAAACTTAAAATATCATATGTAAATCGGAGAGAAAAAATCCAGAGAAAGAATATAGAAAAAGATCAATGGAACAGGATGTAAAGAAAAAGAAGAAATACTTTGAAAATTTCTTTGATAAAGAGACAAAACAATCATAGCAAGGGGAAAATAACAATATAGTACAATAATAAACAAGAGAGGTAAGAGCTGAACATTATGACCTTAATAAATTATTGGAACAAAAGAGATTTATAAATACAATGAAGTGTGATTGTAGAACTGAAAAAGAAAACATTAATCATCTGATATATAATCATAGGAAATACAAAGAAGAGAGAATTTATTTTTAGAAAAATTGAAAAAGATAGGACAGAAAGAATTGACAGAAAGAGTTTGACATTGATGGAGTGATTCAGATCAGCAATTGGGATACTTTACATATAATGTTTCAGTTCTTAAAAAGACATTCAATAGAAAGAGGAAAAAGAAATACTAATTTTATAGAAAACCAGAAGAAGGAACAAGTGTGTCAAATAGTTGCAAATATCAATAGGCTAAAAACACTGACTAACCAAAAAGTATGTATTTTATATATATAGATATAGATTAGCCATTGATAAACAGTCATATTATCTAGAAACATTAAATATTATATTGCATCAATTTTACTGTTATCTAGATAGATAATATTTTTTTATAAGCAATTTGCAGCGATGACTACTGCAGATAACAACAATCAAGAGATTGAAACTCATATAACGAGAATTAAAAATTTTTATTCCATTTCTCAGTAGAAAAACTATTAGCAAATTACCTGAATGCTATGATAGAAATAACAGAAATTCTTAACTTTGTATGTAAGGTTCATTCTCAATTCCTAGATCAACCGAAAATATTACAAATGATTCTTAGAAAAGGAAAGGACTGAAATGAAAATATCTTTATGCTTAATTAATCAACTTTCTAAAATGCATTTAAAGAAATTAAATAGTAATTACATAATAAAAATAAATAGGTAAAGTAATTAAATAGTAAAGAATATTTTCAACAAGTAGATAGACATAAAGAAACAATATATAAAAAAGATAAGATAAATTTAAGCAGAAATAAACTTTGTTTACAGTTTTAGTAAGTTTGGAAAAGTTCAAAGTCATAAATTTTTAATTATGGGAGATAGAAGTATGATTTTAACATTATTTTTGTGACAAAGAGAAGTAATATAGACTTTGTCTATGATTCTGCAATGTATATAAAATAGATAAGTAGAAGAGATAAGATAGGATATAACAATCATATTAAAGAAAGCCAGTACTGATTGTCAAAGCTATTCTGCAAATAGTGTACAAAGTGAAGACATTGGCAAAGGAACATTTATCATGGATACGACAAAAGCTTGCTATCTTCAGAGTTCCACAATTCGGGAAAAAAGCAAGAATACGAATAAAGAAAAATCTTTTGTAGAATTGTACAGAGCTCATGATTCAGAAAAGTCCAGAAAAGAAGCTCAAGAAGAAATTATACGAATAATGAGAGATTATGGATATAATGTTGTAAAACCTGAAAAATTTGCACAAAAATATAATCTCTCGGCGCCTTACCACTTATTCTTCACTACAGTCGAAGAATCAAAGGAGACTCACAATCAACCATTCTCTGTAACATTTCCTGAGATTCTCGATAAAAGTCTTGGGGAGATAGTCAATAGCCTTCACCTGACTTTCATAGTAGACGTCGAATGGCTGTGTTTACAATATGCGTTGGCTGGTCAACGTACTGACATGACCATTCTATACCACAATAGGAGAGATGACACAGATTTAAGCGACAACATTAGCATTATGCCGGTGTATGAAGCGGAGCTGGTGTTTAATTCCGAAACCCACCATACTAAGATCATGATTTTGCAGTACAAAGACGACGGGATCAGGGTGGTCGTCTCCACCGCTAATTTATATTCTAACGACTGGGAGAATAGGACACAAGGGTCTGTACAAAATCAAGCATTATTCAATTGAATTTCTTACAAGTTTCCTTTGTTAGTTTTAATCTTTATTGCTAATTGCCCAGTTTTGCTGTTGAATATCGGAAGATACTTTTTGTCGTTTATGGCTAATTTAATTCTATCCTCCAATAATAGATTGTGGATTTCGCCTCATTTACCTCGACTGCCGGAATTGGCGAGTTCCAGTGACGGTGAGTCACCAACGAATTTCAAACAGGACTTCAAGCGATATCTGAGCAGATACTGGAATCCTGCTTTAAAGCAATGGATGGATGTAGTGAGTAAGGCGGACTTCTCTGCCGTAAACGTGTGTTTCGTTGCATCCGTTCCTGGGAATTATACACATTTCAATGCAGATTATTGGGGACACCGAAAATTAGCACGGGTCCTGTTTCAACATACGACACTACCGCCAGATGCGCCACAGTGGTCTATAATCGCTCAGAGTTCCAGCATTGGCAACCTCGGTCCGAACTACGAGAGCTGGTTATCGAAGGAGATAGTTTTGTCTATGTCACAGGAAACCATGCAGATGACAAATAGATATCCGAAATTTCAGTATATTTATCCGTCGGTGGAGAATTATGAGCGGAGCTTTGATTTTCGAAATTCAATCTCGTGCTTTTATTATACCGCGGAAAGACATTCCAAACAGCAATGGATAGAACCGTTCTTACAGTGAGCTTTGTTTGGTTCTTATACAAATAATGAAAAAGTTGCTTTTTTAATAGTAACATTATTTTTCTTTTTTATGACTGGATAGTTGCTTGCTACTTGTTGACAAAAAGTAACCATTACCGTGACATATTTCGAAAAATAACTTGGTACCGTAATTGTTACTCAGGAAGTGTCAGGTCGTTACAATTCCTGTCATTCTATTTTCCGTTCATTCTATTTCATGTCCAAGTTTTAAAAACTCATTTTTTGAGGGCCGCCACTCTATATAGATTTTATATATGTAAAATGTGTGAAAATAAAATATGTGATTATATTCATTACCGTTATTCAGAAAATAGATATAATTGCATTAGAATGAAAAATAATGCTGGTACCAGGTCATTGATGAAGAAATATAACTTCTAATGGTTTTACAAGTAACTTGTTACTTTCCAACCTTGTGCTTTTGGGAACGGCATGTTGTTTCTATAGAATTTTATGATTATATGTAGTCAATGGAAGGCGACCAGAACAGGACGAGACCGAGCGATGCCTCATATTAAGTCCTACATGAGGATTTCGCCAGACTTGAAAAGAATATCTTGGTTCATGCTGACCAGCGCGAATCTCAGCAAAAGCGCATGGGGAGTCAAGCGAAGCACCTATTCTATAACAAATTATGAGGCCGGTGTTGTGTTTCTACCAAAGTTCATTGTAAGTACCATTATCGACACGCTTGGCAATAATGGATAATTTATTAATGGAGATTCTACGATAGATGTCATAAATCATATTCGATTATTCTCGTAATAATCATCTGTGATTGGTCATTTCTTACGGCTTACGATTAATATCGTATAATAATCGTCTAAAATGGTTATTTATTGAAACCTAATGAGCATATTACTGTCAAGTTTGTTATCATTAATATTATTATTCTTAATGTTATTCCAACCACGATTGTATTTGTATATTCAGACTGGGGCAACAACATTTCCAATCACATACGAGGAAGATTCAGTTGAGCCAATATTTCCGATTCCATATGATCTTCCATTGTGCCCATATGACTCGAGCGATAGTCCTCTATTTATACGACCTCGTTTTCGCGAGTAAGAAGTGATTTTTCAGCTGACGCTACCAGTGTCTTTTCTTACAAACGATGAAGTATTTTTGTATGATGAATAAGAATTAGTGGATTCATAAAAAATTAGTAAATAAATTTACATTATATATGTATTGTATATATTTCAAAATATATTGTATTATGTATTAAATTAATTGTATTAAATTATGTATTAAATTAATTATTGTATTATATATTATACTACACGTATTATACATTTTGCTGTTTTTTACAGCATTTAAACACATATAACAATAAACGTCCCTAACAGCATTGATGTCCAGAGGACGTCCATAGTACGTCTTGAGGACATCCTGGAAATGTTTCTTCATCCTCAAGACGTCCTTAAGACGTCCCCAGGGGAACGTGTGCTGCCTGGGGTTAATATTTGCATTCCATATTGCAATCTTTTGCTTGAGAAAATTATAGCTCACAGAAATAAGAGTAATCCCAGCAAACACAATATTATATGTACACATGTGTTATATAACAGTTATATTGTTGAGTAGGAAATTACAACTAACATGCACGTTACATGTAATATTGTGTTTGCTGGGAATATATACAACAACATTGCAAGTTGCTTATATATCTTGGATATTTTTTTTATATTCTCTATCTCAAGGCCTGTTAGGTTTCTTTGACATTACAAAACTTTGTTTAGAGCTAAAAAGTATTATCTATTACAATTACTTATTGAGTATTAATTATTTATTAAATGTTATTAAATGTTAGTATCATCTTGTCCGTGTCCGAGTACAATCGGACACGGTAATACTAACACTTAATAAATTGATTAAAGATTGCGACATTTTATGTTTTCGTCGAGGAAAAATATGACAATTTTGAATTAACAAGCTCTATACGGCGAAATATTTTATTTCCTTTACTTAAAATAATAAATTGTGCTTTAGAAAGTTCTATATAACATGTGATGTTTCTTGTTCATTTCAATATCGTGTTGAATTTGTTCCGAATTTCATAAGATCATATAATTCGCTACGCGAAAACGAAACGACCGCCAGTACGCCAGTTCGACGGCTTATCTAGCGCCATCTTACAACACCCTGGAAAACTTGTCTTTGTTTTGATTTGTACGAGATTCGTTTATTATTTCGTTCCAAAGTCTACGCTACGAGTCATCCGTTCTATTGTTTACATCAGTCTTTACTTTTATTTATTGGCTGTTATATTGAACACTGTACTATCGTATAAAATAATTAAAGACAAAATTGCATATTGTATCATTCATTGTGTTATTATCAGCTAACAAAAATGTTTTGCTTGTAAACAATTCACACAACTGCTGCAACAAGTATTTTATTTTTATCAATGAGCACTTTAGGTAGCAATTTTATATCATGAATATTATATGTTGAACTTTTGCGTTTTATAATACTTCTGAAAGATAAATATAAAGATTATTATTTGATATTACAGCAGACAAATGTCCCTCTATGAAAAAAAATTACAGGAAAAATCTGATTCACTTTACTAAAATGTCATCTTATTATTGTAAGTATCTGCTTGTTAACTTCCATTATAGCATCTGATTAATACAATCTGGATTTATGGTCTTTATTGTTTTTTTAGTGATGGAAGTGTTGGCAAATCAACTGGATAACATGATAGAAATATCAGAAGTTTTTAATTTTACATGTAATAATCATTCTCCATTGTTAGATCAATTGAAAGCATTGAAAATGATTCTTAAAAAAGAGAGGGACAAAAAAGATATAATCATATATAGATAACAAATAATCAACTTTCTAAAGCACAACCTTTATTTTAATTAAAGAAAATTATAATAAAGAACATTAAGCAAAAAACATTGGTAAGAAGAAATAGATGGATATAAAAAATCTACAGTACAAAAAAGACAAGATAAGCTTAAGCAAAATGATGCAAGAACTTTATTTAGAGTTTTAAATAATGAAGGAATATAAGAATTTTAAAATTATTGAAGTTAGTAAAGAGAATTGGAACTTTTAAGTTATGAAAGATAAGTGTAATGAATATAACATTTTTACGGATAACAAAGAAAAGATAGATTTTGCCTGCAGGTAGTCTTATAATGAAAACAATGAAATATGATATATATATATATAAAAGAGATAAGTGCAAGAGATAAGATAGGATATAATAATCACACTAAAGAAAGCCTGTAGATCAGTTGTGGACAGTTGTGTCAAAGCGGTAGACAAAGTGAAAGTTTCAAGGATTCAAAGGAACATCCATCATAGACATGGCAGAAGCTTGCTCTTCTCAGAACAATTCCAGAAACAGGAAGCAAAGCAAAAGTACCAGCAGAAAGAACTTCTACATGAAAACATATCGAACGTATAATTCCAAACCTAGAAACTTCAGAAAAAAACCTAGAGAGAAAATTATCCAGGAAATGAGAGATTTTGGGTATAATATTGTGGAACCAGGAAAATTTGCAGAAAAATACGCTCTGTCGTTACCTTATCATATATTTTTCACAAGAATTGATGAATCGCGTAAAACTTACAATCAACAATTCTCCATAACATTTCCTGAGATTCTGGACATTAGTTTTGGGGAGATAGTCAACAGTCTTCATTTGACTTATAAATTAGATGTTGAATGGCTGTGTTTGCAATATCTGTTGGCTGGCCAAAGTACTAACATGACGATTCTGTATGGCGAAAGAAGAGATGAAGAAGAATTAGATGACAATATCACTGCGATACATATGAAGATGCCATTTGAATTCGGATGCCATCATTCCAAGATTATGATTTTGCAGTACAAGGACAATGGGATCAGAGTGGTTGTCTCTACAGCTAATTTGTTCTTTGAGGACTGGCAGAATAGTACACAAGGGTCTGTTTCAAGTCGGCTATTATTCGGGCGAATTTTTCTCAAGTTTACTTCGTTAATCTTAAATAGAATTACTAATTATATCCAGTTTCGTAAATCTCTTGAATATCAGAAGATTCTTTGTCGTTTACAACCAATTTATGCTTATTTTTCCTCAATCATAGAATATGGATTTCGCCTCATTTACCTCGACTATCGAAGGCTGCGAAACACAACGGAGAGTCACTGACAAATTTTAAAAAAGACCTGCAACGATATCTAAGCAGCTATCGGAATCCTGCTTTAAAGCGATGGAGGAAGCTAGTGAAGAAGACGGACTTTTCCGCCATAAATGTGTGTCTCATTGCGTCCATACCGGGGCATTTCGAACATACCGTAGATTTATGGGGATACAAAAAATTGGCAAATGTTCTGTCTCAACATGTCACGCTGCCGCCGGATGCGCTGAAGTGGTCTATAATTGCACAAAGTTCTGCTGTAGGCAGTTTCGGTCCGAAATACGGGAGTTGGTTATCAAAAGAGATAGTTTGGTCCATGACGCGGGAAACCGAGCGGGATTTAAACAACTATCCGAAATTCCAGTTTATTTATCCATCGGTGAAGAATTATGAGCAGAGCTTCGATTATCAAAATGGCACCTCTTGCTTTTCCTATAGCAGAGAAGTACATTCCAAACAGCAGTGGATCAAATCATACTTATAGTAAGCTTAATTTGTTTCTTTCAACAAGTATTAAAAAAGATAGTCTTAAAAAGTAACTCGTTACTCCGAACACACAGTGCACAATATAATTTTACATATCTTGAAAAACTTATCATTTTTGTTTTCCAAGATGTAACAATTTATTACAATTTTCGTTATCAGGTCCTGAGAACTTTTATTTTTTTATGATTCTCAGTTTACATATGTAAATTTCATATGTGTAAAATAATTCTAAACACACACAATTGTATTTGTTATTGTTATCCAAAAAATTTACCAGTAACATAAATCATAATGAAGAAACGTAATATTAACAAACAAAATATTACTGAGAAAGTACTTCATAGAGGTAACTATGTTATGAATAACTTGTTACTTATCAACTATGTTTCTTAATTTTGCATTTTGAAAGCGACACATGATTTCTATAGATAAAATTTTATGATTATATCCAGCCAGTGGAAGGCGGCAAGAACGGAACGCGACCAAGCGATGCCTCATATTAAATCCTACACTAGGATTTCATCTGACTTGAAAAGAATTGCATGGTTTGTACTGACCAGTGCGAATCTCAGCAAAGGTGCGTGGGGAGTCCAACGGGAAGATGATTATTACATCACGAATTACGAGGTCGGCATTGCGTTTCTACCAAAGTTTATCGTAAGTGTCATCATTGTTACTTGATTGTAAATTTGACAATAGATGAATAACTTATTAAATATGCTTCGTATCTTTATACTCATTAAAATGTAGAAGATATAACATGCATATTAATGTCAATCTTACTATCAATAATATTTATAATATTATATCAAACATGTTTCTATTCAGACTAGGATAACAACATTTCCAATCACGGATGAGGATCTGACCAACTCGATATTTCCGATTCCATATGATCTTCCACTGTGCCCATACGACTCGAGTGATAGTCCTCTTATCACACGAGAGTTTCTTAACGAGTAAGACTGTGATGCCTTTCCTCTAAAGCCACCAGTGCTTTCCTTCATATAAATGGTAGAGTATTTTTATGTGAAAAAAGAGCTCACCGCAAAGAAATTGCGAATGAATTCATACTTATTTTTGTGCAATATATTTTGTACTTATATATATATTTGTATTATGTATATTATTTTATTTTTTATATTGTTTTATACATTGGGGAACAATAAACGTTTATACTTATATTGCAAATGTGAATCTCGTCCTTGAGAGAATTGTGCCCAGCAGAAATGAGTAATATGTTGAACAACATAAATGTTGAAAAAAGAAAGAAACGTATATATACATGTAGTACGCACACGCATACAAACGGGAAAGGGCAAAGAAGCGAGTAAAGTAAATTTGCGCGAAAATTTTTGAATAACACAATTTTCTTTTGTTTACCACGATATCACGTTGAATTCATTTCGAATTATTCCGAATTTGACAGCTTGTATCGCGTAGAAACGTCAACTTGGGTGGCTTATCTGGCGTCATTTGGCGGTGTTGTAGAAAGATCAGTTTCGGTTAGACACGTTATATGTTTAAGCTCGTTATTTTTATTAGTTTCGACTTCTCGGCTACAAATTATCATGTGCTCTACATTTCCATCAAAATCTTTTATCACTAAATTAGAATTCTAACATATTGTTTTGTTTTGTTCTGAAAGCGTGAGTATGCGGAGCGTGGACATAAAATTGATAATCGTATCAGCTGCTGCGAGGGGAAGCACAACTATATAAAAATATCAAAAATAAAATTATATTATTTGTAACAGAAAAGAAGGAACATCTCCCCCGACACTACCATATCGGCGATGACCATCAATCGCCGCTAGGGTTGCCAGATGGCCAGGAATGTCCCGGAAATTTTAAGCTTCTTCCGTGTCTAGGAATTTAAGTTTTCTGTCCTGGAAAATCAGAATTTCAACAAAATAATCAAAACATTCATGTTTCTAATTGGTACCAGAGAGAAACCTGAGAACGGTCACCGCGATTTAAAGGGTCGAAGTTTTCCATCTAAGAAAATTGATGTCAACTAAACTATTCACGTGATAAAAAATACAATCGCACTGTTCATGTCCAAACTTCTGTCTGCTGATATCTAATTCACGCATTTATTTGTTGCGGTTCACAGCGGCATCTCTTAGCCGTCTTACCCCTCTATCCCTTCAATTGAACTAAAATTCTCTAACAAGCTATTTTTCAACCGTCGCCTAAAAAATGTCCCGTAGTCATTTCGCATCTGGCAACCCTAGTCGCCGCACGGTCGAAGGCCGCCGCAAACCCCTTCACACTGAACCCCTTCACCAGAAATTTGTACCGCGGCATCCAGGTCGTAGCGGCCGAATCTTGGCGCCGTCTCACCGACGGAGAGACGGAGTTCCCCCTGCCGTTTATTAAAGGGTTAAGATAACGAATCACATGCTTTTGATTTCGCGGAAATCAGGGGAATCCCGATTGTACTCCGATTATCACTGAACAGTAGCAATCCACAGATATATAGCTCGTTCGCTCGTCGAGCAGAGCGGAGCAGAGTTTTCTCGGGGCAGATCTCCAGAACAGCAGCAGCGAGAGTAGCAGCAGCACAAGTACCGAGCAATCCGAGGAAGAGCACCAGGAGACCGCCAGCAGGGGACTTAACACCGGGAAGCTGTCGTGAGTATCGAACTACGCTGAACGTGGCCAGCCAGTGAATTTTTCCAACACCGATCGTACCATATACCGGGAAAAATCTACGGGTCCTGGCGGTACACGCACAAGCGGCAAGCCATCTCACGACAGAATTCTCCGTGGCACTTAATCTCTGCGACCATTCACGCGCCGAAATCTTAGAAATCGCGCCTCTTGATCAATTCTGCCTCGTCTATTCGGCATTCGGTGAGTCGGTAGCAGTCAGCCACCGTTTCGGCGAAATTTCTAAGTGTTCGTCCATTTGTCTGACAAGAGAAACCTCCAGACTGTTACTTCACCGGTCAGATTAGATTATATATTAAATCGTTCTACTGATCATCCTTAATAACGTGACACTACTCGCTACTTCCGGAAAAAGCTAGTATAGGCTATAGAGTGCTTCAAAGGAGGTTGGAGATGATTTCGTAAAATTACGGACAACTATGGGGTTGAATGTTGCTTTAATTCTTTCTTCTTTGTTTCTTCTTTCATTTTGATAATATACTAATCAATGCGTGTCGAATGATATCCCATTCAACCCCAAAGTTGTCCGTAATTACGAAATCACCCCCAAACTGTGAAGCGCTCTGTAGCCTATACTAGCTTTTTCCGAAAGTAGAGAATAGTACCACATTATTAAGGATAATCAGTAGAACAATTTAATATATAATCTAACCTGATCGGTAAAGTAACAGTTGGGGGGTTACCTTTGTGAGTCAGTAGCAGTTAGTCACCGTCTCGGCGTTGTCCGTGAAGAACGTATGAGGTGCAAATTAATTGTACCTGGTATTTTTTTGTCATTTATCTTATTTATCTTATCACCGATATTATTTATCGTTACGTTCATATTATATACTGTTATTATTATCAATTATCTATCGCGACCGATTAATAGTGATCGTATTATATACCTTCCTTCTAGCGCTTAGCACAGCCGAATATCATTATTAATATTATCTACCGTTATAAACACCGATATTTGGTGGTGTTCTTACCTATCGCGATTGATTAATAGCGTTCATATTGTATACCGTCGTGTTCCTTCGGTTGGCACAGCTGATTATTGTTATTGATATTATCTACCTATATTGATATTATTAGCGCCGATATTGTTTATCGTAGGTTTCTTTTCTATCACGACCAATTATTAGCGTTTGTACATATTATATACTGTTGTGCCCCTTTTGCCGTCTGGCATAGCCGAATATTATTATTGATATTATTTATCGTGTTAACGCCGATATTATTTTCCTTGTGTTCTATTCTATCGCGTAGCGCGAACGATTACTAGCGTCGATTTTATTTATCATCGTTCTCGCGTAATTAGACATTTGTGATTCTATAATATTTACCATCATCACATATGTATATATAGCATTATATTTCTGGCGCGCGTCCTTTTCTTTTCTTTTATTATTCAGTCGTACCTGTTACTTGTTTTAACAAATAAACCGAGCCGAGAACCCCGAGACTCACCAGCTTAGAAACAATTCGAAAAGTTCGCACTATCCTCCCTCCCACTACCCCGTTTCAAAATCGCGTTCTACGCACCAAAATACGCAATTATACAAAGTTTCAGCGAAATCAGTGAGGTGGCCTGTATTCTTCATAATTACCAAAAGTAGAAATACACTAGAAAGCTATGACGCAGGAGAGACAAGATAAGCTTAAGCAAATGGATATAGAAGCTGAAGCTCTATCTAGAGCTCTGAGTAACAAAGAGCATGAGAGTTCAGAAAATATCAAGGTTAGTAAAGAGAAGATTAGAATTTTGAATTATGGCAAGTAAATATAATGAGTGTAACATTATTTTCATAGACAAGAAACAAAAGTCAGAGTCCGGCTGGTTCTGTAATAAACAAAATAAAAGAGATCAATATAGAAAGTAACAAACACTCCAAGGAAAGTCAACAGATCAGTGATGATTCTCAAAGTAGTTCCACAAACAAGAAACAAAGTCAGAGTACTGATAAAGGAATATCTCTCACGGATACGTATGAGGCACGTGATTCTGAAAAGTCCAGAAAAGAAGTCAGAGAGAAAGCTATTCGAATGATGAGACAGTCTGGATATGATGTATCTGTCCTGGAACCAGGAGAATTTGCATTAAAATATGCACTTTCAGCACCTTATCATCTATTCTATACAAGAGTAGAGAAAGCAAAGGAAACTTACAATCAAAAGTTTTCCATAACTTTCCCTGAGATTCTGGACATTAGTTTTGGGGAGATAGTCAACAGTCTTCATTTGACTTATATATTAGATGTTGAATGGCTGTGTTTGCAATATCTATTGGCTGGCCAAAGTACTAATATGACGATTCTGTATGGCGAAAGAACAGATGAAGAAGAATTAGATGACAATATTACTGCGGTACAAGTACAGATGCCGTTTGAATTTGGAAGTCATCATACTAAGATCATGATCTTGCAGTACAAAGACGATGGAATCAGGGTGGTCGTCTCCACTGCCAATTTGTATTTTGAGGACTGGCAGAATAGGATGCAAGGGTCAGTTTCAAGTTAGACGAATTTTTCTCAAGTTTTCTTCGTTAATTTTAATTCTAATTACTAATTATATCCCGTTTCGTAAAACTCTTGAATATCGGAAGATATTTTTTGTCATTTACAACCAACTTATGCATATTTTTTCTCAATCATAGGATGTGGATTTCGCCTCATTTACCTCGACTGTCGAAGGCTGCGAAACGCTGCGGAGAGTCACCGACAAATTTTAAAAAGGACCTGCAACGATACCTAAACAGCTATCAGAATCCTGCTTTAAAACGATGGAGGGATCTAGTGAGGAAGGCGGACTTTTCCGCCGTAAATGTGTGTCTCATTGCATCTACACCGGGATATTTCAGACGCACCGACGTAGATTTATGGGGATACAAAAAATTAGCGAATGTTCTGTCTCAACATGTCATGCTGCCATCGAATGCACGGAAGTGGTCTATAATTGCACAAAGTTCCGCTGTAGGCAGTTTCGGTCCAAAATATGAGGGTTGGTTGTCAAAGGAGATAATTCGGTCTATGACGCGGGAAACCAAGCGAGATTTAAAAAACTATCCGAAATTCCAGTTTATTTATCCGTCGGTGAAAAATTACGAGCAGAGCTTCGATTATCAAGATGACATTTCGTGCTTTTTATATAGCAGGGAGTTGCATTCCAAGCAGCAGTGGATCAAATCGTACTTATAGTAAGCTTCATTCGTTTCTTTTAACAATATTCAGGAAGATAGTCTTAAATACTAACTCGTTACTCCAAACACACAGTGCACAATATAATTTCATATATTTTGAAAAACAACTGATTATTTTTGTTATTCAAGATGTTACAATTTCCGTTACCAGGTTCCAAGGACTTTTATTTTTTTATGATTCTCAGTTTACATATGTAAATTTTATATGTAAAATAACTATAAACACACACGATTGTATTTGTTATTGTTATCCAAAAAACTTACCAGTAGCATAAATCATAATGAAGAAAAATAATATTAGCACAAAATATTACTGAGAAGAAAGTACCTCATAGAGGTAACTGTTATGAATAACTTGTACTTGTTACTTGGTATCAACCATGTTTCTTAATTTTGCATTTTGGAAGCGACACATGATTTCTACAGGTAGAATTTTATGATTATATTCAGCCAGTGGAAAGCGAAATCGGGATGCGACCAAGCGATGCCTCATATTAAATCCTATACTAGGATTTCACCTGACTTGAAAAGAATTGCATGGTTTGTACTAACCAGTGCGAATCTCAGCAAAAGTGCGTGGGGAGTCCAACGAGGTGACTATTACATCACGAATTACGAGGTCGGCGTTGCGTTTCTACCAAAGTTTATCGTAAGTGTCATCACTGTTACTTGATTGTAAATTTGACAACAGATGAATAACTTATTAAACATGCTTCATATCTTTATACCCATTAAAATGCAGAAGACGTAACATGCATATTAATTTCAATTTTACTATCAGTAATATTTACCATATTATATCAAACACGTTTTTATTCAGACTGGGACAAGAACATTTCCAATCACGGACGAGGATCTAACCGGCCCGATATTTCCGATTCCATACGACCTTCCACTGTGCCCATACGATTCGAGTGATAGTCCTCTTTTTACACGAGTATAATACGTCTGAATTCTGCTTTCTGATCCGAAAAAAGAGATTGAAATATATTAGTTCCTATTAAACTTCACCGCGCTAAATGCGAGACGGCAGAGGTGAATGTTTTGCATTAAAAAGGATTCGATTCATTTCAAATATGCCTCGCATTCAATTGCAATAGATAATTTTCAAATGCGAACTTTCGCATTGAAAAGTATTCACTTTTTCTCTTAATTGTTTTCGGATTCAGAGGCATAAAAGATTTTCATGTTCTATTCCCCGTCGCATTGAAAAATATTGGCCCGCGATCCAATCAGAGATTTCCGTAAAATAGAATTCACGACGAAATCTCGTGAATGCGAAACAATACTTTTAAATACGACATTTTATACAGGGGAGTAAGGTTGTGAAGTTTCCTCCGATGCCACCAGTTTTTTCTTTCATATAAATGATAAAGTATTCTTGCGCGATGAAAGATATCACAAATAAATTACAAATGGATTCATACTTATTATAGTATAAATATTTTGTACTTATATTTGTATATATTATTTTATTTTTTTATATTGTTGGGGAAAACAATAAACGTTTATATTTGTGTTGCAAATGTGAATCCTGTCCTTGTGAGAATTGTGCCTGGCAGAAATGAGAATATGTTGAACAACGTAAATGTTGAAAAAAGAAGAAAACGAGTATATATAGTACGCACACGCACACACATATATATATATATATAAAGAGGAAAAGTAAAGAAGCGAGTAAAGTAAATTTGTGCGAAAATTTTTAAGTAACACAATTTTTTTTTGTTTGTCCCGGATTGATCACGTCGAATTGATTTCGAATTGTTCCAAATTTGACAGCTTGCGTTGCGCAGAAACTTGGACAGCTTGTCTGGCGTCATCTGGCAGTGTTGTCGAGAGACAAGTTTCGGTTAGACATATTATATGTTTAGGCCCATTATGTTTATTTCGACTTCTCGGGTACGAATTATCATATGTTCTATTCCATCAAAATCTTTTATTACTGAATTAGAGTTCTAACGTGCTTGAATTTCTAAATGGGTTGTGTTTCGCAATGCCTCTTTCTCTCAATTCATGTGGGACCCAATTTCCTAGCTTTTGGATCAATCTCATTACTTTTAAACGTTTGCTAACGGTTGACTCACCGATATTTAGTGTTTCCGACAACTCTTTGGGCATCTGACATGAATCTTCTCCCAGTAATTGGTCTGTTCTTTTTAGCTGCACTACTGAACTGGTGCAATAAGTTAAAGTGAGAAAAAAATATAGTCGTCTCATTCTAACTTATTGCACTAGTTCTGCAGTGCAGTTGAAACGAACAGACCAAATGCCTCCAGTTCTCCATTTTCAAACTTTTTCGGCTGACCAGGGCGCTCTTTGTCATTCATGCCAAAATCGTTCTTTGAATCGTCTAAACCAACCTCTGCAAGTTGTTTCAAATAGAATATGCTCCCTATAAGCCTTCACTAGCAAATGATGATTTCAGCAGCAGATTTTTTTAGATGAAAGCGGAAGAATAATGCTTCCCACAAATACTTTTTTCTTAACACGTTCGCGACATTGTAATCCACTGGTGGGTCACACTGGTTAATATTAATAGACGTGCGTGTCCACCGGTGGGTCACATATTATATGAAGCATTGCACAAAATGTAACAACTTTTGATGCCTTGGCCCTAGCTTCTTTGCTACCTCTTTCTTTCTGAATTCTTCTATAACACTCAATGCATCTCTTTCATGAAAAATTCATTGAATAAGATGAAAGCAAAACCTTTTGTTATAAAACAAACGCAAAGAAGCAATATATTAAAAAATAAATTGTGCGTCCTTTAGAGTGAACCAATGGATTTATTGATTGTCGCGAACGTGTTAATGCGAAACCCGATATCTTCAATATAATAAAAAATTCTTTTCTCTGCACTTTGATCTAATGTCACACACTGATCACTAAAGCCTATTGACAGTAGTTTCATATACACCAACGGTCACTTTCGGCCATGTTGAAATAGCACGACTACTGACATCTATTAATCAACAGCGAGAATTAATTCAAGCCCTCATTCGTTCCGTAAGTGTGAATAAGCGGAACGTAGACGTAAAGTGATAGTCGCATCAACTGCTTCGAGAGGAAGCACAACTATATAAAAATATTAAAAATAAAATTATATTCATCGTGCTATTATTCAGATATATATGAAAATATTTTCTTCATAAACACTATTTTGTACAATCTGCAGCATATAATTTATTTTCTATGATAAGTGCTACAGGTACGAGGGCAGTCTGAAAAGTTCTCAACCTAACAATGAAAGAAAATTTTTTTTGCCGTGAAATATGTTTTATTTTTTAATATAATCTCCTGAAACTTCAATACATTTATTCCAACGTTTTTCCAATAATTCAATACCATCATTAAGTGTGATTTCGGAAGATTCTTTTCGCTCTGGTGTATAGTGGTAGATCCAAATTTCATCAACAGTTATGAGACGACGCTTGAAATCCATTTTACTTTGCTTAAAATGATCCAAACACGCTTGAGAAATACGCATTCGAATGCGTTTTTGGTCAACTGTTAGCAAATGCAGCACCCATCTTGCATAAAGCTTTTTCAACTGGTGCTACTACTCGAATGACTTGACAGATCAAATAAAATTTTACATGGGTTTATATCAGGGATACCATTTTCCAATACAATTATAATTTGACAGTTTCTAATGCCATGTATGCGTCAGGTCGAGAACTTTTCAGACTGCCTACGTATCAATACTCGAAAATGTTAGATTATGAGAATTAGATATTGTCAGATTTTTGGATTTTGAAATACAAAAATTATATTTAATATTGCAGTGAAGAAATGTTGCCCCTTTATGGAGAAATGTTACAGAAAAAATCCAATTCACTTTAGTAAAATCTCACATTCCCACTGTAAATCTTTCTTTGATCATTTGATCTTTTTTCGATCACAGAACTTGTTCCACATAATAAGAATGATTTCTATTTCACTTTTAGTGGAGGAATTATTGGTAAATCAATTGGATGGCATGATAGAAATACCAGAGATTCTTAGCTTTACATATAATGATCATTTTCAATTGCTGGGTCAATTAAAAGTACTGCAAATGGTTCTTAGAAAAGAAAAGGACAAAAATAGAGATAATTCTATGCTAGTAACAAGTAACCAACTATCCAAAGCATGATCCTCATTAAATAGTAAAGAAGATTCGTAAAAAAAAGTGGAGAGACATAAGAAAGCTATAACATAGAAAAGGCAAGACAAGTTTATGCAAATGGATATAGCTCAAGCTCTATTTAGAGCTCTTAGTGATGAAAAGTATGAGAGTTCAACAAATACCAAGGTTAGTAAAGACAAGAATTTGGATTTTTAGAAGAAATAAAATTTTAAATTATGACAAATAAATATAATGAATGTAACACTGTTTTCGTAGACAAGAAAGAGAAGTCAGAGTCCAGCTGGCCCTGTAATAAAAAAAATGAAAGAAGACAATATAGAGAGTAACAAACATCCCAAGGAAAATCAACAGATCAGTGATGATTCTCAAAGCAATTCCACAAGCAAGAAACAAAGTCAGAATACTGGTAAAGGAATATCCCTCATGGATATGTACGAGGCATGCGATTCTGAAAAGTCCAGAAAAGAAGTCAGACAGAAAGCTATTCAAATGATGAGACAGTCTGGATATGATGTATCTGTCGTGGAGCCAGGAGAATTTGCATTAAAATATGCACTTTCAGCACCTTATCATCTATTCTATACAAGAGTAGAGAAAGTAAAGGAAACTTACAATCAAAAGTTTTCCATAACTTTCCCTGAGATTCTTGATAGAAGTCTTGGAGAGATAGTCAATAGTCTTCATCTGACTTTTATGGTAGATGCCAGATGGTTATGCTTGCAATATCTGTTGGCTGGCCAGTGTACTGACATGATGATCCTATATGGCGAAAGAGTAGATAAAGAAAAATTAGGCGACAATATCACCACGGTACATGTGGAGATGCCATTTGAATTCGGATGCCATCATACCAAGATTATGATTTTGCAGTACAGAGATAATGGAATCAGGGTGGTTGTTTCCACTGCCAATTTGTACTCTGATGACTGGGAGAATAGGACGCAAGGGTCTGTTTCAAGCCGGCCATTAATCGGACGAATTTTTCTCAAGATTTCTTCGTTAATTTTAATACTAATTATTAATTATATCCAGTTTCGTAAACCTCTTGAATATCGGAAGATATTTTTTGTCATTTACAACCAACTTATGCATATTTTTTCTCAATCATAGGATGTGGATTTCGCCTCATTTACCTCGACTGTCGAAGGCTGCGAAACGCTGCGGAGAGTCACCAACAAATTTTAAAAAGGACCTGCAACGATACCTAGGCACATATCATAATCCTGCTTTGAAGCGATGGAGGAAGCTAGTGAGAAAGGCGGACTTTTCTGCCATAAATGTATGTCTCATTGCGTCCACACCGGGGCGTTTCAGACATACCGTAAATTTATGGGGATACAAAAAATTGGCGGATGTTCTATTCCGACATGTCACGCAGCTGCCGAATGCGCTGGAATGGTCTATAATTGCACAAAGTTCCAGCGTAGGCAATTTCGGTCCGAGATATGAGGGTTGGTTGTCAAAGGAGATAGTTCGGTCTATGGCGTGGAAAACCGTGCGGGACTTAAAGGATTATCCGAAATTCCAACTTATTTATCCATCAGTGGAGAATTATGAGCAGAGTTTCGATTATCAAAATGGGACCTCATGTTTTTTCTATAGCAGGGAGGTGCATTCCAAGCTGCAGTGGATTAAATCGTATTTATAGTAAGCTTCATTTGCTTCTTTTAATAATATTGAGGAAGATAGTCTTTAAAAGTAACTCGTTACTCATGTTACTGAAATAAACAATTCATTACCGTGACGACTATTATATTATTTCAATATGCACAGTGTAATTTTACATATCTTGAAAAATAACTCATTTTTGTTATTCGAGATGTAACAATTTGTTACAATTTCTGTTACCAAGTTTTAAAGTCTTTTATTTTATGATTCTCAGTTTACATGTGTAAATTTTATATGTGTAAGATAATTACAAGTACATAAATTCACCAGTAACAGATATCATAATGAAGAAAAGTAATACTGGCATAAAGTATAACTGGGGAAAAAAGTACCTCATAGAGGTAACTACTTATGTTATGAATAACTTATTGCTTACCAATCATGTTTCTTAATTTTGCGTTTTGGAAGCAATACATGATTTCTACAGGCAGAATTTTATGATTATATCCAGCCAGTGGAAGGCGACGAAAACGGGACGCAACCAAGCGATGCCTTATATTAAATCCTATACTAGGATTTCACCTGACTTGAAAAGAATTGCATGGTTTGTATTGACCAGTGCGAATCTCAACAAAGGTGCGTGGGGAGTCCAACGAAGTAACTATTACATCGCGAATTACGAGGTCGGCGTTGCGTTTCTACCAAAGTTTATCGTAAGTGTCATCACTGTTACTTGATTGTAAATTTGACAACAGGTAAATAACTTATTAAACATGCTCCATATCATTACTCATTAAAATGCAGATGTAACAAGCATATTAATGTCTGTAATCTTACTATTAATAATATTTATACAATGTCAAATACGTTTCTATTTATATCCAGACTGGGAGAACAACGTTTCCAATCACAGACGAGGATCTGACTGGCCCAACATTTCCGATTCCATATGATCTTCCATTGTGCCCATACGAGTGATAGTCTTCTTATCACATAAGAGTTTCTCAACGAGTAGCCTGTGATATTTCCTATGATGCCACCAGTGCTTTCCTTCATATGAATGACAAAGTATTTTTGTGCGATGAAAGAACTCAAAGAAATTGCGAATTAATTCATACTTATTTTTTTTTACTTATTTTTTTTACTTATTTTTTATTTTTTTTTCATACTTATTTTTCTTTTTCATAACTTTTAATCTGTTGAATAGCGACACTTTTTTCTCTCAATGATGCGTTCTATGCATCAAAATATACAATTGTACAGAGTTTCAGCGGAATTGGTGTGGAGGCCCGTATTCTGGATAATTACCTAACTTTCTTTCGTTTGTCCCGATATCACGTCGAATTCATTCTGAATTGTCCCTAATTTGACAGCTTGTGTCGCGCAGAAACCAACTTGGGCGACTTGTCTAGCGTCATCCGGCGGTTTAGAGATCAGTTTTGGTTAGATATGTTATATGTTTAAGCTTGCTACTTTTATTGGTTCCGCCTTCTCGACTACGAATTGTCATGTGTGCTTTATAGTTTTCGCAAAAATTTTTTATTACTGAATTAGAATTCTAATGTATTTTTGTTTGTTCTGTAAGCGTGAGTAAGCAGAACGTAGACGTAAAATTGATAATCGCATCAGCTACTATGAGAAAAAGCACAACTATATAAAAATATTAGAAATAAAATTATATCATTTATTGTGCTATTATTCAGATACATAAAAAAGTTTTCTTCGTAAATAAACATTATTTTATATTATCTGCTGCATATAATTTATTTTCTACGATAAGTACTACAGGTCAATCAGTGCTACAGATCAATACTGTTAGAATGTTAGATTATAAGAATTAGATATTGTTAAATTTCTGGATTTTGAAATACTAAAAATTATATTTAATTTCAATGCAATGAAGAAATGTTGCCCCCTTATGAAGAAATGTTACAGAAAAAATCCAATTTACTTTAGTAAAATTTCATATCCTTACTATAAATCATTCTTTGATTATTTGATTATTTTTTCGATTACAAAACCTGTTTCACATAATGAGAACTCATGATTTCTATTTCACGTTTAGTGGAAGAATTATTGGTAAATCAGTTGGATGGTATGATGGAAGTACTAGAAATTCTTAGCTTTAGATGTAACTATTGTTCTCAATTGCTGGATCAATTGAACGTACTATGAATGATTTAAAAAAAAAAAAATTTTAATCTTTTTAACAATGCCCAACAATATACAGGATATTCCATTTTAATGTCCCACCCCAAATAACTTTTCAATATTGAAGTTTCAAGGAAAATGATCTGAATAAAAGTTGTAGGGATTTAAGTGAGGTTCCTTATAATGACCTTGACTTTGACCTTGACCTCTATTTTCAAGGTCATTTGAAGGTCAACTTGCGTTTTTTAAATGGGAATCCCTTTTTTATTACACTGTTTTTTCTACTAGTTAATTTGAACAACTTTTGTCTAAAATATTTTTTTAATTGTTTAATATTTTTTGAGATATTTGAGTAAAACTTGATAACTTTTTCAATATTTAACTTACGATATCTCGCTAACTATTTGTCGGAAAAAAAGTGGTACTAGACTTTCTTGCTTTATTTAGTCTCAAGAATATATTGTTACAATAGCGCCTTGACTTTTGTTAACTTACTAATTTTTAGAAATTTCATTAAATATTGAAAAAGTTATCAAGTTTTCCTCAAATATTAAAAAATATTAGATAAATAAAAAAATGTTTTAGACAAAAGTTGTTCAAATTAACTAGTAGAAAAAAATAGTATAATAAAAAATAAGGATTCCCATTTAAAAAACACAAGTTGATTTTCAAATGACCTTGAAAATAGAGGTCAAAGTCAAGGTCATTATAAGATAGCTCACTTAAATCCCTACAACTTTTATTCAGATCATTTTCCTTGAAACTTCAATACTGAGGAATTATTTGAGGTGGGACATTAAAATGGGACACCCTATATAAAGAGAGAATAAGTTGGGTTAGGTTAGGATTTCTTTGAGAAGTGGGTGTGGAAGAGGGGCGGAGCCCCTTCATTGCTTATATATATTATTTTACACATTGACGCATTGCGCATTCTACGCAGTTAATATATATCATCAACATGACAGGTTTTCTGACACCGTGTATGTCATTTGCCAAATTTTTATAACTTTTCATCCGTTTGAGAACGACACATCTTTCTTTCAAAATCGCGTTCTACGCACCAAAATACATAATTGTACAGTGTCAATGAAATTGGTAAAGGCATTCGTATTCTTCATAATTACCAAAAGTAGAGATACATAAAAAAGCTATGACACAGGAGAGACAAGATGAACTTAAGCAAATGGATATAGAAGCTGAAGCTCTATCTAGAGCTCTGAGTAATACAGAGCATGAGAGTTCAGAAAATATCAAGGTTGGTAAAGAGAAGATTGGAATTTTGAATTATGGCAAGTAAATATAATGAGTGTAACATTATTTTCATAGACAAGAAACAGAAGTCAGAGTCCGGCTGGTTCTGTAATAAACAAAATAAAAGAGATCAATATAGAAAGTAACAAACACTCCAAGGAAAGTCAACAGATCAGTGATGATTCTCAAAGTAGTTCCACAAGCAAGAAACAAAGTCAGAGTACTGATAAAGGAATGTCTCCCACGGATACGTATGAGGCACGTGACCCTGAAAAATTCAGAAAAGAAGTCAGAGAGAAAATTATTGAACTGATGAGACAGTCTGGATATGATGTATCTGTCGTGGAGCCAGGAGAATTTGCATTAAAATATGCACTTTCAGCACCTTATCATCTATTTTTTACAAGAGTAGAGAAAGCAAAAGAAACTTACAAACAAAAGTTTTCCATAACTTTCCCTGAGATTCTTGACAGAAGTCTTGGGCAAATAGTCAGTAGTCTTCATCTGAATTGTATGGTAGACGTTGGATGGCTGTGTTTGCAATATCTGTTGGCTGGCCAGCGTCCTAACATGGTGATTTTGTGTAGCCAAAGATTAGGTGAAGAAGAATTAGGCGACAATATCACTGTGGTACATGTGGAGATGCCATTTGAATTCGGATGCCATCATACTAAGGTCATGATCTTGCAGTACAAGGACGTTGGAATCAGGGTGGTTGTTTCCACTGCCAATTTGTATGCTAGTGACTGGAAGAATAGGACACAAGGGTCTGTTTCAAGTCGACCATTATTCGAACGAACTTTTCTTCAGTTTTCTTCGTTAATCTTAAATCTAATTACTAATTATATCCAGTTTTGTAAATCTCTATCAGAAAATATTTTTTGTCGTTTATAACCAACTTATGCTTATTTTTTTTCAATCTTAGGATATGGATTTCGCCTCATTTACCTCGACTGTCGGAGGCTGCGAAGTGGAGCAGCGGAGAGTCACCGACAAATTTTAAAAAGGACCTGCAACGATACCTAAACAGCTATCAGAATCCTGCTTTAAAACGATGGAGGGATCTAGTGAGGAAGGCGGACTTTTCCGCCGTAAATGTGTGTTTCATTGCGTCCACCCCGGGGCATTTTAGACGTATCGACGTAAATTTATGGGGATACAAAAAATTGGCGAATGTTCTGTCCCAACATGTTATGCTGCCACCGGATGCGCCGAAGTGGTCTATAATTGCACAAAGTTCCGCTGTAGGCAGTTTCGGTCCAAAATATGAGGGTTGGTTGTCAAAGGAGATAGTTCGGTCTATGACGCGGGAAACCGAGCGGGATTTAAAGGATTATCCGGAATTCCAGTTTATTTATCCGTCGGTGAAAAATTACGAGCAGAGCTTCGATTATCAAGATGGCAGCTCGTGCTTTCTCTATATGAAGGAGGTGCATTCCAAGCAGCAGTGGATCAAATCGTATTTATAGTAAGCTTCATTTGTTTTTTTTTTTTAACAATATTGAGGAAGATAGTCTTCAAAAAAATAACTCGTTACTCCAACACACCGTGCACAATATAATTTTACATACCTTGAAAAACAACTTATCATTTTTGTTATTCAAGATGTGACAATTTGTCACAATTTCTGTTACCGGTTCCGTAGGTTCTGAAGACTTTTATTTCTTTATGATTCTCAGTTTACATGTGTAAATTTCATATGTGTAAAGTAATTATAAACACACGATTGTATTTGTTATTATTATCCAAAAATTTATCAGTAACATAAATCATAATGAAGAAAGATAATATTAGCACAAAATATTACTGAGAAGAAAGTACCTCATAGAGATAACTATGTTATGAATAATTTGTTACTTATCAACTATGTTTCTTAATTTTGTGTTTTGGAAGCGACACATGATTTCTATAGATAAAATTTTATGATTATATCTAGCCAATGGAAGGCGGCAAAAACGGGACGCGACCAAGCGATGCCTCATATTAAATCCTACACTAGGATTTCACCTGACTTGAAGAGAATTGCATGGTTTGTACTAACCAGTGCGAATCTCAGCAAAGGTGCGTGGGGAGTCCAACGTGGTGACTATTACATCACGAATTACGAGGTCGGTGTTGCGTTTCTACCAAAGTTTATCGTAAGTGTCATCACTGTTACTTGATTGTAAATTTGACAACAGATGAATAACTTATTAAACATGCTTCATATCTTTATACCCATTAAAATGCAGAAGACGTAACATGCATATTAATGTCAATCTTACTATCAATAATATTTATAATATTATATCATACACGTTTCTATTCAGACTGGGACAACAACATTTCCAATCACGGACGAGGATCTGACCGCTCCGATATTTCCGATTCCATACGATTTTCCACTATGCCCATACGATTCGAATGATAGCCCTTTTACCACACACGAGTAAGGCTGTGATGCTTTTCTTTCGATGCCACCAGTGCTTTCTTTTATATGAATGACACTATTTTTGTGCGATGAATGAGCTCATAAGAAAATTGTGAATAAATTTATACTTATTTTTGTACAATATATTTTGTACTTATGTATATTCGTATTATATATATTATTTTCTTGTATTGTTAGAGAACAATAAACGTTTATATTAGTGTTATAAATGTAAATCTCGTCCTTGAGTGCCTGGCAGAAATGAGTAATATGTTGAACAATGTAAATGTTGAAAAAAAAAAACAAATATATATAATACGCGCTCTCACTCATACATAAAGAGGAAGGGTAATGAAATGAATAAGGGTAAATTTGCGTGGAAATTCTTAAATAACAATTTTCTTTTGTTTGTGCCGATATCACATTCAATTCATTTCAAATTATTCCAAATTTGACAGTATTGGTTTGTTCTTTTTAGCTGCACTACTGAACTGGTGCAATAAGTTAAAGTGAGAAAAAATATAGTTGTCTCATTCTAACTTATTGCACCAGTTCAGTAGTGCAGCTAAAAAGAACAGACCACTTGTGTCGCGCAAAAACGTCAACTTGGGCGACTTGTCTAGCGTCATCTGGCGGTGTTGTAGAAAGACCAGTTTCGATTAGACACGTTATACATTTATACCTGTATTCATAGTCAGGCCTTATATTTGAGGTTACTTTATATCCATCTTTAGATGCTACACGGATTATTTTATTGGCTACAGACCATCTGAAGATAAAGTTAAGGACGTCTTAAATATAAGGCCTGACTATGAATACGGGTGTTAGACTCGTTATTTTTATTGATTCCGATTTCTCCGCTATGCGAATTATCATGTGCTCTATCGTTTCCATCAAAATCTTTTATCACTAAATTAGAGTTCTAACATTTTCGTTTGTTCAGTAAGCGTGAGTAAGCGGAGGCATAAAATTGATAATTGCATCAGTTGCTATGAAGGAAAGCACAACTTATAAAAATATTAAAAACAAAATTATATTATTGTGCTATATTATTTAGATACATAAAAGACTTTATAAATTTTATAAACTCTTTATAAACAGACAGTATTTTGTACAATCTGCATATAATTTATTGTCTACGATGAGTGCTATAGGTAATAATACTCAAGAATGTTAGATTATGAGAATTAGATATTGTCAGATTTTTGGATTTTGAAATACTAAAAGTTATATTTAATGTTACAGAGAAGAAATGCTGCCCTTTTTTGGAGAAATGTTACAGAAAAAATCCAATTCACTTTAGTGAAATGTCACATCCTCACTGTAAATCTTTCTTTGATCATTTGATATTTTTTTTGATCACAGAACTTGTTTTACATAATGAGAACTCATGATTTCTATTTCACTTGCAGTGGAAAAATTATTGGTAAATCAACTGGATGGCATGATAGAAATACCAGAGATTCTTAGCTTTACATGTAATGATCGTTCTCAATTGCTGGATCAATTGAAAGTACTGCAAATGGTTCTTAGAAAAGAAAGGAACAAAAATGAAGGTAATTCTATATCAGTAACAAATAATCAACTGACCAAAGCACAATCTTCATTAAATAGTAAAGATGTACAAGAAAAAGTAGAGAGACATAAGAAAGCTACGACACAGAAGAGGCAAGATAAGCTTAAGCAAATGGATATAGAAGCTGAAGCTCTATCTAGAGCTCTTAGTAATGCAGAGTATGAGAGTTCAGAAAATATCAAGGTTAGTAAAGAGAAAGTTGGAATTTTAGATTATGGCAAGTAAATATAATAAGTATAACATTATCTTCATAGACAAGAAAGAGAACTCAAAGTTCAGCTGGTTCTGCAACGAAGAAAATGAAGGAGGTCAATATAGAAAGTAACAAACACTCCAAGGAAAGTCAGCAGATCAGTGATGATTCTCAAAGCAGTTCAACAAGCAAGAAACAAAGTCAAAGTACTGGTAAAGGGACATCCCTCATGGACATGTATGAGCAGTGTGATTCTGAAAAGTCCAGAAAAGAAGTCAGAGAGAAAGCTATTCGAATGATGAGACAGTCTGGATATGATGTATCTGTCGTGGAACCAGGAGAATTTGCATTAAAATATGCACTTTCAGCACCTTATCATCTATTTTTTACAAGAGTAGAGAAAGCAAAAGAAACTTACAATCAAAAGTTTTCCATAACTTTCCCTGAGATTCTTGACAGAAGTCTTGGGGAGATAGTCAATAGTCTTCATCTGAATTTTATGGTAGATGTTGGATGGCTGTGCTTGCAATACCTGTTGGCTGGCCAGCGTACTGATATGATGATTTTGTACGGCGATAGAGTAGATCAGGAAAGTTTAGGTTGCAATATCACTATGATACACGTAGATATGCCGAGTGCGTTTGGATGCCATCATACTAAGATCATGATCTTACAGTACAAAGACGACGGAATCAGGATAGTCGTCTCCACTGCCAATTTGTACTCTGATGACTGGGAGAATAGGACACAAGGGTTTGTTCTAATCAGTCATTAAAATGGATATCTCTTAACACTTTGATGACTGCTATCATGTATGGGTGATTCTATCAGTTATTACTTAAACATTTGTTGATAACAACGATTTATAATTGCAATATAGATGGCATATAAAGATAAATTTATATAGTTATGTACAAAGGGGATGTTCGCCTCTTTAAATATAATCTAAGCGAATTCTAAGAATTTACAAGATTGTCGTGAGACAAATATTTTCCCGCAATATGTATAGTCGTCAAAATGTTAATTTCTATATACTATTTTTCTATATACTATTTCTATATATTATTTTTAATTGCAACTTCTCTAAGGATCCGTTGAATACTCATAGAAATTTCTTGTAATACAATTATAGTGAAACGTATTTTTATCGTATTTCAATCAGATTGTGGATTTCGCCGCATTTGCCTCTACTACCAGAATCCGCAAATTCCAACGATGGAGAGTCACCGACGAATTTCAAGAAGGACTTTGAGCGATATCTGAGCAAATATAGGCATCCAGCTTTAACGCAGTGGATATGGATAGTGAGGAAGGCCGACTTTTCTGCTGTGAACGTGTACTTTGTCGCATCTGTACCTGGAACTCATAAAAATGTTGATGTTGATTTCTGGGGACACCGAAAATTAGCACAGATCCTGTCTCAACACGCGACACTGCCGCCGGACGCGCCGCAGTGGTCTATAATTGCGCAGAGTTCCAGCATTGGCAGTCTCGGCCCAAACTACGAAAGCTGGTTATCGAGGGAAATAGTTTCGTCTATGTCACGGGAAACCACGCAGGGTTTAAAGAGCCACCCGAAGTTCCAGTTTGTTTATCCGTCGATAGAGAATTACAAGCGGAGCTTTGATTTTCAGACTTTGAGCTCCTGCTTGCCCTATAGCTTGAAGGTGCATTCCAAACAACAGTGGATAGAATCGTATTTATAGTAAGTTTCGTTTACTTCTTATAACGTGGTTGGGAAAATTACTTTCTAAAAATAACTCGTTACCTGCTTTATCAGTCAAAAAAGAATGATATAATTTTCATTACATTTATTATATAGTTTTGATGAGTTATATGTAAATTATATTAAATTATACGTATATTATATAAAAATACTAAATTATATAATTTTGATATTATATAATTTCGATAATCATATAAATTTGGAAATAATTCGTTATTGTTACACATTTTGAGAAAAAATTTGATGTCACTTTTGCTACTTAAGAAGTAACGAGTCGTTAAAATTTCCATAATTTTGTTCAAGTGTGAGAAACTTTCCTTTTTACGATTTCCATTTTATGTAGATTTTACACACGACGAATAACGGCAAAGATATGCGATTATATTCGTTACTGTTATCTCTTAACTACCGTTATCTTTTTTTTTCACCGTCTCGGTATAAGAAATACGAGCATTGTGTTAATGTTATTTCGTTGTAAAGAAAAATAACGTCGTTACTGGACAAAAAGTAAACTGCGTAACGTGTTACTTCCCAACCCCGATTGTCAATTTTGTTTTTCCTCTCTATTGAAGGTTGACATGTTATTTCTACAAGTAGAATTTCATTTTATCTATCTTCAGCCAGTGGAAGGCGACGCGAACAGGACGGAACCGGGCGATACCTCATATTAAGTCCTACACGAGGATCTCGCCCGACTTGAAGAGTATACCTTGGTTCGTGCTGACCAGCGCGAATCTCAGCAAAGCCGCGTGGGGAGCCCAGCGAAGCAACTATTATATAATGAATTACGAGGCCGGCGTTGTGTTCCTACCAAAGTTCATTGTGAGTGTCGTTACCGCCGGCACGCTTGGCAGCCGACGAATAGCTTTATTGACCGTTTAAATATCGCTGCTCATGCAAACGTAGCGAGCGTATGAGTGTCAGCCTTGCTATCATTGTTGTTGTTATCCTTATTGTTATTGTGATTTCAAACACGTTTGTACTTTGTATTCAGACCGGGACAACGACGTTTACAATCGAGGACGAGGAGGATCCGGCCGTTCCGATATTTCGGATTCCATACGATCTGCCATTGTGTCGATACGACTCGGCCGACAGTCCTTTCGTCAACGAGTTCTTCAGCACTCACAGCTAGGCTCGCTATACTTTCAACCGATGCAACTGGCGCTTTTTGAGTTTCCTCTGTATGGCGGAGTGTTTGTGCATGACAAAAGATCTCGTGGAAAATTGGCGAATAAATCCATATTCATTTTATATTTGTCTATGCGTGTCGCTTTGTCCTTTCATAATATTAGCGAGCAAACGCGTCGGTATTTGCATTGCAAATCGCATCGTTATCTTTGAGAGAGATTTATGTTCGACAGAAATGAATGTTGCGTTCAACAACAACGCGAATTACCCGGCTCTTGGATATTCCTATCTTATTCATGTCAGTCGTAAAAAAGGGAAAGAGAGAAAAAAGCGTGAGAAGAGAACAGACGAAGGGAAGAACACACGAAGAAGCGGAAATTCTCAGCGGGAATTCTCACATGGCACGTGACTTTTTTTTTCACCGTCTCGATATCGCGGCGAATTCGTGCCGCCCACTGCTTCGGACGCGTTTTCCATAAAACATCAGCAGGAAAGCGCTTCCTCGACGCGGGGGCCGAAATGAAATGTCGTCTCGCCTTGTAGCGCGTGTGTGTCAGTGCCGGCTGCTCCGTGCATGCTCAGACTTTAAACGGATGTTAATCGAATCGTCGTGCTTTCGTATGTACCAGCGCGACAATTAAGCGTGCTGCGCACTTTTGATCGTCAAGACGCGCGCGATCGTGATCGTCGATCGCCGGATCTTTCGCGTCAGATTCGCTCGCGTATCCGGTCGCAACCCGGAAAAATCTGCACCAAGCACTCGGGACCTGCAGAACCTCAATGAGCGCATCGCGACTCTGAGCGACTCTTGTGAGAATGAAAGTATAATAAGGAACAAACATTTCACGTATCCGGCCACGTGCGCATATAATATGTAACCTTCGCTTATCTTCGCATCTAATTTCAGCGTGCGCATTTTTATCTCTCGCCGCGTTAACCTGTTTACCTTGAGGCAATCAGCGCAAACACTACTTCCGTCGGCAAACATATCTCGAGCGGTTCCGAAAAGTCGCGCTTTTCCATCGACGATAACATCACCTGGAGACAATCTCCTCGCGATCTGCTTATTCCGCTGATAAAACTTTCACTGGCTAATTTCGGTTAATTTAATCTGACGATTTCTACGCGACCAGACATTCCCCCCTCTCTCTCTCTCTCTCTCTCTCTCTCTTAGATTTCTAATTTTTCAATTCATTTCTATTTGGATTTTCTTCTAAAATTCTACCTTAAATCGTTTCGGTTTTTATTCGAATCTTTCTCTCAGTTTTTATTTGTATCTGTTTCAGATTCTACTTGTGAATTTATATTTTAATTTTTATTTAAATATTTTTGATTCTATCTAGGTCCATACGTTAATTTTTATTTAAGTTCCACGAAATTCTATTACCTTGTTTTACAAATGACATACAAGCGACTCTTGTTTGTTACCGTTAATATCTTCTATTATATATATATCATTACTTCACCGGCAATAAAAGACGTGCGTGTGTCAGCTTGTGATTACAATTTATATTTTCCTTTTTCATTTCAATCTTTCCTGCTATTCCGTACGCAGCAACTCCGCGTCTCCTCGGCCCGATCCTTTCTGCTTGAAATTTGCTAAACACGTGCGAGTGAGTCAAAGTCGTTCTGAATCTCCCACCAAAAGTCCAATTTGCTAGCCGAGTCGGATGTTCTCGGCGCAGATGCGGCTTTTTGGGAGGGATTTCCCGGCATCGGGGACGGTGGCCGGCGAGAACGTCGATCATCAGTACGCGAGATGTCACCGAGAGGGTAGGATATCCCGCCACCAGTATTCTGGTGTCCTTTACTGCCCGTCGTACAGCCGCGTTTCTCTGTTTTTCTTCTCTTTCGAAAAATCTCACCGGAAGATCCGTCGACTCGCCGCGCGAAATTTCCACAACGCGAAAGTTGTCGGAAGCTTCGCATCCCTTTCGTCCTTTCACCCCCTTTTTCGAAGTGTCGATCGGCGAAAAATCATCGGAAGTGACTATGCGTGTGTATATGTGCCTGTGCTAGAAAAAGAAAGAAAGAGAGAGAAAGAGAGAAAGAGGAGGAGGAGGAGAGACTAGTTCTTCGTGCGTGATCACATTCGTTGCGTAGCAAATTTTCGGGTGGAATAATACGCGCTGAGCTAAAAACGTGTTTCGCCTGATAATGCGGCATGCATAAACGCGAAAAAAGCAGGTTCTCGTCGTGGCCTGTCGTCTGTCGCGTTGCCCGGATTTTTGTCGGATTCCGCTCGTCACGGGGAGGAGAAGAGCAGAACTGCTTTTCTCCTTGCTTCTCCCACCTTATGAGGGATGAAACGAGGCTTTTGTGCCCGCGCGCTCCACTCTTTGTAATTTTTTTCTTTGATTGTTGTTTTTTTTCAACTAATTCGCTACGGGAAATCCACGTAAGATGACGTCAGGATTTGTAAAACGACCAGTCGAGTCAATACGCGAACGCTACGATAAGCTGTGATATGTTGCTTGGCTTTTTTATTTTCTCTCGAGATTACTAACGGATAATGAGCGATCAGACACTTTGATTAGTCCTTAATATTGATTTCATTTTGCTACAACACTGTGGTAGTCGCTGATTGTCGGCCGTCAGCAGTAAAATTAACATTGACGCGCAAAAAGTTTTTCGTATGTGTTCATATAAATAGTTACAAACTTGAAATACGTATAAATGGTTGCAAGCACGACTGTGTCGATTTATGCCGATAATTGCAGAAGCTCGCGAAAAAAACAGTTTAATATGTGGCATTATATTTGTCCTTTATGTGGAGCAAATTAAAGTTAAATAAGAACCAAATATTAAATAAAGAAGTAATTTAATTCAAATAAATTCTCAAAACGCATCGAAATTAAATTTAAATGTAACTCCGATATTAACTTTGCCCAGGCGCATGTATAAATTATATTAATATTTAATATGCATCTAACCAAAACCGAGTCTAGATTTGATTCGCAACAAATAAGATTTTAATCGACACTTAACTTGGTTTTTATTTGAGTTTAGCTCGGTCCGTATAAAGTACAAGTATGACGCCATATTCAGGACATATTTAACCATTCTTCTAAATTATCATTAATATTGATGAGACAAGCTCTCTTCATTAAATTCCACGAGTCACATTCAAACGTAAGAATATTGATATGTCGAATATAAATGGCATATTAATAAAATTACTCATATCCAAAGGAAAATATTAACATACATATTGCACATTAAATTTAATTAAATAATTTAAATAATTAAATATTAATAATTTAATTAAATAATTTAAATAATTAAAAATTACGTAAATATTTAAAGGCCGCGATAAATTATATTTTCCCAAGGTCCCATCTTTCGCCATCATCTTTTCCCAAATGGGAATTCCAATTTTACGCACATTCCTTATAAATATAGCAATAATATTCCCTAATAGTTAATTCGCAAAAGTAGCAAAAATAGCCGGGAGTATCGCGAGAAATGTTTCCGGCGGACGCGTCATTAGCATTGAATGCTAAGAGAACGCAAACTCCGTACCCGCCCGAAAACGCATTTCCGAGCTTAAAGTCCCTTTCCCCACAAGTGCCCGCGATCGAATTGACAGAGTTGGGACGTGCATTTTTGCCATCAAGGACCGTCTCGAGGGATGAGCGCTTAAACGTCGATGTCGCCGCGGCCCGTCCATGGTCCCCCGGAATGCCACGAGCAGCACAGGGTGGTCTGCGTTTTTATTGACGGGAAGAGAGAAACGCCAACGAACGCCATCACCCCCTTCTGCCCCTTGTCAGGCGAATCGATAAACCGCTGCTGCGAGATCTCGCGGTGGCGGAGGCGCCGGCGCCGGTGTCGGCGGCGAAGACGACTTTTCGAAGTTTCGAGCTCCGAGACGGGGAAGCCGGCCGGTGCTCGCGGAGCGACGGCCGATCGGCGATCAGGATGGTAGTGACGTGCTGGGTCGTCGTCGGGGTGCTCGTGGCCGTTGTGCTGCTCTACGGCCTCGTCGAGCTGCACTATTTCCTGCGCATGTTCCTCACCGTCTTCCTGGCGCGCTATTGCAAGAAGAGGGTGCACATCCTCGACGAGACTGTGGTTTACGGTGCGTGAGTTCCACAGAAACGCATGTTCCGGCGCCGAGGCCGGTATCGACGTGCGGCAGGGCTTTGTCACAGTATCCGGGGAAACATGCGAAGAATGCCGCGCTCGGTCGGACGTTCACATCATCCGCGGACGTTCACTTTATACCCGCGTTATTCGAGAAATCAATTCGAAGCAATTCGCTCGCGTCCACGCGACTTTGCGCGACTCGATTCTTGTGTTCTGCGCGAACGGCGAGAAGAAGTGACCAAGTAGAACAGAAAATTATAATGACATCAAAATGACGAGAAAATGATCGAGTCATCGAGTGAAAAAATGAGTTTTCTTCATCATTTTCACGTCGTTTTGGCGTCCATGATTTTCTCTTCTGTCCAGGGAAGTCTCGAAATTCGAAAACTGGGACAATCGACCGGAAAAATATTCCGAAATATATTTTCCTCAAGTTTTCCGGTCGTTCCGCGACGAATTCGGAATATTAATGTTTAGCTACTCGAGTATCTTTTTGCTGTGCTCAAATGAGTATATTAATAAATCTAATTGTGCGATGTAATATTTGAAGTTGAGAGAAGATTATTCCTCGAGAGAATATCCAAGCGGTATCCGAATTTGCGACTTTTCGACGAAATCGTCCCACTGTTTAAATTTCTTTTTTATGCTTGCTCGCTAGATACTCTTTCTTCATGGGCGCTCAGTAACTCTCGTTTGCACAATGATTCAATAAAAATTACGAAGCCATACAACAAGGGGAGAAAAACTGTCTCTCCGCTCGGGGTCGATAATTTTTATCATGATTGTATAACTAATCGAGGAGTCTCGGTTACACCGCGCGAATCATTACGCATGGGTTTTGTCGTGGCGATCTAATCCAGGAATCCTTACAATTCGTTTGCGTATTGTGCGAACCTTGACCTGCTCATGTGTGGAATCAGCTGGCCGGCGGGATGCTCGTCTCGCAAATCCGAGCGAGTATCGATTGCACGCTGTGATGAATGCGTAGACGCCGCGAAGTTGCACAGAAAGTGTTCGCTTCGCGATTTACGTGGATTTCCTGGCTGATACTCTCGTTAATTGACACACTGCTGACCGCACACTTATATTTGCAATATTTAACTCGGAATTGAAACATATGTAACTAATGAATATCATCAAAGATCAGATTATCCTGTTAACGGTTAAATATGTTTTAAATATATTTTATATTTGCCCTTTATATGGACCAGATTAAACTCAAATAAAAACTAAATATTAAATTAAAAAGTAATTTAATTTAAATATGTTCTTAATGTGCATCCAAATTGAATTTAAATATGATTCTGATATTATTTTTGTCCAGGCGCAAAATATAAATCATATTAATATTTAATATACATCTAACCAAAATTGAGTCCAGAATTGATTTTGTGTTTAGAAGAAAAAAGATTTAATTAATACTTAATTTGTTTTTTTATTTGAATTTAATCTGGTCCATATAAAGAATAAATATGATGCTATATTTAAAACATATTCAACTATTTTTCGTTATATATAACTATATAAAATTATATGTCATTATATATAATTTGTTTATCGGGCTGTAATGTTTCTAGTGTGATATTTATTAATAATTATTATTATCCTTTGTCACACAAAAAATGCTATACAAAATTTCGATAACTAAGAAACGATATCCTGCAAGCACAAAAAATACAGACTGCATCTCTTATGTAAATATAACTTGTAAATATTAATTATTTGTAAAATATCGTTGGTTCTAAATATATAAGTTTATATGTTTGCAAATTTAGATCATAAAATAAATTTAATATAAGCATTACATTAAATTCAAAATATATTCAAAATATATAATCTGAATCTTAAAATTAATATTTCAATATTATTAAATATTACATTAAAAGAAAAGTATTAAATTATAAAATGAGAAAATTAGATTTGCTTCTTCTATAAAGTATAAGCTTTATAATATTTTTAATATGTTTATATAAAATATAATATAAATTGAATATATTTATATAAAAATTTAATATATTTACGTAAAAGAAAATAAAAGAAAATTCTTCTTTTGAATATATATAATAATGAATTTTTATAAAATTTGTAATAAGTATATTTTAAGACTATTTTTAATAGAATATTTCTTGATTGACCGAAGATAACAATTGCGTAAGAGAAGGAAAATAAATTCATTAATCGTTTCTTTTTTATATATAAAATATTTTACATTTTGTAAAATATTTTTGTAAAATATTTTAAATTTAATAATTTTTATAAAATATTTAAAATTTTTCATATATTTTTAAGCTTCTAAATTTAGTAGGCTCAACAATGATTTTTGAAATTTTCCTGAACGGAGTAAACACGTTTGGTATAAACAAGCCGTAGAACCTTTATATTAGATAAATTTTAACAATTGACAGCTCGAAGTGTCAGTTTTGAAATTTGTTGTTATTTCCGTCACACATTGAGAAATATTCTAATTAATTTTTCATTGTGTAAAAATATTTGCAATTCTGTACAACCAATACAACGTAAACTTTGGCATCCCTTTGACAAGTCGAGTAGAAAGAAATAATAAATTCGGTAAACTAAGAATCCGAAAATAATCATTTTTAGAAAGTGTCATTTTTTTCCTGCCATCGATTCATGCGTTAGGACTTTTTGATTTCCTGTCGTCAATTTTTCGCGTTTGTTGATTTTATTTTACATTAATCGGAACAGGAATTGCACATAACTCGCTAGTGAGTGTAGCATTATAGACCGATTAATTGTTCGTGATTATACGGAAGCATAATTATTAGATTGTGATTTCGAGTTATCTGCTTCGGGTCACGCATCCTTAATTCTTTTAACTCTACTCAAACATACTTAACATTGTCAACGTGATACGTGTCGTAATATATCATCGTTTATAGTGTCTAACACAAGAAAAGATCAATCGAATTAAGTTGAACGAATTCATTTCAAGGCTGTGAAAGCGAATTAACTGTTGCGATACCTTCAGCAAAATTTTTGCATTCTTTTGATTTCTTGTATGTGTGTTTTTACAAAACCAGTTCAGAAGTTAGATTAACACAAGAATGACTTAACGCATTACTTGTCATATATTTATTGCCTATTTTATTTAACTCTTCATCAGAAAGAGAATTACTCTTGTTATATAATTAGATGGTAGTTTTAATAAGAACTATGGTAGTCAAAGCGTCATAGCTGATCTGAAACATTATTCTTGTTTTAATGATTAATTAATAATCATGAGACACGAATGTGGTTGTTAAAAGACGATTTACTAATTCTTGATTTGGTTGGGTCCGGATTGATGTTACCTTCACGTCGTGAAGGTGTTGCTTTTGTGAACATTCCCGCTCACTTCTTCAAGGAACGGAACAATCTGAACCTTGAAATTTTAAGTGATTCTCGAGTGCGGTATTCATATAACCTAATCTTATATTTAAGATATCTATTTTAAAACGCTGTGAGACTCGATTCATCGACTTATATAGAATCATAGGATAAAATTAAGACGTTCTTATATCTAAGATTTGACTTAAATATAAGAGATCTAATCTTAAATATAAAATCTATTCTATAAATATTATGCGATATATATACAAAATGTCATATTATGTATCTGCTGCAAACTATATCTATATATAGTAGATATCTATATATCTACTATAGTAGATACTATCTATATATAATAATATATCTATATATATTATATATATACTATAAAAATATCATATTTTATACCGGGTGAGTCAGTTAAAGAGTTACATATTTATATTTTAGTAACGAAGCATTTTAGAGAAAAATGTGTCAGACAAAAGTTGTATGGTTTCAAGGGGGACATAAAACAACTATATCAGTTTGTTTACAGATGGTGCCACTTTCGAAATATTTACTGATCATTACTTTTCTTAAATCGAAACCCCAATATTTTATTATATCATTTTTTTTCTACCAATTAATTTGGACGACTTTTGTCTGAAACATTTTTTTATTTACTCAATATTTTCTGAGATATTTAAGGAAAACTTAGTAACTTTTCCAATATTTAGCTTACAATATGTCGCTAACTGTTTGTCGGAAGAAAAAGTGGTACTAGACCGTTTTACTCTACTTGGTCTCAAGAATATATTAATAAGAAGAAAATATTAATCTAGCATGAATAAAAATGTGAATATATTTTTGATGTGCATGAATGCAAGACATATGCGTATTCATCATGATTTGATAAAACGGATAGTTTCGCGTTTTGCTATGTCTTACACTCTGATACTCTGATATTTTACACCTTATTATCTCTTTTGTGTTTTTATCTATATAAGAGCTGATTTTTTGTTAGTTCTCTAGAAGTCATCTGTAGGTCAAGACATAACACATAAGAGAATAAAAAGACATAACACATAAGAGAATAAACCAATTAGTTTTCTTCATTTCCCTCCTTAGGACAGAAATGAAGAACTCTGATTGGTTGATTCTCTTATGCGTTGTGTATTATGCATTATGCAGAAGTCTGTATTCTGGCCCATAAACTTTTTATTGCAGAAACGAAAAAGCTTGTTATAGGAAATTTCTATTCATTCGATTTTTCTCAGCTGTTTCAATTTAATCTTGAAGCAATCAATGTTCAGATGAATGTTTCCGGTCGTGGTAATAAAGTTACAGTTTCTCGTTATTGAGTTTTTGTCTGATCTCATTATTTAGTTGCACGAATTGTGATTTTATATTTTTTCTTGTACACGTATATGTATATACACACATGCACTGTATACACACACACACACAAATATACGAAAAAATATCCTACTACTAAGAAGAGCAACTATATTCAGTTTACTTTCCTACTTTTAAATAATGGTTATCGTCAACACAGAATATTCCTGGTAATATTTCTTGGTAACTGTCTTGAAACATATTCATTGCAAATGCTAGGAAAGTTCATTATTTAAAAGAGAAGAGATTTATTCTCTTTCTTCCCGAGAATATTATAAAATTTATACTCTATGTACAGAAGCAAACTGAATTTTTGTTTTAATTTAATATTTTCTTTTTAATTTAATATCTCAGATTGATGCGCTAAGTTTACAAAATTCAGGATGCATTTTGGATAAATTTGTTTATGGTGAACATATGCGACAGATTTGCGGATATATAAATTGAGATACTTGAAATAGGTAACATTTACTTGAATGCAGTATGTATTTTTTGTGTGTAAATTAAAATTGCGCTAATGAAAGATTTTGTATCTTGTATCTTTTTGTAACATAAGGCACTTCGTGTTTACAATGTTTTTCCTATTACTTTTTCCACAGCACTCTGTACCACTACTGACGTGGACGCTCTTCTTTATCACATGAACAACGCGAGATATTTGCGCGAGCTCGATTTTGCGAGAGCAGACTTCTACGAGAGAACAGACCTGTACCGAGAGGTTTGTTCTCAAGGATCAGGTGTAGTGCAAGGAGCTGCTACTATACGCTACAGACGATTTATCAAGCCATTAACGATCTTCAAAATAACGTCCAAGGTAAACACTAAAAGGCCAACTGGACTGTCGTCTAGTTGACCTTTTCGTTATTTTTCGCGCCGGGGGCGAGTCCTTAGAGACAAATTTACGTTCATACATGACCTTCTAAGAAGTTTGATATCCGACAGTTTGATATCTTGGGAATGAATCAGAATCGAAGATTGTGAACAAAAATATAAGATGTAAAGTTAAATATGTTGCAGACTGTTATCTCCAAAACTGAGTAAAATATAAAATTTTTGTTTTCTATCAACCGATAAATATCAAATATGATGATATCGATGATAAGAAAAAATGATAAGAGAAAAAAATTCTAATACAAAATCATCGATGTTACGCGATAATTCTTGAGATCGTAATTTGTTGATGTTACTTGTCGTGTGGATTTCGCGCGCTTATTCTCGATCATTTTCAAATGTAACTTGTCTGATCGATTCACCTGATGCTTGAGTTTCACTGCTTATTCCTTTTCTTATATACCACGGTATTAACTATACGTATGTATATTTCGACTTGTTATCTGCTATTGACTTTTCCCGATCAGTTAATGTCGATTTTCTCAGTACAGTTAGCCTGTGAAAATTAGCATCAATTAGAATTGACTAGTGATTAGCGATCAGCTGATGATCAACTGAAATTGAGTTTTGTTGACACAATGAATTTAGTAAAGCACAATTATATAAATCAAAGTTCTCAGATATTTAAGCACTAGCAATTAATAGACAAATAAGAACCTCTCAAGAATATTGATAGAATATAAAATAATAAGAATGCATAATAATAAAAATTCTTTATATCGAAGTATTAATAGAGCATGAATAAAAATGTGAATATATTTTTTAAGTACATAAATGCAGGATATATCATGCATGTTCATCATGACTTGATAAAACAGATAATTTGTGTTTCGCTATACGTCTTAGAGATACAGATCATATATTTTACGCTTTGTTATCTTTTTCTCTATGTTCTTTCTATCTTTTTTTTTACATAACTATATAGAACTGATCTTTTGTCATCGAGACACAAGATCGGTTAGACGTTCCTGAAGAAAAAAATTATTCATTACTAACATCCTCAAGCCGTTGTTATTAACATAAATTTATTCTTAGTGATTTATACAAAGCGTATTCAACTTTTGCTTCAATGAGAATCTTGATAATCGAGTTACCTCAATCTTAAAATTACTCGAGGGGATTAATTTATTACCCACTCTTCACACTTTTTACATCCTGTACAATAGAATCATGCGATTTTGTTATTAAGTCGAGAAAGTTGGAAATGTATTCGTCGCATATAGCTCAAAAATATTTTATAGGTATCAGGAACTTCCGACCCTAATTGAGAATCTTGATTAAATTACTTAATTGAGTTACTTCAAACTTGGAGTTATTTATGAGAATAAATTTTTTATTTTTCCTTCAAACTTTTAAATCCTCTGAGGAAAATGATATTATGCGACTTTATTATTAAATCGAGACAGTTAAAAATACACTCGTGTCGGATAGAGCTTGGAGATATTTTCTTATTAGGAATTTTTGACTCTTACAAAATCTCAGAGAATAATATAAAGTTTTGTTACATATAGTTTTGGAACGTTCTGTATATAAGAGGAACGTACATACATTGACAGTACATACATTTAAGGCAGTATTGCAATCTTGAGATATAATATTTTTTTTATCCATTCCAGATTATTTATTGGGACGAGAGAAGTTTTTTCATGGAGCATCGATTTATTACGCCCAGCGACGGCTTCGTACGTGCTATCGCGATTTGTAGACAAAGACTCCTTGACTGCAGCGCTGATACAGTTATCGGTGCCCTATTGAACCGCAGAGTGAAGCAGAATGGAAATGTCGAGACGGGTGCAACGCAGGTAGGAATAAAAATGCTAATGTCTTCTAGAATGTGGCCGTTTCCATCCTTATATATGCGTCTACGTCGCGATCCGGTCACGTAAGATACATTGTGTACTTGGTTGAACACACATTTTTTATTTATTTTTACGACGGGATTATTGCTACGACTTGGTCGCTACTCGGGACATTCATCTTACAAATAGTAGACATTTTTTTTCTTAGTGGTCTCGTTTTTCAGGTATCTTCCGTGCGACCGGAGATGCCGCCGGAAGTGAGCAGGTGGATGGAAAGTAATGAGATATCCTCGGCGATGTTGAGGCAAACACCTATCACGATGACGTCAGCGACGACGGTGATGATGACAACGACGACGACGACGACGGCGGCGGCGGCGGCGGCGACGACGGCAACGACGACGGCGACGACGACGACGACGACGACGACGACGACGACGACGATGACGACAGTGCCGATGACCTCGTATTGCTGACAAAAGGATATCGCGACGTTCAGCAATGGCGTTGTAATGCCGATATACGCGACTACGACTGTGTAATCCGCGAAAAATAGTTAAATATGTTTTATAAATATAGCATCATATTTATCCTTTATATGGACCAAGTTAAACTCAAATGAAAACCAAGTTAAGTGTTAGTTGAAATCTTATTTGCTCCAAATATAAAATCAAATTTGGACTCAGTTTTGGTTAGATGCATATTAGATATTAACATGGACAAAGTTCAATCTAATAGCATGATCATATTTGAATTTAATTTGGATGTATATTAAGAATATTTTTGAATCAAATTACTTTTTAATTTAATTTAATTTAATTTAGTTTAGTTTAATATTTGGTTTTTATTCGAGTTTAGCTTGGCCCATATAAAGGATATATGAACTGTATTAGAACATATTTGTTTTTTTGCGGCAATATGCGTTGAGATATGATATTCATGGCTTACGTCTGTAACTTCTGAGCGATGAGCAATGTTCAAATTCTGATGTAAGATCGATTGATCTCATCCAGTTGTCTTTGCGGGGAGATTCGGATAACTTTGGCGATAAAGGAATGACAAACATTTCCGAATTTTAAATACTAAAAATATTAGAAAACAAAAGTCAAATTTAAGAAATAATCTTTTTGAAGATTTAAAAAAAATTTGTTTCAAGAAATAATTTAAAGAGATAATCATGGTAATTTAAATATCAAAAACTTTTTAAATAGTAATTACGTTTACGTATAAAATTAAGTTAAAAATGCTGTTTAATTTTTTTGTTTTATTTATAAAAAAAATGTTACTTAAGAGAGAAAAAACAGCGATAGAGATACGTATGTTTATTTGTAACTTTCATATTTTCTATTGTACATTTAGTAACTCATATCTCGAAAATTAAAAGTTATTACACTTTTAGGTGCTTTTGTATTGAGCATTACTGTAAAAAATCAACAAAGGAATTCCTTTTGTGTTTAAAGGAGAAAATCGCCAAAGTTTTCGAAATCACACAGTCTTTGCAGTTAGGGCTGCTTGTTACGCGCATAGGTATGAAAATTTATATGCGTACGCAGAAATCTCCCGCCGAAATTAAATCAAAATCAAACATTAAATTCAGCTAGAACGGCCTGAAGTCTTTGAGAAACGCAGGAGAAGAACTGATATAATTGCGAAGCAATTGTGTGTTTCTTATTTTTTTAATTAAAAAGGATAAATTATTCTACGGTTAAGCTATATTTGCAAGAAAGGAACTGTTTTTCTTACAGGAATATTATCTTAAAATTGTTTTTATCATAATATAAAATATGTCTCTGTTTTTTTTGATTATGTAACATTTCATTTACATCGTACGATGTAAATTGGTAATGGAATATTCGGAAAAAAATGTTGTAATTTCGATTATAAATGTTGGCGAGTTGCAGAGACCGAGGATTGAAATTAACTGAGTACGTAACTGAGTATATGTAACACAAATATTTTTGCATTAAATAACGACGAAAAGGCTACCGCCAAGTTAGGAGAGCGGAATAGATTTATCTATGTGCCATTATTCGCACATTAGTTGGTTATTCAACTGAATATATTTATATGTTATTATATATATGTGTATATATATACACAAGAAGTAATTTACAAAGTAAATAATATATCCTTGTAGTTTTTCTATTGTTAATTCTAGATAAAAGTTAGGTTTTACGGCATTCCTCGCGACCGAAGAAATTAATTTGTCTGAGTCATACCGGGGGGCGCGTGTAGGAAATATACGAAGAGAGCTATTTACTTTGTGAACATCGCATAACAAAGATATACGAAAGATACATTTAATGCGCTATTAGTTATAGATAACTTGTTAGGTGTGCCCCACACATGCGCGCGTTTTCAAATTTTTGTACATATAGTGTCGCGTCGATAAGCAATTCTCTCTCACGACGGAGAAATAAGGAGCATTAATTTATTTATCAAGCAACAGAGAAGATGCGTGCCTGCACTTATATAGTGTATAATAGGTGCCTTCTCACTGAAAGAAACACAGATACATGTATATAGGATGATTCAGAACAACTTGCTGCCTTTGAAGTGACATGTTCTTGGACGAATCCTAAGACGATTTTTCCTCTTGCGAAATGTTATGTGAAACTTAGTTTTTGGATTATAAAAATAAGTAGTTTACTTATTACACGAGTGAGATACAGGAGGCAGGTAGGGCCGGCACGACTTATCGTCAGACGCAGGCGCTTACGTTGAACGCCTAATGCGATGAATTTATCGATGCAAGTAATAACATTAAATTAACTATACAAATTTATATAAAATTTTATAGCATTAAATTAATTATAATTAAATTAAAGCGAAGTATTTTAACATTTAAGAATAAAATACGCGAGCGTTCCAAAACTGGAAAATAAATTTTGAAAATACAAACGAGGAAAACGGAAAATAAAAACGAGGAAGAGTGTTAGTCACAGTTTGAAAAGCACAAGATATTTTTGCTTTTAAAAAAACCGACGAATTTGTATTCCTTTGTAAAGATGATTTATCTTGAGAATGACAGCTTTTACCATTTGTTAGCGCGAGTTCGTTTTTATAATATTAAAAAGTTTTATTTTTAATTTTACGTTTGGTTCGATCGTGAGTCGTGGACTTTCCTTCTTCCTCGTGGTAAGCAAAATTAACAAGAATAAAGTTTAACACTTCGTCACAGTCTAATGGAAGTAATACAAATATGTGCAATATCATTATGCGCATCGAGAAGTTCATCGCATTAAGTGTTTAATGTAAGCGCCTGCGTCTGACGGTGATTATGCCGTTCCTACTTACTTCTTGTATCCCGTAATAAGTAAACTACTTACTTTTATAACTCAAAAACTGAACTTTGGATAACATTTGCGAAATCGTCTTTGAATTCGTTCAAGAAGATGTAATTTCAAAGGCAGCAAGCTGTTTTGAATCACCTTGTGTATACTATATGTATGTATATATGTATGTATTAGACTCTAAACACACGTGTTGAAAAAAAATTGAACAATCAAATTAAATTGTGTCAATCAATTGTAAATCAATTTTCATTTCCGCCTACCTGATTTTTTTCTGATAAATATTTGGAGCAATTGACCTACCTCCAATGATCTTCATCTTGTTGTTGTATCGCCCAGGCTATGTTTTTGAGTAACATACGAAAGGTTTTAGCTGTCGTTTATTGTTTATTGAAAAGTTATTGGCAAGAGACTTAAATCAAGTGCACGTAATTCTCGACAAAATTAAAAAAATAGATATATCAAAACTATATTCACTAACAAGCTATAGGATTAATAAAAATGACGAAATAGATTATTATTTAATCATTTATTGACATAATCTATTGATATAATCAGTTATTAAACACATTTATGTGTACTTGAGGCTCCTTTCTCGCGCATACTCACGTGTATCATTCATAAACTCGCTCAAAGAATCTATATAGTGTCAAAGATATATACGTACAATTTATGAAATTCCTTTTGTCGATAACTTTTTAAGAAACGATGAGCCACAACTGAGACTTTTCGCATGATATTCAAGGACATAATCTTAACAACATGTATCAAGGTGAAGAAGCTCATTGGAGGTGAGTTAATTAATACAAAAAAATTTATCCTTTTTCGTTTTAAAGAGTCATTGTATTCTAATGTCTTCGTTTACGTTTCCGCTTACGTACAACGATCGTGCGCCATGAGTGTCAGAGATGTGTACACACATGTGTGTAACATCAAAACGGAGTTAATGACCTTCCTCAGCAAATTTGCAGGATCGTATACGCCTACAGATTTATATAAAACGCTTCGTATCTGTAAACTTTCGGTTTCAACATTTGAACGACAACAAATTGAATCTGTAACATATAGTAACTGAAATATTCTGATGACTCAAGAGAACGTTCACAGAACCGGTTCTCGTCATATCAGTGACCGTGATATAGCTGTGCATCGCGGAGTACCGTAGACGTTCAGTCTTCTGCTGACCGTAGCAAGACGTGCGTCGAGTCGTGCTGCTCCGCGAATATCGAGAGACAGCAAAAGGCCAGCGAAAAGAGAGGAAGAGAAAGAACCGCACAGACGACGACGATGGTGTGTTTCTTTTGCGTGGCGGCGATCGCCATTCTCTACGTCTTATTTGACGTGAATTATTTCTTGAGAATCTTCTCCACTATTATATGGGGTAGACTCTTTGACAAGAGGAAGAAACTTTTCGACACGACCACGATTTATGGTAAATTTCTCTTATCACAGAATATATATATATATATATATATATATACGTATATATATTTAGTTTCGAACAAATTTGTCTTTCGATTAATTGAAATATAATATTTGTTAAATATACGTATATGTTAAACATTACGTAAATTATAATTGATAGAATTAAAGTAACGAAATAGTGACATAAAAAATTGATTATTATCAATAACGATATGATAGATATGACCTTACCTTTGAGTGCTTTCGACTCTCAGAATTCTTTTAGTTAATCTCTATTAGTTTTTTATTCAATTTATTCAATTTAATTCAATTTTATTCAAGTTTATTCTTAATTTAAATATAATACATGTTAAATATATATCAAATTAAATAACATTATTTAGATTGTTGTTAATTTATTTATACGTAGATTCTAAATATGCCAAATTAATACAAATATATACGTTATATATAAAAAAAATATATATGTAAATCTTGACATTATTTTTAGTTTATTGCCATGGACACAAACGATAATTGATTCATAATAGTAATGACGCTACAGCAGCGCCATTTGAAATTTTTTGTAACACTCCGGGAACACCTTTTGGACTTTAAACGGCCGTGTTCAGCGGAAAAATTTGCTTACTAAGTTTATGGAAAAAGTGCTTAATAAGCGCATTTCAACAGGAAATGCAAAAGTGCATTTCCTGTTGAATGGCTAATGTTGAGTTATAAAATTAGCGATTATTAATTTAGAGATTGAGATTTAGATCTTGCTGAAAAATTGTGGATAATATTGCTATGGCCATTCGCCAGCGCGAAATGCCAAAATCTATCACGTGCTATTTTGTTCGTGCGCTGCAAACCGTGCTGAAATACTCGCCGTGATTCCATACTCAATGGGTCGGTAGATAACTGTATAGTGACGCGATCAGCGCATCATGGTTTTTAACATGATATATATTAGACATCAGGATGGCACAATCCTGAAACAATTCGTGAAAACATGTAATGCAACTCATCGTCATCGTAAGTAAACCGGTACGCTCGTTATTAACTGTATGACTGTTTAAACGTATACAAGTTTATTTTTATCTAAAGTGTTCAATTTTGCAAACAAATTTTGCTACTAATGTCATATATGTGTACACTTAACAGCGACAATTTTTTTATTGGACAGTGTAAAAAATAAATAATTGCAGATTTTTCAGGCAAAATAAAACCATTATATTTTTAAGTCGTTTGTGTAATTTTATGGAGTAATACATTTATGGATGGATTACATTTTATGGAGTAATGTGAAGAGAAGCAGAAGATTATAGATCAAAATGATATGTATTATATCATAAAATTATATAGCAATATAAAAATATAATATTGCTTCATTTTATTTGAAAAATTCGAAATTATTTACTACTACGAAAAATACGAAATTGCCCACGAAAAGTAGTTAAATATGTTTTAAATAGAGTTCATATATTTGTCCTTTATATGAATGAAGTTAAACTCAAATAAAAATCAAATATTGAATCAAAAAGTAATTTAATTCAAATATGATCCTATTATTGGATTAACTTTGTCTAGACGTATATATAAGGTGCACGATTTATCTGAAGACATTGAAATATCTCGAGAACTATGCATTGGATAAAAAAAGTGGTTAATGAAAGTTGTTAGTCTCGAAGGGGGACATCCAATGATACCAAACTCGACCTCCCACCCCATCCCCTGGGGGTGGGGGTTGGGAGCAACTTTGAAATCTTAAATGGAAACCCCCATTTTTTATTGCAGATACGGATTCTACGCCACAAAATACGTAAATTTTGTCCGAAACTTTTTTTTGATTCGTAATAGATGGCGCTGTAATCGCAAAAAATTATATTTTCCGCTATTCTCCAGAAATGATCATTGGATTGAGAAATAAAAAATACCTGTTCAATATTTTTAAAGAACATAATAAAAGTTATTCCCCCCCATCCTCTCGGGGTAGGGTGGGTGGTAACGTTCAAATCTCAAATGGGAACCCGAATCGAAGAGGAAACTGCTCGACGCGCCACTGTGGGTGTATGGCGAACTACGGCTTATTATAAAAGGCAGTGCAATGCGGTCCCAATGCGGTCCCCAAATGTGGGTCCCCACAAGGGGGGGGGTCCTCACAAGTAATACTACCTAACTGTCACTCACCGATTCCAATGAAATTTGGCATGCACGTAGAACATTGAAAAATACTGAACCTGTGTTTTTTTATATCGGCTGACAACGTATTTTAAGGATGGAAATCATCCCTTGATCCCTGAACATGAAAGCACTATTTCAACCCTTTGTACATACTACATGTGATTTCCGTCAAATTTGTCTTCCATTGAACTAGTCAGTAAGGAGTTTTTAAGGTCGCTGCTTACGAATCTGGAGATTACAAAATTCAAGATGACGGACCCAATATGGCGGACCGAAATTATGAAAAGATGGCTGATTCAAACCAACTTTGGTATCTGGAGGTTTTTGGGGCCTCTAATTACGAATTTGAAGTTGGAAGTTAAAATATAATTCATTTGTCGCACTTTATTATTATTATTATTATTATTATTGTAATGTGTTTTACTTGTAAGATTTTTAAGAAGGTTTATTGTAAACTTTCAAGGATATTAATTATATAAATTTTCTGGACGTTAAGATTAATGTTTTGAACATTAATAGATATTTTGCTGTTCAAGTCTAGAATTTAAATAAATAATATGAATGAATATAAATAAATACATAAATAAGTAGAATATAAATAAATGAATAAATAGAAGGCATAAGAGGTCAAGATATCTATATCGATATCTTATCAAAATATGTCAGAATATCATTACATATTCCGCTCGGATACTGACGGATAATAATCTTTTGGAAGACCAACTTCCTAATATGAAAAAAACTGACGCGACAGGTCAATTTTGAATACGATTCATTGTTAAATTCAGCAAATGTAATTGTCTGAGGCAATATCCTCCTTCACTGATACAATTTCGATCTGTCATATTGCGTCATATTCCGCCATCTTGAATTTTATAATTTTATCTCCAGAATCGTAATTGGAGGCCCGAAAAACCTCCAGATACCAAAGTTGGTTTGAATCAGCCATCTTTTTATAATTTCGGTCCGCCATATTGGGTCTGCCATCTTGAATTTTGTAATTTTATCTCCAGATTCGTAATCAGCGACCTTAAAAACTCCTTACTGACTAGTTCAATGGAAGACAAATTTGACGGAAATCACATGTAATATGTACAAAGGGTTGAAATAGTGCTTTCATGTTCAGGGATCAAGGGATGATTTCCATCCTTAAAATACGTTGTCAGCCGATACAAAAAAACACAGGTTCAATATTTTTCAATGTTCTACGTGCATGCTAAATTTCATTGGAATCGGTGAGTGACAGTTGGGTAATGTTACTTGTCAGTCGCACATTAGAACATTTATTTTATCCTCAGTTTCTACAAATTACTCGTAATTAGCACGATAGTTTTATGTGATGTGTTAACATTGAAGATAATATTTTAAAATTAAACTCGAATTTCGTGAATTTCCATTCCATTGTCATTGCTCGACACCTCGTGAATTTTTGTCTGAATGAAGTAAAAGCATTAAATAAAAGCGAAGTGAGAAAAAGAAATATGACAATTATATTTGGGTTATTAACAATTGAGGTAATTGTTATAAAATAAATAACATAACAATAAATTGATAACGAGCTTGTAAATAAAACAATAAGCTGATTACACGAAATAAAATACGAAACAAACGTGCGAGATAAGAAAAAGAAATACGAAGTGCGATACAATTACGATTCGATTTCCAACAGTTGAAATAATTATGACAAAATAAATAACCCAATAATAAATTTATAATAATCCTAACAAGCCGGTAAATAAAAGAAGCAGTAATCTGGCCACATGAAGCAAAATGTGAGATAAAAGCGGCGGAAAAACGGCGGGATTCGAGCTTGGCTGACAATTTGGAAGAAATCAATATCCGGATTCTTTTTGTTTCAGGCATTTGTTTCACTCAGGACGTCGACCTGGTTCTGAGGCACATGAACAATGCGAGGTACTTGCGCGAGTTGGATTTCGCGCGCTTTTACTTTTACGATAGGTCAGGAATCTATAACAGCATCGTGAAGAAAGGAGGTAGTGCTGTACAGGGTGCATCTACCATAAGATACCGCCGAGCGATTCCTATCTTCACGCCGTACAAGATCACCACGAAGGTGTGCGATCGATACTTTTATGTTGCCTTGGCTCGCTCGATTTGCAACTGAATTTCGCGTTATCATCGTATGAGAGAGTTCAACTGACCTAACGAGGAAACCAACGACTAAAGGCCGTCTTGAATTTAAATGAACTTCAAATATCCTGGGTCGGAAAAAAGTCATATTCTTTTGAAGTTTATTAAAAACGCGGACGAAATATCTTCTTGAAAAAGAAATCGCCTTCATTTTCTCGTCAGCGATGGGCAGGACGAAGTATTTTAACATGTTAAATGCCGATACTCATAGGTTACTAACATTATGGTATCACCGAGTTTCATTAAACTATATGTAAAGTATAATATATAAAGAAAATAACATTTGTAAAATCAGTTTTGCGGACCAACGGAGAGCCGATAGACTTGGATAAAAGACATGTGTACTTTGAAAGCTGAAAACACGTCGAGAAAAATCAAAGAGATATCTAGGATAAAGTATCTATTAGTATAAGGATAAAATATCTAATAAAATGAAAAAAATGTTTGAATATAATTGCGTACTAGGTAAAATATATTCACAAAATCATTCACAAAGTGACAAGGTCACAAGGTCAGTTAATGTTAAATACACACATAGAAAAAAATTGAAATGTATGCATAATATTTCTGTTCTTTACATAAATTTAAATGTTCCATGTTTTCATCTTGGACTCGATTATTCCACTCATATGTCCACGTTTGTGGCTTCAATGTTTTCATTTCAAACTGCAAATCATAATATTACAGTGGTATTATTAATATGAGATCGATCATAGCACTAAACGCAATGGCTAATTACAATAATTGACAAATTGTGAACACTTTAATAACTTTCAGTGAATGTGAAAACAAATGCCGCTGAAACTGCAAGAGCATCAAAGGTGTATTTGGATATCTATCATTTCTTATCTTGCCGTAAAAAGAAAATTTGCTGCTAACGTTCTGCAGAATTCTTATTGGCTTAACTAAATTTTTAGGAATTGAATGTTTGAGAGAGCCTCAATTAATATGTAAAATACTGTTAATATGTATGCTTGAATTTGGTAAAAAAAAAAAAAATGACGTTTATTCTGTTCACGAAGAGTTTCAAAACTCTTTCTTGAAAACAATATTGGGTAGCGTTGGTAGTTTCAAAAATACGATTTTTTAAATATCTGAAAGCGCTATTACAAAATATCTTTTTAACATCATGAAACAAAATGTCGAAAACATTTTTTTCTTTCTATATTCCATATTTCTTCCTATATTTCTTATTGCTTTCGAGGCATCTATCGATCAAAAGTGATTGAAAACATCAAAGCCGACTGCTTTTTCAAGGAGATGACGATTACTGATGCAAATACGTTTTTATTGTAGCTCACGTCATAAAATATTAATTTATTATTGGAATTGGATAGTAGGCAACTTTTTCATACAAAGTCAGTTAAAGTTATAAAGACACATAAGTGTGTCTTTATAACTTTAACTGACCTCGAATGACTTTATGTGATATATTACTAAACCTGTTACGCAATTATATTCAGATATTTTTTCATCCTAGATACATTTTTATTTTTTATAACATGCAATTATCATCTTTCCAGCTCATTTATTGGGAGGACAAACACTTCTACGTGGAGCAACAGTTTATCAGTCTCAGCGACAACTTTATCCGTGCCGTTGTATTAAGCAGACAGACTGTAACCGGATTAAAAATCCCGGTGCAGGATATAGTAGCTGACATCGAACCGGAAGTACAGCGACCCGCACCCACTAAGGAGCTTCAGCTATGGCTGGATTCCATGGAAGAGTCATCTCAGCATTTGAAAAAGCAGAGATAAGAAGATATGATCTGTGTTCCGTTGCATATTACTCGATATATTACATTGTTATCTATCGATGCAATTATTTATGTGCGTTATTATACCCGCGATGTAATTATTCAAGGAAGTTACGTTCTGGGTGCGCCTTACGGCTAATTATCTGCTGGGTCTCTCTCGCTGAAATGTCGTGGCACGTAACAAATTGATAAACTGGGTCGACCCACGCGATTACGATTACAATTTTCTTCACCTTCACGACTTTCGCACAAGAGTGTATCATGAATCATTTGATTTCGTGCAAATGTAATACAGAGTTTTGTTCTTGAGTTCAACGGCGCTCTCTCCTCCTCTCTCTCTCTCTCTCTCTCTCTCTCTTTCTGATTGTCTGGCTCTCGTAACCCTTACAGAAATTTATTTATGAGTAATTTTATTACTCATATGAGCAATAAAATTAGTTATTATCACTGGCCAATTTATTACAGCCAGTAATAAATTTCTATTAGGGAAATCAATACCGGATCGTGTGAATTTTTTTTAATAAAAGCCAATCACCTCAGAGCAAGATTAATTTGATTTATTCCGAGTTCCGATGTAACTAGTACGATCAATTTAACGGCGGTTTTTACGCCAAAAGAACTGGCCAATTTATTTCAGCCAGTAATCAATTTCTGCAAGAGTTGTCTATCTAATTATGTGATCCCTTGGAAATAAAATTTGTATGTTCCGGACGCGACGAAGAGACTTTAGCTCTCCGCGTCATTTCTCAGCAATCCGCAGTCCTGTCCTCGCCACGAGGAAATCCTGCGGTCGAAGGGCCGTAGGATTCCCTTCGAGGCCGGTTTCCTCCGTCAGAGAGACTATGGACTCGAGCAGCAGCCAGAGCACTCCGAGTGACTTCACATCGAGGAGGCTATGGTGCAACCGTCAGATGGCGATCCTGGTACCGGCTCTCGCATGAACGGAGAACGGTTGTTCCCGCGAGCCGGTGCCTCGCAGTCGATCCGTGAAAGCTGCTGCGAGCCAAAGCGAAGCGAGTCGACCTTTAACTTGGTTTTCCATGAATTCTCGTGAGCTACCCGTCGACCAAGAGCTCGTGACAGCTCACCGCAGGTTGTAAGGCGGATGACCTTCTTCGTTCTATCTGTGAGTGATCAGAGTGTGATCGCGATTATACATACTTCGTTTACGGCGCCGCGCTGTTCTCGGATAATCGACCGCTCGTTTTTCGCACCGCGATTTTCGACTGTCACTTGTCCGACGCGAAACAAGCAATCCTCTCCCAATTAGCGTGTCCGCGAGTGTGACATGAGTTTGGAATTCGCCTTCTCGAACGATAAGATCATCCCGCGTTGTCGCTGAAACGCAAACGACAAAGTCGACAGCGATTGATGTCAAACGATTCGCGAATACAGCAGGAGAAGCGCGCGCCGCGCTTCTTTTTTTGCTTACTACAAGCATAACCTGAATCGTGCCGGGTAGTATCGTTTGAGAACGCATGAACGATATCTGCACGATAAACGACGACAACGACGACGACGTGATAATGCATGCGCGGATAAAATTACGCGATTGTATTACGAGAAATCCTGCGCTCGTAAATTATTGTTTCCTGCAATCGCTCGCTTCTTCGATCGCGTGATTTTCCTTCGATAAACGCCGAAGATTAAAAACTTTGACCTGATGTCATTCACACATATTCTCTGAGATTGATATTTTCAATTTGCAATATCTACCCCCTTCTCTCTTAATTATCGTTTTTGTTCTGATTAATTTGGTTACCTCCTACTCTATTTTTATTTTACTTAACTCTTGGATCTCGATGGCTTTTAGTTTTTTTATTTAGTCTTGGCTCAATTCTTAATTTAATTCAGTTGAATTTTTTTAACTCAATTTTTTCTCTCTCTTTTTGTACGTTCTCCGGTGTAAGTTATTGTCAATCGCTTGCGTCACTGAAAATTTGTCAGACGTAGTTTTAAATTTCTTTTTTAGAGAATTCGCCTTAGGACTGAAATAAACAATTTCTAATTTGCAACCTCTCTTTCTCTTTCTCTTTCGTAAGTTATTTTTTACAACGCACTGAATTCATTGTGTACCTGGAAAGGGGCGCTTTATTCCAGGATTAAATACATAAAACTGCCTGTCTGTCATTCTCGAATATCGCGTGCGAAGGTCGAGAGCGGAATCCATCGCGTCGAATCGCTCGCGGTCGCGTCGGAAAATCATCACGTTAGCGCCCGCATTAATACCGTCGCGTATCTCATGGCCTCATCAGCCTCAACGAGATGATTTAGGCCTCGGCGAAGGAGATTAATACGTTGCCAGCGAATCGTCGCGATCTCGCGATTGCGACCGTCAGCGGGTTTACCGGCGCGCGAGTCCCATTATAACATTCGATTGCACGCGTAATTACGTAAATCAGGCGATCTGCCGAATCGACGCGCGTGCAAGCGTGGGGGGCCGTTCCATTATTTCGTAACAATGGGAAGAAAGTTTCACGGTCCCGCGAGATCGTCTCACGTAAATTTCGGCGACAATCTAGACGCCGGCGTCGACGTTAACGTCGTCGTCGTCGATTCGCCGCGCGAAATCTCGGCCATCTTTTCTGCTTCTCTTTCTTCTCTGCCGCGCAGAGGTAGAAAATGCGCCATCGGGCCGATACAGTTCGCGATTATGGCGAATGCCAGGAAATCGATCGTGCGAACAGCCCGTTCGTCGATTTCTCTTCCCATGCGTCTCGCGACGGAACAATGAATCGACGCTTTCCTCCGCGAAGATCCCGTCGTACCCTCCTCGTGCATTACTTTCACCCCGTGCGATTCGTGGGAAATTATGCGCATATCATCGCATGGTCGTGTGAGTTCCGACGCATTTTTTCCTACGACCGGCCTCGCTGCTCCTCGAGTCATCAGCGTCCGGAATTCTTGAAAATTAGGCACGAAGGCGCGAGTGAGAAATTGCGGCTGCCGTGCAATCGGAAGCGCCTCATTCCAACCCTTAAGCGCGTCTACGCGATATGTGCGATTATTTCCTGCTCTGTAATTATTATGTTTTTTATTTTTCTATTTTCCTTGAATATATTTTAGTCACGTTTCCATAATCGTTAATTATTATAGATGATACAAGAGTTTGTTATTGATCGACGAAGTTTCAGGAAAATATTAAGTGCTTCGGTTAATTTTGAGGGTCGACGATGAGTGGATTGTTTATTGTTTATTATTTAAATTATTTCTCAATCACAGTATTTTCCACCGCTAGCTGCAACCTTTCCCCATCTTCTTGGCAATAAGTGGACTCCACGGTAGAAAAGAGACTTATCTTTAGAAGTAATCCGTTCACTGTCAACCCTCAAAATTAACTGAAACATCTAACGATCAGAGAGAGTGGCGCTCGCGAGGTAAAAGATAAAATTGTATATGAAGAAGCAACAATATGGGAGATGTCGCTGCTATTTTCTTGACTAATCCGAGTGATCGCGTGTGATAGAAAAATTCATCTAAAAGATGACTCTGGGCTCAGTAAATGTTATGGCCGCTTTACCTGCCTGCGTACGCAACATAAATGAAGAAATTGGGAGAACGTCGTTCCCAGGCAAGCTTTAACAAACGCGAGATACTCCGGTGGGACGACGGGAGAATATCAATGACGAATTTACCGGGCGAAAAAAGAAAGCTCTCTCTTTCTCTCTTAATGCGGCGATTAAGAAACCGATCACGTATATGTGCGAGGGATCAAGAGGGTTTCGACCGCCTGGATTTGCGCCTATCTAGGCCCTTGTTCGACGAAGGGCGTGCGTGTCTCGGCATGTGGTTTTAAGATTAACGATCGCTTCACCGTGCGCGATATTTCGCGATGGTTCTTGTATAATCGTCATCTCCTGCTCATATCGACACCTGATCATACCAGCAGATTCCAAATCACCGTGACGAGAACCGTATGCTTTCTTTCATCGTTGAGATTGCGCTGAAGATCCAAATGTGTTCTTTTCATTCAAACATTACATTCATTAGGTCTAGTAGTTAATTCTTTCTGATGAAATTTACATAGCTTGGAGCAAAATTTGAAATTGAAATATTTTCCCGCTCTTTTGCGGTTTTAAAGTGTTAACATTTAACTTTTCGAAATGACATATAGTTTGGCGTTTGATGCACATAACTTCAAGTAATCAGTGTTTGCGATGGCTATCAACAAAGAGCATATTCGATGCATTTCGCATTTCATTTAGACAAAAATGTTTCTAAAGTAGCCAAAATGAGTTGTGTTGTTTATGGTGAAAATACTGTAACCGATCGCACGTGCCGAAACTAGTTTGAATGTGTTCGAAATGGTGATTTTAATCTTCAGGACCAATCACTCCCCGCTCAGCCAAAAAAATTTGAAGACTAAGAGTTGCAAAATCTACTAAATGAAAATACGGCATAAACACAACAAGAACTTGCGAAAAAGCTGGGAGCAAGTCAAAGAGCTATTTGCGATCGTTTACATCGTATGGGAAAGATACAGAAAGAAGGGAAGTGGACTCCACACAAGCTAACTATTGACAATCAAAATCGCCGATTGGCTATACCTTGCGTTACCTTGTTCGCCAGACAACAAAAAATATTTTGTGCATAAAATCGCAACTGGTGACGAAAAATGGATTATGTATGAAAATCGTAAACGCAAAAATCATGAGTAGACTCTGGTCAACCGACAATGTCGACGGCAAAATCCAAACGTTTCGGAAAAAAAGTTCTTCTCTGTATATAGTGAGATCAGAAGGATGTGCTGTACTATGAGTTCTTGGAGCCGAGTAAAACTATTAAAATAGAGATTTACCAAGAATGATTGATACGTTTGAGCACTAGCGAATCCTGACGTCGATAATAAGGGAATGGCGGGGGGGGGGGGGTAATAAAATTGTAAATACAATAATGCTGTAACTTTGAGGTTTTTCATAATCAATATATATATATATAGTATATATATGATATATATAATATTTTATAATCATTAATATAATAGACTCTCAGCAAACAACAGCGGACATTGTATATCAGAAATCGGACAGTTTGGATGCAGTGAATCCTAGACATAAGAATTTGATTCACCTATTATTTTAACTAAATTTTTTAAATGGATCTAGTAAGACTGATTTTTTTAATTTGGAAGGGGGGGGATTTAACCCCAAAATTCCCCCTTAGAATCCGCCAGTGCGTTTGAGCAATGCAATTGAGGAAAAAAGGCCATTTATTGGATAAAGCAACCGTAAAAGTCATTTTGTTGCATGACAATGCTAAATCGCAAACAGCAAAAGCCACAAAGGAAACCATCTGACACTTGAATTGGAAAGTTCTTCCACACGTGTATTTTCCAGACACGGCTCCATCAGATTTTCACTTGTTTCGGTCAATGCAATACGCACTGTCTGATACACATTTTTCGACAATTGACAACGTATGAAATTTCATTGGCGACTTTATGGCCTCAAAGCCACTAAGTTTCTATCGTGATGGGATTCGACAACTGTCCAATAAATAGCGTGAGGTCATCGATAACAACGGAGAATTGTTCTATTGATTTTTAAATAAAGATTCAAGATTATCGAAAATCGGAAAGAATTAACTACTGGGCCTTAGATTATTTTATAGATAATTTTATGGATTAGATATCTCAGAATAGATTTTATAGATAATTAGAAATTCTAAGTAAATTCGATGAATTAATCAAATTCTATCAAATTCAATCAAATTAATAATCAAATTCTAATCACGGCAGCTGGAATTTCAATCGATTAATGCTCAACACGAATGTATTTTTACGCCAAGAAAAACTTTTGTTCCGATGAGAAAATATACATTTTTCACATGTTTCTCTCTTCATAGTTAAACTATCATATAATATTAATATGTTAAACGCATTAGATGATGTACCTTTAAACGGCAAGAAACGTGGGAAAAGAGCTTCCAACCGAAGTAACGCGCTCAGATTTTAAATTCGATGACAACCTGAAGATTTTATTCTCACGAATTTCCGATCGCCGATTTTTTATTCCTTCCTCGATACATCCCTCTTTTTAGTTTTTTCCAAGATTCTCGATTATAATCACATGGAGGATATTTTTGCGTCGTGAAGGAAACACGCTTCAGTATTCTTTTTCTCGACCAAGTCACGTGGGAAGTAAAGCGCATAGGACGTCGGTGTTAACGCGATCGGGTGATTCGCGATAAAAAATAATAAGGAGAAGAGAGGAGTACGATGCGGAGAACAGAGCCGCGTTAACTTTTACATTTAGGCACCGTCCGCCGCGCGGCGGTTTCACGCGGCGACGGACGGTGCGACGAGCGGGGAGATCATAGATGATCGTAAATTGCCCGCAATTGGCAGGAAGTCGAGGCTGGGGGACCGTTTGTACGTCCCTTCGCACTCTCCTCGACGTACGTTATTTTCACGCAGTCTTTCATTTAGTTCGCCGAAATTGATCTCGGCTGCTGATTAATTCCTTCGTGCAACGTCCAACCCCGCGTCCGCGTCGTGCGCATTTTCGACCGTTTTCGAGGTAGTGGAAGATCGCGTGGAAAAATTATATCCGCGAGGTGCACGATGTGTGCAGCGACTGTGTCGCCAGAATAGAACGGAGAGACACTTAAAAGAAAAATATCGGAATTTCCATAATAATGTGACACAGCCAGTCGAGATAAAAATAAGAGCGCACCCGGAGGTGCGTGTAAATATACTTGGTGCTGAATCACCGCGATGACGCGAGTCTCCTCCGTCCTCTGATTGCTCTATTATATACTATAAATGTTATCGTGTTCTTAGAGGTTAATCCCGAGACGAAGGAGCTTGTATAATCGTGCGACGTAGATAAAATCAGCGAGCGTTTTTCTTTTCCGCTGGAGGAAAAATATCCGCCTAACGTGGCGGGATATTCCTTACATTGGATGCAAAAATATGTCAAAGATACAAAATATTTATTTGGTTTATTATATTCAAAGTATAAATTTTGTACCAATAACACATATTTACTTAAATCAAAATTATTTAATTTAATTTAATTTTATTTTATTTAAATAAAATAAGCGAGTGCTTTTTTTAAGCTATGGTTTTATCCAAGAAAAAGAAAATGTATCTTCTTTTCTGAAAGAGAAATGTAAATATATATTATTTAAAAATTTTATTTAAAAATACCTATTATATACTTTTTTTTTAATATAAGAATATATTGATACAGCATTGGGCATTGATCGATTAAAATTGATTAGAATGACCAAATTAAAGTTCTAAAACAATGAAAATTAACACGGAGTAGATCATGATTACATATAATAATTATTTCAACTGATTACTTTCACTTAATCATACACTTTCTAATAATTAATTTCATCGATTAAATTATTCATTATCGTACGTATATGTGACGATTGATTAATTTTGATGATTGATTCGTCGGTTGTTTAGCCAACTAAATTAAAATTCTTATCGATCAGTATTCAATCACGTATTATTATAAGTGGAGATATTATTAGTAATAAATTCACTGAGTAAATGTTTTTTTTTTATTTTTCAGTACAATTGAATGCTTTCAGTATGAGTATTCAGCTTTCTTTCTCCTCTCTTCTCGAATTTGACCGGCCAGCTGACATTTTCCGTCAGGCTCGCGTTCGTTTCGGTTTCATTCTTTTTCACCGACTTTCCCATCAACTCGCGCTTTTTCTTTTCCTCTCTCCCTCCCGTTCTGCTCATTTAATCGGTTCGATCCCCGCGAAGCGGTCTTATTAAACGGTCAGCCAGTGTTCGCAACAAGTGACTCGAATATTACGACAGTGGGTGGAGTTCTGCGTGAGAGCGTGCGCGTAACTGACGCTTGATAAGGCGAATCAATATTATTCAATTCTGATAACAGCTCTCTCGTTGCGTCAAGTAGAAGCAGGGAACACATTAACCGCGTGACGAGCTGATAACAGATTTTCCGTCGGCTCTTGAATGCTTGTTGCGAAGCAGCTCTCTCTCTTTCTCTCTTTCTCTCTCTCTCTCTCTCTCTCGCTGAAAAATACCGATATCGGGGAGTTATTTGTGTAAATTGCAGCGTCCGTGCGCGCGCGTTTATGCGACTGTTTTATTTACGTTGCTATTAATAAGAGCGATGTCGTTAGCGCGTGTTCGCATTGTTGTTACCGGCGCGCTGCATTCCGCAAACCGCAAATTTAACGCTTCTGCCTTCGGCGGCGCGAACGACCGCAGGGGAAAGAGTCTCATTTTTCTCGCCTCGTTCTCGCCTTCGTTAAATCGCTCGTGTCGCTAATTATGCTAATTGGCAGGCGTCGCGAGCGATCCGGCGATTTGATTTAACGATCGATGGAGCGAAAGTTTCCAGTAGAGAAGACGCGAAGCCGTAATCGACGGTGGTAGTGCGGTCTATGGGAAAAAATAGCGGGCAGCGTTTTCTATTCAGCATCATCGTGTTCTCGTTTGACGTAAATATCGTGATTTGTATAACTCGCCCTGAAAAACAGAATCACAACTAGACGGGAGATTTTTTGCACCACTCAGTAGAAACAACCGCGAGCTTCTTTCCTCGTTTACGTCATCTCGCAGAATGAAGCGTCCAAGATGCGTTAACACGATCGAGTAATTCATAATGGCCACAAAAGAAAGGAAACCTTCTTACCAGAGATGAAAATAGGAAAGAAAAAAAAAACGTATCGGGGAAACAGAATTGAAGAGAGATTGGCGGTCGAAAAGTTGTAAAGATAAAACTTTGGGACAAAAAACTTCATACTAATCTTAGCTGAATGATTTTAGCCTTGAAAAACTACTTTTTTACTTTATAAGTAATCCGTTACAATTACCGTCACCATTATATTACATAGTTATCATTACCGTTACTCATTTTGAAAAGTAATTACCGTTACCGTTATCGTTGCTCATGGAGCAACGAGTCGTTACGATTTCCGTTATTCTTCTCGCCGAGTTTCAAAGAAACTTTCACGATTCGCTGCAGCTCCATTCTGTGTGAAATAATAATAATCGCGCATATTAATAACAATTACATAAATTACACAGCTATCGCATAGAAAATAATCACAAAGATCTCACATAACGATTACCGTTACCGTTACCGTTACTCAAAAATTGCAATCACGTTATCGTTCGCGCTGCTATGAAAAAAATAACGTTGTTACTAAATCGTTAGCGAAAAAAGCAACTACCAAGTAATTACATTTATCTATGCGATTGAATAATATGAATCCAATTATTCGTTTAATTGAATATATCAACCAAGAGTTTTTACTAAAAAAAAAAAAAGTTTCAGAACAAGCGGAATCTTCTAAATTTTAGAGGATTTTATTCTCGTATATGGCCGCAAGAGGATTCCTTTAAGATTAAGAGGAAAATATTATAAACACATTATTCTTAAAGTTAGAGGGATTATATGTTATACGTATAATGCAAGTCTTATTGATTTTAATATAAATTTTCTCTTATACGCAGAGTATTTAATCTTTTTCTTAAGAGAATTATTATTCTTACTGGTTATGCTAGTTAATTTGAAAAAATTATTATAATGTATAGCGAATAGTAATATATATATATATATATATATATATACACGAGTCATGACCCATGAACATATGGATATTTTTTCGTTCGTGTTTGGAGATAGAGCATGACTGAACGAAAAAAACCGACATTAAAATCAACATATTCTTCATATAAGAGGAAAATTAATTGATATAAGAGGAATCCTCTTGAAATAGGAGGAAAACAGTTAGAATAATGCCTAATAAATTTTAGATGAATGGTTCCCTTTAATCGCTTTACCGAAAGAAGAATCCTTTTCCTGTAAAAAGCTTCGCTTAGTATATGAGACTGTAGGAAAAAAACACTTTACAAATAGAATTCCTTTTTTTGGGTGTTAATGCAGTTTCCTCTTGAAGGGGAAAGTCAGTTGCAAACTCTGCGGATCTATTCTGCAGCTTTCAACGACAATGTCGTCGTTGTCGTCGCATGTTGTTGCGTCGCACAGCCGTTCCAGCGTGTGTCACATTCGCACGGCGGTAACGTAACGATAACGATACCGTGCCGTGAAAAGTCACGGAATAGGTTCGCTGGGTTCCAGCGATCGTTCGAGTCTCTGCGGCGCACACCGTCGCTGCTCACACGCACCACTCGCGCGGCGACCTTGACGATATCTTCCCCGTCACGACTGCGTCCAAGGGCTGCCTGCACGGCAAAAGTGACGTACGACCGATCGGCTTCGACCCGGTGGGTGTCACCCTCCTCCACCTCCTCCGGTCCACCGCCCGTCGTCGTCGCGATCGAGATTGTAGGTGAGCGGCTTCGGTTGTTGCGGCTGTCCCGTTAGGGGACCTAGAAGGCCCAGAAGGGGCCGCGCGCGGCCAGGCAGTCGCGCGCGCCGGCTCGATCCCGGATATACCGGAACGGATCCTCGGCCGACGAGTCGATCGTCCGGTCGATCGGCCTGATCGGCAGTCAGTGAGCCGGCACGATCCTCCGGATCCTCCTCGTTGACGTTCCGTCCCAGCGGAATCCACGCTTAGCGCACGCCTAGCGTCTCTTCGTCTTCGTCCTCTCCCGTCTCCATTTCTCCTTCTCCTCCTCGCTCTCCTCTCTGTCTCTCTCTCTCTCTCTCTCTCCCTCTCTCTCTCTCTCTCTGTAATAGCGCGTCTTCCCCTTCTTCCTTTCCTCGAGCGATCTATCCTCTTCAAAGTGCTCCTCGAACGGTAGACGTAGTATTTCCTGGTGATCCGTGATGCACACCACGAGCAGCAGCAGGCTCTCGCGCTGATGCGCACGGTGGGTTATCGCCGTTGTCGCAGTGACAATTACGCGGACCACTCGTGACGAGGGAGAGGAATTTTTTTCGGGAGACTCTCTCTCTCTCTCTCTCTCTCTCTCTCTCGGGGCGCGCTCGACGGAGGGCGAAAGTTTCCGCGCTACGTCGGTGTGAGAGCAACGCAGCCGCGAGCGATCGCTGGGATCGAATAAGCTCCGGGATCGCTTGAAGTCGTGCGTCGTTGTACTTTACGTAGATTCGGAGAGTGGTGTTTCCCCTGTTTTTTTTCTCTCCCTCGCGCCCGGTTCTCCCGGTCGGGTCGCGCCGCGGAGACCACCGCCGAGGCCTGTCGCGTCCGCGCGGAAAAAGGATCACGTCGTTGTCACGTCTCTCCCTACATTTTCCAGGGAACATCGCCAGCCTTGTCGGAGTGAGAGTTTCATGAAGGATCGGGTCATGGGCCGCACTGGATACACGTGCATCAGGCACGTCTTCTGCTCCCTCAACGTTCTCATCTGGGTGCGTACGAGTACTCGAACTGCCGCGTACTTGCGCGATTACGCGCGTTCGACTTAAATACGATTCGTATCGTTAGACTCGGACAATGTCTCTCTTGCCTACATCGCCCTTCTCCCCCTCCTCTCCTTGGACCTTGGCTGTTTCTTTTTCTCTTAGAGCTCGACGTTGAATAAGAATTAAGCGGATTAGAGACGCGTGCGATTTGCGCGATCCGATCCGTAAGAAATCGCGATGACAACCAGACATAATGTCCGGATTCACTTCTGAGCCGCTCTTTTGATGCAGATGGCTACTACCACACATAATTAACGCGATGTATGTTTAGTCGGAGCGGTCGAAATGACAGGTTGTTGAAAAGATACGTTAAACGTTTGCTCATCTCTTTCAGATGATTTTTGTTGAAACGAAATACGTTAAAAGTTTATATATTTATTTCCTTCAAATGATCTTTATTGCATAAAACACGTTATCTCTTGGTTATCTCTTGGATCAAAATAATTAATAAAGTACATTACTTCTTAGATTAAAAAATGCGTTAAGTGTTCATTTACTAATTTCTCGCAGACTTATTCGAAACAATGAAAGATATAAGATGCACTGTTATAATAGAATTTTGGGGGATTCCCCTGAGAAATTATAAATTATAAGCTGGTAAATGAACAATTAACGTATTTTAATCCAAGAAATAACTTGTATCTTGTTAATGACTTTTTTACATAAAATACGTTACTTATCTGAGATTAATGAATACAAGTATTCATTCAGCGATTTTTCTCGGACTTATTCGAGACGTAAGATACATCGTTGCAAAAGTTTGAAACTAATTTTCCTGAGGAATCATAAATCTGTTATTTTGGTGCCTTCTGCTCACACACAACAAGCGTCTCGTCCGCGCGCATGCACGCCTCGGAAAAGAAGTGCGCTCAGGTAGGCCCGTCTCGACGGGCCTGAACGACAGGGACTCGTTTCGTCAGCGCTCGAATTCGGATAAACACGATGCGTTACACGTGTGACGTGCGCGAATGCGTGGCCTCAATCACTCGAGTATGACAGAAATGAGACAATAGGCGACGACGAACAGTAACGACGGTCGACCCACGCAGGGCCGCCGTTTAAATCGACGCGCTTTTGTAATTCGCGCCGCATTCCGCGTCGCCCCTCACCCCGGCGATTGCTATCCTCCCACTCTGCCGTGCGGACTTTATTGTCCCACTTGAAATCCGTTCGTTCGTCCGTCCGTCCGTCCGACCACGTCCGTTCACGATGCTGCGCGTCATCGTCGTCGTCGTCGTCATCGTCGTTGTCGTCGTTGTCGATGAGACGTCTTAAATAGGACGTTGAACCGTGTTCTATGAGCTATGAACTTACGGTACCTAAGGCAACGATAAAACGTCATTCCACTTCGCTTCGTGTTATACATGCGCCGTGTCACCGGCAGCACACGTGCGCGTCCTTCGTGTATTTTTCGATCTTCTTTCCTTCTTCCGCGCGTGCGCAGTATGCGTCCTCGTATGTTTGTCGTAGATCATTTATGTTTAATTGCCGCTCATTATATATGTACACTTGATGAGCAACGCGTATCTTCTGGAAACGCTCGTAGGTGAACCATATGGCGTACGGTTGTTAGGTAAAAATGTGTTTTGATATCGGCGATAAAATTACGGGCGTCCGAATGACGAGAGTGTTCGAACGCTCTCTACTTAGAAGCGGTGACTTAAAAAAAGAAAAAAAGATATATGTATCAATTTTCTATATACACAATAATTTAAAAATTAAGAAGAAGAACAGAAAAGAAAGTTTGGTTCAGAAGAAACAGAGAATTTGTCTTTTATAAACCTATTTTGTTTTAAGAATCAGCGTAATTCTGTTTCCTTTCAACAAAAACTTTTATTTTCCTTTAATCAAAATTCTCTTGACTTGTTTTTTTATCAAATAAATTTAGTCAATCTCTTTTTTTCAGTGTATATTTGTATTTTTTCTTTTTATGTTACTGCTGTTAAATAGCGAGCGTTCGAACGATACATACACACATACGAAAACAGAATTTCGGGTACTTAGAACCGAATTTGGTTTATAAGAAACAGAAATTCTGTCTCCTTTAATCAAAACCTTTCCCTTGTCGTATATCTCTATAACTTTTAAGACTCATATTGTAATTACAGGGAAAAGCAAATGTGTGTCGAGACACAATTAGAGCAAAATAGAAGGACATACACGTGCCGATGGCGAAGATATTCGGCGACTGTCGCGACACCATGCGACGGCGCGTTGTATAAAGTTTCTTTTGCCGTGGCAAAAAAAAGCCGTGTACCGTTCGTTTGCGTACGCATCATCGGCGATAATTAGAAAGTACGGACGTGCTTTTGTGCAATTAGCTATCGGGGTCGCGTAACAGTGCATTAATTTCCTAATTACGCTGCGGTATGCGTGCAGGTTGCAACTTAGAAATTACTGCTGTTGTTCCATCGCGCGATATTTCGCGACGAGATGTTAAGCACCCGCACATACCTGCATGCATGTATAGAAATATGTGCGTACGTTCGTTCACATGTCACGATAACGAGAGATATGTCGCAACTGCGACCGTTGGATGGATTTGTAATTTGTCGGGTCTATCTTGGATGAGTTAGACGGATAAAACCAACATTCACTTGGCCGCTCGAGTCCGACTCCTTGTCAGACAGATTACAATATGCATTGACCGGATGCTGTTAAAGAATGTTGAGCCTGGGAAAATCTCCGTAACCACGATAAGGGTCCCGGAGGTCGTTGAAGAAAGATTATATTATCGACTATTTTTAATCACCCGATATAAATACCTAAATGTTTAAAATATAATAAATATATATTCTTTACATACTATATATATATATATATATTATTTAATTATTATACAGAGTAGGCTATGTAAAGTTTAATAATAACAAGACTACTAGAGAATTTTAAAAGAATTTCTCTTGACATTATAAATGACGATATTTTTTATATTTTGACTATATCACAGAATATATATGTATACAGTATATATATACTGTATATATGTGTCCGGGATCTTTTGGAAACGAAAAATTATGAAGATTAATCAGATCAAACTGAGAAGGAGGGTCAAGTACCATTTTGCAAAAATCATAATTATATAAATAAAATAATAATTATTAAGTTATTAATTATTGAAAATGACGACATCTAGAAGCTCTTTTAATTGATAACTTGAAAATTTGCGTATTTATTTGCAAAATGGTAAAAGACATTTTTGTGCAGAATAATCAATATAATCTACTAATCTACAATTATATGATGGCTATTGTGCGTAGCAGCAGGTTCAAGATTCAGGGTTCAAAATTTAACATACTCATATCTATTGGTTAATATCTGACTCATATCTAACTTAATAACTGCATTTTTTAATTAATTGCGATTTTTGCAAAATAGTACTTGACTTTTCTTTCCAGTTTGATCTGATTAATCTTTACAATTTTTCGTTTCCAGGAGATCCTGGACATTCTGTATATTTTATAAAATTAATATTTATATATATTTTATCCTGAAAAGTAACGCGAAGGAAGTTGGACTAATAGTGACATGTTATCATGTCATTATCATTAAAGTTTACTCATTTAATATTTTAAAGTTATTCTCGCTTTATTTGATAAGGGGGATAAATGAGGGTAAGTATTGACACACGAGTTTAAAAGCCTCTTCCACGTGAAACTCGAGACCGGAATGATTAAAATTGATCACGTAGTTCTCGAAGCAGTAAACTAAGCTTCACGCTGATTTGTATATTATATTATTATTTATTTTATATATATCAGGTATATAATAAATATTAATCTTATAATTTACAGTTGTCTCTATATGTTTTATCTATATGCATATAAATCAATGGAGTATGTTAGGCTTTTCTCTGAAACTATACGTTTCTTCAGTAACCGTTTATGCTGATTTGACACAAAATTTAAAGACAGAAGGTTGTTAAAAAGCAAACTTTTCCGTGTATACTAAATTCCACAGGACTGATGATCTTTATACTCTTACCTGGTAGGTGCAGCGGGTTGCCTACTGGTTTGCTTAGCAATTCTATACTCCTTGCGACGTGGGCCCCGAGTTTCTCTCTTTCTCTCTCTCTCTCTCTCTCTCTCTCTCTCTCTCTCTCTCTCTCTTTCTCTCTCCCTTTCTCTTCCTCTTTCTCTATTTGCGAATAACTTAGTAGGTGAACGACAAGCCAATTCTCCGTTATACATGTATCCGCGAGCGACCGAATTGACGTTCAACGCACTTCATTGACCTTCATGGAACTGCTTCGCGTGATTTCGTTCTCGAGATACTTCGAATTGGGTTATTATTATACGAGCAAATTTGTATCGGCAAATAAAAGTTTTCCAACGAATTTTTTTCTCTCCCTCTCTTTCGTTTTGAGTTGCAAACGAGTCTCGTATAAAGAACGCACGGCGAAGTAGCCGTCCGATTTTCCTTTCACGTTAATGATTAGGAAAGTCGTGCGATACTTTCTAACTTATAATTTACTGATCACACAACCGATCTCTCTTTCTCTCTCTCTCTCTCTCTCTCTCTCTCTCTCTCTCTCTCTCTCTCTCTTTCTCTCGTTTTCATAAGTGTTTTTTCTATGCGCCGAAAGGTTCGCATTATCAAGCCAAGTGAACAAAGCAACGTAATAATAATGCGACATTGACCCAGTGAACTCGCGTGACGAGACGGCACGCGATAAGGATCTCCCCGATGTTCTTAATTGCAATCATCGTACGTTAGAACAGACAAATGATTAACGATGGAGAATGAGATGTTTCCGACGAACTAATTTGGATGTAGCAGGAAAAGAGACGAAACCGAACGAGAAAAAGTGACTATAATCGCATAATGACAGGCAGGAAAACTATTTTCGTAGTCAGTCATTATAGTGCCATTTTCATGGTCAGCCATTACGTACATATATTACTACTGTCACTTTTTTATTAGAATCATGGGAATGTAATATAGTCGGTGCTGGAAACGAAAATTTCAGCGACATAATATTTACATAAATAAATCAAGTCTGTTTTACATTATCATATAACGAGAGAAACTAGAGCTATTCTATGGAAATAATTTGCTATACAAATATTTTTTTATATACCATATGTGCTACGATAAGAAAAAATTATTTCATAAAGGAATATCTTTGTTATTACAATATTGATGATAAGAACTTCACATGTACCGTCATTTTTTGTCAGGACAACGAGGAGACATATCTCCGAAAATCTTCGCAGGATCAGCGATTTTCTCTCCGAATGTAACGAATAAGTCAAATCACACGGTAAAAAAAGAAATTATAAGCAGGGTTGAGAAAGTTACTTTGTAAAAGTATCTAGTTACAGTTACAGTTTCTTTCACTGAAAAAGTAACTAGTTACAGTTACAAGTTACTGACCTTCAAAAATAATATTACAGTTATAGTTATTTAGTTATTTAGAACGTGACGAGTCGTTACTTTCCAGTTATTTTTTTACAATAATTGTGCTATTATATTAAATTTCGTAATTGTGTAAGTTCTCTCAATTTTATTATATATAAAAGTAGTTTCTTGATTATTATATATTCCTATAAAATTATATTGTATATAATTTTTGCAAATTAGATTCATTAATTTAAATAAGCAATTTATATTTATTCTTTAAGACTATTAATAACAACTGGGAAGAGAAATGCCCACTTGTTCTCGTTTCCAAGTTTTTGCTATAACTCAAATATGTCTGCATATGCTGGCCATGGCATTTTACAATTCTTCTCCGAAGATTGAGATGTTTTATGTATTGCTTGAATTTTTTACATAACTGAAACCACGCAGCGCACTTTACGCTGAACGCAGGTTATGTTAACAAATAAGGATTGGCGACACGCAACGGAAATATCCAATAGGCGTACAATTTTTTTGAAAGAAATACAGGTTGCGTTTGGAGAGGAGACTATCAGCGCGATTGCGTCATTTTATCCTTGTTTTCCATCTAATGAACGATAAAGATAGATGACGCAATGGCGCGTTTTCCAAATGCAGCCAGAACAACTGTATGCTTATTGAATATCAAGCATCGCAAGTCGCGTTATCGTGCTAGTCTGTCAGAAATTTAAATTTGAAATATATAAAGTAACTACTAAATTAACTATTAAATTAATTACTAGTTATCAAATAAATGTAACTAAGTTAAGTTACAGTTATAGATGAAAAAACGGAATGAAGTTAAGTTATAGTTACCAAAAAAAGAGAATTACTGTAACTGTAACTTCGTTACAAGTAACGAGTTCCTACCCAATCCTAATTACAAGCAATTATGAGCAGAGAGAGAAAGAAATTATAAATCGCTAAAAATTATAATCCCCGGCTACGCGAGACGGAGAATTTTCCTCTTCCGCCGGTGCGGCGGACGCATTCAGCCGGACAAGTGCGCGCGAGAGTACAGCGAGAGCACGTGTTTCCCGCTGCCGACTGATACGTGCAATTTGTTTTACAGTTATGCGCTTGCGGAATTTTGGGTGCGGGCCTTTGGCTGCGACTGGCTTATTCCGGATATGCGACCTTGGTGCCGCAGTACAGCTTCGCGTCGGCTGACTCGCTGCTGCTCGCCGCGGGATGCGTCACATTCGTCATCGCCTTCTTCGGATGCTGCGGCGCGTGGTTCCAGTCGAGATGCATGCTAATCACGGTTGGTACAGCGTGACCCATTGTAAAAACGCGCCCGACGCTGGCTGGAGGCCGGCGCCGCGCGTGCGGCGCATGCAAACTGCGTCACGTTGATTATTCCGCGATCGCCTTGATTATTCTTTATTATTATTAGCGGCTCGCACGCTAAGACCTGCCGCGCGCTAATCGGGCCTCCGACGTCCTTGCAGTATTTCAGCCTGGTGATACTCATGTTCCTCGCTGAGTTTATGCTGGGCACCCTGGCGTTCGTGTTCAGGGAACACCTTGCGCGCAGCCTGAAGGAGGAACTGCTGTACGGCATCGAGAAGCATTACAATATCACCAGGGAACCGGGAACACTGCCTGCTGTGTGGGACCACATACACACGGAGGTTCGCATCACAGCCCTAATCAACAAAGCCCTAATCAGCAATAAACAAATGTTAGCGGGCGCCGGCAGATTGGCGACCGCTCCGATCAGATCGCTTTGCTGCACGGAAAGGAGTCCGCTCACGAGAAGCGATATCCCTGTCGCTGCGATCGTGAACATTCGTTCGAAGATACAGCTGTGTCAAAACTAGGTCGAAATAACCGAGAGCTATTGACTGAGTAGAAACCTTCCAGGAGAATCTTTTCGTTCCTGCAACCGAGCTTCTGTCTGCTTTCCAGCAAGTAGAAAATTCAGTTGCACTGACGAAGTTCAAGCTTCTCAAGCTACCAAGTCAGCAAGCTGCTGACGCGAATTTGTATGCGGGAAAAGATCTCACAGTTTGTGCGACTGAATGCGAATCAGACGAAAATTCGGAGATGCGCGAGGAATGATGTCTCTGCTTTGTCTCGCTGCGACTGAAGATACTCGTCTGAACATACAGCTTTGTTAAAGCTTGGGATGACTGGGAGTGATTGATTGATGCCCTTTTTACCAACTGTGGTTAACTCAACCAGCTGGTTATTTCATTCGAATTGACCAATCGCATTTTCTCACTTCTGATTAACGACAGATGTGACTGGTCGATAACCAGCCGGTTAAGTTAATCAAAGTTGGTAGGAACAGGCATGAGTAGAATCCTCTGCAGGATCTTTCCATTCCCACAGTCGAGTTTTCGTCTGGTGCTCGAGTAACAGGAAATTCAGCTGTACTGACGGAGCGTAGCAGATCGTGTTGCGCTTCTGTTGACAAGTTACCGACTCAACGAAACGAACGTACGTGACGAAATCTCAGTTTATGTATTTGAACTGTTGTTGTGCGATTAAATGGGGATTTGTTGAGTAGAGAGCAGACGAAAAAGCTCGGTGATGAGAAAAACGTTATCTTTGTTACCGCAATCGGAAATATTCATCTGAGCATACAGATGCATTAATATTCACACGGGATTACTGAGAGAGCAGTTGGTTAGGTAGAAATCTCCCAAGCAGAACGGAAAATCATGATAACATCAAAATGACGAGAAAATGACCGAGTAATGATGGAAAAATGAGTTTTCCTCATCATTCTGACGTCATTTTGATGTCATCATGATTTCTTGTTCTGCCTGGGCTCTTGCAGGAACCCAGACAGAACAAAAGATCTTGATGACATCGTAATGACGTCAAAATGATGAGGAAAACTCTTTTTCTCATCATGATTCGGTCATTTTCTTGTCATTTTGATGTCATCATGATTTTTTGTTCCACTTGGGAATCTTCGAAATTCTAAAGTTTGGAAATCTTCAAAGTTGTCGAATGTTTAACAGCCCTATAATGTGTATGTATTTCTTGAAATGGGTAAATTATGTTTCGTAATACAATAAGCCTGTTCGACAACTTCGGAGATTTCGGAATTTCGGAGAGAATTCGAGCGTTTGACGTTAACTTCGAATCTTCGAATTTTCTCGAAGCTTCGAATCTTCAAAGTCATCCTGATTGTCACACTCTCAGACGTCCCCTGCGCTTTCAGTTTCACTGCTGCGGCGTGCGCGACTACACGGACTGGTTCCAAATCGAAGCGTGGCCCGAGGAGGACCGCGTGCCAGACTCGTGCTGCATGCAAAGAGAACGCTACTGCGGCCGGCTGGATCCGGAGGGTCGTAACAAGGAGCTCTGGTACAAGGAGGGCTGTGCCTCCGCCATCCAGACGTGGCTGGTCACCAGACTCCACGTGGTGGGCACGGTCGGCCTGGTCGTCGCGTTCCTCCAGCTGTTCGGCCAGGTGGCCAGCATGATACTCTTCTGCACGGTCAGACACAAGAGGTCCTCGCACACGTACAAGAGCTACGACACCACCAACACCTAGAATCTCGATCCGGTCTTGGACGAGACCACCGTCTGAGATCGGAGAACATACCCTTCTCGACTCCCGTCGCGTGTCCCGCGCGGGAACGACATGACGAGACCTTTTCGGGACTGTCTTCGCGCGATAGGCCCTCCTCCTTCCCCGCGGGTAGGAGGACCACGACGTCGCGGTTCCTTTCGCTTGCGATCCCGCGTTAAAATTCGCACGTATTATAAACGGTAAGGGGCGACGCGATAAGAGGGACGGAAATTCGTTAGGAGAAATCGTTCACGGACCAGCGAACATTGCCCTACGAACGTATCTACGCACGAAGGGCGGTAGGGTGGGTGAGCAGGGGCGGGGGGAGGAGGAGGTGAGTCTTTTACATAGGTAAATAAAAAACAACATAGTGAGCTGCAGTTGACCAAAACATTTCCGCCGTGTACCAAAAGTATGATAGATATTTAATCGACGGTTCTACAAGCTATCTTCTTCATAGTTTAGGTCTTTTGGCAACATACACACCCACACACGCACACACATGTACATATACATATATGTACGTATTTGTTTTTCGGTGATTTTTAATTTCCGACGATTAATTACCGCGACTTCTAATGATCGTTTGACTCTGCCGTTAACAATTATCGCCATTCTTAATTGCAACGCTTACAAATGTAAGCGACGCGATGATCCATGGGTCCCCATAACCAGTATTTATTAGATAATCGAGTAGGTAGAGAATCTGACAGCAGAAAAGTTAATTTATACATGAAAATAATTTATGTAATCGACGAGAATATTATAAGATCGACCGTTAAATTGAGATGTCCTTTTCTAACGGGACAAGTGTTCATTCTATTTTCGTTGTAACGAGGTTGTCTCTAATCGCTATGTGCTCGATACTCATTCGCGAGAAGCAATCAATTTCCGATATTTGCAACAGCTTGCTTAATCACACATCATGTAATATCGACTTTCAAAGTTTATATAATTAAGAGCAGTTAGGCGGTGAGTATGCATGTGATTATGTGATTTTAGTCGAATACTCAATAGAGATCATAGATTATTGAAATATCTTCAATATCGTAAGCATGAATAATTCGTTACAACTTTGTCTCTATGATATAAATGTAGGTACGTATAAATGTATAAGCTGACTAAATTAAAGTAAACTGTTATTCTTTCATATATTATCTGATGTCGATGGAACAATTGATTGGATATGATAATTATAATGATGTTAAAGACTGTATACACTCCGCAGAATTGAAATGTTAAGGCGACAGTGATGTATTATGTATTGAATATATTATTATTATTATATTACAAATAATATATTTATACGATAAAAAACTGGTCGTGTTTTTCTACAATACATCATCTCTCTTTGACTTACGTGTAAAAATAAAGTCACAAGTCTATTGGCATTGCAAGATATCGATACTATACGAAGGTAGAAACTTCCGGATTGTACATTTTTGTAGAAATGTGTATAAAAAATTGTGCAAATAATTAAACAAAAATAATGTCGTCTACATTATTGGTTATAAAAAATATCGATCTCTGACAAACAATTATCTCTTAAGGACATAATAAATAATTGATTAACTTTTAGGTTTTTTATAACAATCAATTTATTGTCTAATAAATTATTATTAGCAATTATTGCACAAATTATTGATTATAAAAGATATTGATCTCTAACAAACAATTACATCTTAGAGAAACATGCTAAATAGAAACATAATATGTAAATAACCGATTAATTTTCAAATTAATCATAACAATTTAATGTTCAATAAATTATTATCAACAATATTTAACATATTACAGATCTGTAATATTTACAGACTTGCTATTGTGAGAGAAAGTTGTACCTTCTGAGAAGTAAAGGTCTTCTTAGGCCGCCATATTGTGCTTACTATAACTTATTCAGTGTTCAGTAAAATTCTGGATTTCGTTGTTATATGCTATCAAATCTGACAAAGATCTGAAAGTGCGAATCAATTATTCAGTGAACGGCTGTAATATTGGATTAAATCGTGTACTGCGATTTGAATTTGTCAGTACAAGTGCTTGCGTCCCGTAGTGAATATTTTGAAGCAACACTTTGAAGTAAAATCGAAAGATCGAAAGATCGAAAAATCGATCTGTTGAATCCAATAAAACGCGGTGAACGAATTATCTGGCGATGGTATATAGCGTAAATATTCGCCAAGTATATGGCTTGAGCTTCAGCTAAATAAGATTTGAATTTTGAATAAGCGGTTTTTACTGCTACATAGAGAAAAATATCATTTTATGCTTCATTAATTCTTAAATAAAAGTTAAGCATGAAAAAAAGAAAAAAAATTATCAAGTAAACAGAATAAGACGTGATTAATGACATCTCTGATAATGACGTTATTAATACGAAATTTGACATTGTTAATACTTTATCATATTTGCTGATAATCTTTTCTTATTGAATTGTATATGAAAGACAGAGAGAGACACGAATACCTCTTGAATTCTCACAAACGGATCGCTTTTCGAACACCATGTTGTGTTCCAGCATTATTATGATATATATTTAAAATGTACAACTTTTATTTTTATTGATTTTAAAATCTTTTCTACAATCTGTCACCGTCTTTGTTGAAAAATCAAGGTTGTGATATTATTTAGCAATACTTGGTATTAGTCAACGACATCTTTTATCTTCAAGCAATACGATTCAACAACGGATTAGCTAAGCTTTTAATCTTCCGATAGCATATAACGTAGCAGGTAATTTTTTATATTTAAATAATAGAATTATTAAATTAGAGAGAGAGGGACTTTTACTTTCCGGCAGTATCAATGACGGATCAAACAAACTTTCTCATTTTTTAATAGTACGATCGAACAGAGCGAATCGGATAGACTTTCGTCTTTGTTTAATAACGATAAATAAAAGTCTTCTTAATCTACATTCTTCCTCTTTACATCTCTGCAAGTTACTTACTAGGATATAAAAGATGTTTTTGGCGTTGGCAGTTCTCAAGAAGATATTAGGTCAGGAAATATTTGACCAACCATTTGTTTAAATGTCGTACTTATTAGGGATTTGAACTGTACACAAATAAAAATAATGTTATATCTCGATATATCAAGAGTTATGAAGTGAGATAAGGTCTGATTGTGAACTACGAAAATAAATGACTCTTACTATATGTATTATAAGTCTTATTATAAGTCTTACTATATATATTATAAGTTTTACAATAGACCCGACTGGCTCTAGAGGTAGCGATATAATATTCCAGATAGTTAAAATTATTCGTTTTATCTCTTTTATACAGCTGTTTACTAATTTATGAATAATATCTGTATTTCCATCGCTAACGTCCCTTTCCGTAACTTTATGATTAGTTTCGTTTGTAGGATTGGCTATAGGATCTGTCGTCTGTAAAAAAATATCGAGTCAAAAATGAGTTTTCATTCATACAAGGATTTAAAAGAGATAAAAAGAAAAGAAAACATATTTGCTTCACTTGCTGAATAGATTTATTTCAAATGCAAAGTTTCAACAATGTGACTCACGATTAAAAATAATTCTGCCAGAGCGGTTATTGTTTCTCATAGAATTTACTGATAAAAATTAATAAAAATACAAGAAGAGTAATAGCTGCGTATAGTCGCGTTCGCATGCACACACACACTCGGGACGTTATCAACAGTCTATTGTCAGCGAAATAACTGTCACCGTTTTGTGACATTAATAATTCGCGTTGTGCGAATTCGCGAAAATGAGGAATGCACTCACCTCGACGTTCCGTCTACTTCGAGCACGCGCTGACACGGTGCTCACGAAGAGCAAAAGCAGCAACAGATGCGCGCGCATCTGGAATCGATTGTTTCGAGAATCGATCTCGATCCTCTCACTGAATCAAAAAAATCCCGCACACCAATATTGTCAGCTGCCGGTGAAAGTCGGATTCGGTCGAATAGTCGACTGAGAAACAGAAACTAGTGGCCGACGTCGACGTTGACGACGAATGGCTACTACGACGCAGGGTTACAATGTATATTTTTTACGGTATCAAGCGATATTTATTTGTTCCCTCTATCGGTGTTCGGGAGTGGGCGAAAGAAAAATATTTCTGCATATCGCCGCTTGCGCATATTTTCGTGCGACGTAAAGAAACGCGCAATTTTGCCTGACCTCGGTGTATGTATGAGCTGTCCTGTATCGCTGATGAGTCAATGGTAATGTGGACACATGTGTTACCGTGTGTGATAGATATACGACGACGGTTTCGAAACATTATCAGGTCTAATGATTATGTATGTATTACCTCAGTTCTGACAACGCTTGATAATTTCTTCCCTCCACATGGTTTTATGAGCAAACACGCAAGGGTAAAATTCGAAAGACGGCCACCTATTTCATAGTCTTACGATATAATTACAAGCGATTTTATAAAATTGTCCTCGCAAGTTTTTCGTCGGTGATCATTCGTTTTGTGTCGCGAGTGATTTTGTCGAGAGCGTGAATAATTTCGTGCGGGGAAAATATATGTGGATTTATGCATGGAGCAAATATGGTGGTGAAAATTGCAGCAAGATTCTTACAATTGTGAGTCATATAGGAATATGACCGGAATTATTGTATATTGTACACGCGATATTGTAATTACTAGAATATTTTGTTGCTTTGTATTTTGTTATTTGCTATTTTTTTAGTAATTAACACAATATCTGTATAGTCTAGCTTTACGAAAAATTTTGTAAAGAATGAGTTAAAATATAATTAAAACATAACCCTTTCCTGCGATATCTTCTCCGTGTGCACGAGATTTATCTCGCAATCATTCAGAGAACTATTCTTTTATTAGAACTAAACTAAAATAGTTGTCTCAATATACGTACTACTGTGATCAAAAAATAAGGTGAATTTTTCATTTAAACTTCGCGGGTACTATAAAATCATGAAATTATTTTTTTGTGGGTTGGTAGCACTGTCTTTGACATCTATGCAGAGTTTCATGTCAATATATTCAATTGCTGCAGAGCTATACGTGTTTTTGTAAACATACAAAAGTGAGTTTTTCGATTTTTACTATGTCTGATTTTGTTGAGCAAAGAATTTGCATTAAATTTTGTTTGCGGAATGAATATTCTGCCGCGGAAACGTTGAGGATGTTGCAGAAGGCCTTTGGTGATAAGGCTATGTCGCAAAAAAATGTTTACAAGTGGTACAAAGACTTCAAAGAAAGCCGAGAACGAGTTCAAAACGAACAGCGCCCCGGACGACCATCAACATCTACCGATGAAAGCCACGTCAAGGAAATCAAACTGTTAACAAGGAATATTATTTGAGTGTTATGCGTCGTTTGCGTGAAGCTATTCGCCTCAAGAGGCCAGAATTATGGGCAGACAATTCTTGGTTTTTGCACCACGATAATGCACCGTCCCACACTGCATTGGTTCTCCGAGAACATTTCGCCAAAAATTCGACCCATATCGCTCCACAACCACCATATTCGCCTGATTTAGCACCGTGCGACTTCTGGCTGTTCAACAAACTCAAAAGACCGCTCCGGGGACACCGTTTCGACTCGATTGAGGAGATAAAAGCCTAATCGAAGAAAGTATTGAAGGCCATCCCGGAAAAAGACTTCTCTGACTGTTTCGAAGATTGGAAAAAACGTTGGCATAAGTGCATTGTGCCGGACGGGGAGTACTTTGAAGGCGATGAAATTGATTTGGAAGAATAAATAAAGATTTTTCATTTTATAAACAAATTCACCTTACTTTTTGATCACAGTAGTACGCTAGTATGCAATATATTTTATATGATATTTTCAACACAAATATGAGGAGATACATCTTTTCATTTCACAATAATGATGAGGACCATTGCAATTGGATATCTGTAGTAAGACATCCGATATTGATATATTGTGACATCGATAATAGAAATTATTTAACTTGTGAAACAATTGCCTCGTTTGCTTCAGCGACCACATTCTGAAAAATATAAAAAAATATCGCTGAAGAATATTTAATACAACATTTAATGTCAAAGAGTCTATTTATAATTTACGTAAAGAGTTTTCCAATCCTAGTTTTCTGAAGAAGAAGCAGTATCCATTTTGTAATGGAGAATTTTTTAAGGAAACTCTTCACCTATGATATCAAAATGGTTTTATGAGTATAAAAAGGCATTATCATTATAAATTACATTAGACAGTATATAATATTAATACAATATACCTTTAGGACGAGGAAATTTATTTGATATTATCTTCAAAATTGCTTCTTTTATAAAGTTAATAATCTTCTTTATTATATTATCTGTTCCAGCTATTTTGAAAATAATTGCATAAATAATAGAATATAAATTGCATAAATGGTATTATGAATCATATAAATGATATGAATAAAGCAATCTATTGAGTGAGTGCAAAAATTATAATAGAAAAAATTTGTGACAAAAAAGTGTATGCATATTCTAAATAATTTTATTAAAAACGATTTATTCTCATTCTACCAAGTAATCGTCATTGTTTTTTATTATCTGTAGTTTTGCTATTAAATACAGTCAGATCTTTTGGAACTCATCAAAACTTTGCACTCATCTAATATCTTCTATATAGCATATATTATTTTTTACGTGGAGTAGTAGGTGGAGGATTTGGTGGAGGTTGTATATTTTGAATTATTACGATACAACAGTTGCTTTTTTCGTCAAAAAAGCTCTCAGAACTACAATCAGAATCCGAATTAGGATAGAAGCGACATCGTTTGTTTCGTTCTTCGTTTTCATTACTTAAATTCTTATCGGCATCGCTAGACGTAATAAACTGAACGAGAAAAAAATGTATTTAATTAATGCCCTGTGTTCAATTAAGCATCTTTCATTAAATAAGTACAAATTGAAATTGTGATATATGTAAGCTCTCGTCTATTGCTTATACTCCCGTTTTCTACATCAGACTCTGCTACTGTATTTATAAAACTTCTTTTGTTAATAATTTTTTAGTGAACAATGAGTGATAATTTTTTGATTATTATCCAGGAGAGTCATTTCTATAATATATATAAAAGACAAAGTTATTAGAAGTGCCTCTCTCAAACGAGAGTTCAATCCTTTTAAAAACTACAAAAATTAAATAAATTAAAATATTTTTCGAGAAAACTTAGGAAAGATCTAAAAAAATTTTGTATTTATAAAAGTAAAAAATGCAATAACTTTTTGAAAATATTTTATATTGAAAATACTTTGTATTTTAAAAGTATTTTATATCAAAAATTATGTTGAGAATTTAACGTTAACAAGTAACACTCTGATTATTTTCTAAACCTAAAGATTAAAAATAACATGTAATATTAATAGAAAAATAAGATTTTTTAAAAACAGCTTTTTTATCATTCTAGAAGAACATTAGATTATTATGAAAATATTTTATTACTTTATATGCATGTAATTTATTTAAACTGAAAATGAACGAGTTAAAAATATTTCAAGTTTTAAAAAAAGTATAATTTTTATAGAAGATTGTATATATTTCCAGAAGAAAATATTCAGAAGAAAATTTTTAGTAGAGTATGTCATATTAATAATGTAGTGAGAAAAAAACACATAATGAAGTCAGAAATATCAAAATTGTTATAGTATGTTACGATGATAAAATATTTTGTTTGTACTTACGTCTCGGGCCCTTTTATCAATATTATCGTCGTCGTCCGTTTCTTTTAAGTGTTCCAAATCAAAATTTGAAGTTTGCTAGTAACGCGGTGAGGGAATTATTCATAGTAAAGCCGAAATTATCGAAACTATTAAGATGTATCAGTATTCGGCGTATACATACCATATCTTGGATTGTTCTTCCGAAAACACTCGCACCAGAGATTAGCAATAAAAATATGATACGTAGCTCCATGATTATATGTCAAATAAAAAAGAGAAATATTCTACGCGATAGAATTTTCGTCGCTTTACTTGGCGACTCTATTAAAAATAAGTTCAATTCGTCGACAAAACTACGCGAAACAAAAACGTTTGACAAATTGTCGTTAGTTAGAATTGTTCTCGTTGTGACTGGAAATTCCTCATTGATATTTTTGCAACTGGGAATTCCTTATAAGGGGACACCATATCTTATCATATTCTGGAAATTGTGCTGAAGGTTGAAGTCACCATTTTTAAGTGTTTAAATAAAGCCTTCAACTGATATTACTTTGTACTACTTCGTATACTTGCTGCTTGTTATAAGCGATATGGTGTTCCGGATGTTTGAAGTAACATTGTTCTAAATGACACACGATAGTTTTTTTTTATTTACTTTATACATATTCTCTGATCGATGTATACGCCTGTATGTGAATCGATGATTAGTCGACAGAATCGTCAACAGCAATTTCTAGCTATGTAATTTGTCATTCGACAACAACAAAAAGATTATTAATCCCATAAAAAAATAGAACTAATTAATACTTGACTATGATAGCAATTTTAAATAATAAATTGCAACGGGAGAATACTTCAAAGAATTTTCTTATATACTTTTTTAATACGTAATAACCTACTTCATTTTCTATGTTGGCAACTCTGTTGGTTCAATTAATCATTGATTAATTTAATTGCTGAAAACCATCCTCAGACTTGTTATTGAAGACCGACGAGTCGTGCTCCTAGGTGATTTAATGTTTCCGTTATTCCTCGAGACGTCTGCTTGGCGGCATGGACAGGGAACTGGAAAAAGACGCGCAATTATTCCTATTTCTTCTTTGCAGCCAGATTAAGCTAAAGAAAATGAATTTCTCAAGGGAATATTTAAAAATTTTACCGACAAGATAAAGTCTAACCCTCTTCTGCAAATTTACGTCGTATTGCACAAAATCACACTCTTACATAATGAAATTAGAGCATTGCTTAATGTGCCATGAAAATGATCAAAATTTCAAAATTGACACCTCGAGTTGTCAGGATGAAGATTTGCCTGACGTAAAAGTTTTTATACGTATCGAAAGTACGTCAAGAGGCAACTGGTACATACTGAAAGTGTAATCGCGCTCGACTCAGGAATATCAAAGAATATTGTTGTACTTTTACAACTGAATTTAGAGGCTTAAAAATACATATGGAGAACTTGCGGTATGATTTCTGCACATGCCTGATTATGATTTCCGCTAAATATAGGAAAATAAAATGGCATCTGCACGAGAATATTTATTTTGAGATCGTTCATGTGAAATAATTTATATGAAATTGTTTAAGTGTATAATATCTATATATACTAATATACTAATATACTAATATATTAATATACTAATATAATAATATCTATATATACGAGAAATTTTTGGACGATCGTCATCGATATTTTTGGAATTCGTTAAACTTAAGGGGGTGTTTTGGCACTCCCTTAAGTTTTCATTAATATTTGCGTTATATTGACGACGTATCATTTATCTCATAGTACACTTACGTCCACCACTGTGTTCAAGAAATTGCTCAGACTCTCGTAAGCATTGACGATCGCTCTGCTGAATCCGGCGAACTTGTCGCCCATATTACCGTATTTCTCCTCCTCTTTGATTCGGTCGACAATCGGCGTGGGATTCAAGAAGCTATTCAACGCTTGTCGGATGTTGTCGGGCTTCGGCCTCTCAAAAATCGCTTGCTCGTTATCATTTTCTAACCGAACCGTCTCTCGCTGCACGGGTTGGAACAAAACGATGGGCGTAGTAGTCCGGACCGATGTTAAAGATCTGAGACTTACACTGGGCTTGTCGGGCAAAGTGACTATCGGTATGACATTGTTCGAAGCTTCGCGGGGTAGTTCCTGCGTAAAAAACAGAAGATAAGTACGTGTGTTAGTGCACACAATTCTCTCGTCATGAGTTATTCGAGGGGAATGTTCAACTGCGGCTAAAAAAGTAACGAATATGGAAGGAAAAGGCAAAGGAATACGATACAACGATAATGAAGTTAACGTTAATTACGTCGCTTAGTTTGCGCGAGGAACGTCTCCATCGTGTCGAATGATGTTTGACATAAATATTTGGAAAATGTGGGATGTAAAATGTTATTAAATCTGGAAATATATATCGACGCATCGTGATGAAAGCCGACACTTTTCTTCTTGCTCCTTAGAATCCAAATTTTTTATTTTATTGTCTGTTTCAGTGAAATAATGTCAGTGGATACAGTACGTTTTATCTTTGTTACGTTAACTCTGCTCGACAATGAGACATTCTAAATTTGTTGTTTTATAATAATAATAACAATTTATATTAATATAATAATGATATAATATAATAATAATAATTATTATTATTATTATATATAATAATAATACAACCTAATAATATAACATAATAATAACAAGCTGTTAGGACGATATGTCAAATTTATTACAAAATCGTAATTAGGATAATTTCGCTGGATATAATAATTACCACCACTTGACCGACTATTCCTATAAAACGGTAATTTTAACTTTGCCTGCTGATAATCGGTGACATCGGCGGATATTGCGAAGATATGTAATTAGAGGTTTGAAGCCGCAAACGCGAATCTTATTTTATTATTATTTATTTCAGAATTATTTCTTTCTAGCTTATTTAGCCGCCGATAAAGTAAAGCGGGAATTCTAAGAGAGATCCTTTTTTGCATTTTCACGTACTTTTCTTCAGTTTAATTTTATCAGGTGTTAAACGTCTTACCTTTCCCTGCTCCGTTGTTGAAGACAAGACGTTGTTTGTGTCATTTTCTCCGTTATCGAAGCCGAGTCTCGTGGATTCCTCCGCAGGGCGAGCATTCGATAAATCTAACCGGCAGCTTAACGATAAAATAATTAAAATCCTCAACATTCTTCCTTTTGGCATTCTCAATGTAAAAAAAATATATTAACTTGAAAACGAAAGGATTTCTCAGTCGCACTTTTGTTCATAGAAATCCGTTACATCCGTTCACAGACAGCCAAATTATTAATTAACGGCAAATACTTGTACGGCCGAAGTTCGTCGCTATCGAACGGCGCACAGCCGACTAACGGATTTCGCTCTCGACGTGTGACGAACTTACCTTACATCTTACGACATTGTGTTACTTTCTCTTTCTGTGCTTCTCCATATTGCAAGCATAAGTATCGCATTGAATTGGATATCGATTGGTATTATCGAGGCGGAATTAAAATCATTAGAAATTTTTTCCATCACCCATTATAAAAATGGTACTTCTTTTTATTGAGCATAAAATACAGTATGCACATAGTATGCAACATAAGTATATAGTATAAAATATAGTTGCGTTTAATTATAATAAGTTTTAAAAAGCAACCTGTCATAAATATGCATTTATTGAAATCAATTGAGATCAATATTGAAATCATGTCGAGTTTCACATCAGCAGGTTCTTGGAAGGAAATGGTATATATATTATCGGTGTGGATGATACAGTCAATTACTGAGGCAACAAACGTAACATTTAACGACATCACCTTAAGCAAAATTTTCGAAGGCAGGTCTGGTACGCAGAATATTGCATCCTAGTTGGCACGAGAGATAGCTGTTGCGAGGTGAAAAAAACATAACACTTTACGTAGATCGACCTCTTTCATCTGCGAGAAAAAAAAAGCATTTCAATATTGCAGAATCAGAGCTCTCTATTTCTCAACTAAACATTCGTACGTTACGCAACATTCAAAGCCTCGCTTTCATTGGATAATATATTCGTACTATTAGAATTGAGCGTTTAGCAAGCTCTTGTTCTGATCGGAATATCTTTTTAATCCAAGAAGATACACCAGTCAGATTAGCAAGAGCTTAATGACTATTTGTAATGTTGAATATACTTATTACACCTATTTACAAACTTTGTATATAGGGTGTTTGGTATAATGCGTACTAGTGCGCAACTAGCATCTACTACTCATCAGACAGAAGAGAAGAGTTTTCTACCTTTCTGCAAACTCTGATAATTATTGAGATGTTACTAAGATGTTAATTAAGGAGATAGTCAATATACGTCATCGTATTATTAATTCGCCAAAAACCTTTAATTAATATTTTAATAACAATTTTGGTTTTTTTACAAAGTGACAAAAAACTTTCTTCTTCTGTGTAGTTTCATGAGTTTTATCTGTACATGAGAAAATATACGATGTAAGATATTCTGTATAAAAAATCGGGATTCACCTCCAACAAGAAATGAACAATGCCGTCGCAAGCGCGAATGAATGATTTAATAAATTGCAACATTTTGTTGATATTGCTGCTACATTTCCCATGTCCGAAAATTTTCCAATTATTTGAAAACTGATTCTGTTGGTCATAACCGCTCTTACCGGCTACCATCACCCCGTTACCATGTCCTACCAAATTTCCATCGTGGTTGGTAGTCGCGTTCATACTTTTTGTACCGTTACTATTTCCGTGTCTGGTACTTCCCCTTTTTCGTGATCGTCAACATCTTCGCTTCCCTTAGAACTGCCTGTCTGACTTATAATTTCTCCTTTTACATCTCTGCCTCTTTCACGGAAAAAAGCCACCATCACTTGATGATCTGATACCCCAACCGCCATCCTGCATTATAGCATCGCTACCGTTGAGTGATAATCTACGTTCCAACCCGAAACCTGCTGCAATTCGTGTTTGATATAATCCGGTAACGTTTATTTTGTGATAGAGACAATAATTAATACAATTACCACCCATATTAAAACCCATCCCTTCAATTTCTTTCGATGTATCATTCAGTCTAAATGGCTTGAAAATATCGGAGCTTCGTTTTACTTTAACAACTTTCTTAAACCCTGCGCCACCCGTGCCTGCAGAAACAGAGACGCTATCCGTGAATGAGACGCCCTGTGCAAAAGAGAAGAGCGAATAGTTAACACTTTGCCGGCCGCTTACTTCTCGCATCGCCTTTACGCTGCCGCCGGCGAATTTCGCGCGGGTTTTACTACTCGCCGACGGTGGTATTAAAGAATGTCAAGAAAAGACAATCGGGATAGTTAAAACAGAAGTATAGTGGAAACATTGTTGCCGCGCTGAATCGAAGTCACGCGTACGTGACAGCTGCCGGCAAAGTGTTGAGACTCGCTATTTTCGCCGTATTATCAATTGTGAAGAAATAATCAATAGTTCACAATTTTTACGGCGTGCGTATGTGTAAGGTAAGGAAATATGCAAATTAATAAAAAAGGGCGAAGAGAAGACTAAACATGTGTGTGTGTGTGTGTATGTGGGTAGAGTTCTCTTTTATTCATTTTTTTAGAAATCACAGAATCATCGAAAATTTCGATAGTTATCGTCAGTCGCGTTACAAGCTATCCGTGAGACAGAATATCGATGGTTCTCAGGTATGCAGTAATTGTTCTGGGTCATATTATCGTTATCTATTGTGCTCGTTAATGTCTTCCGTGATACTATTTTTACTCTTAACGACTCGCTGTGAGAGCAGGGTAACACGTGCTTGCCATTTATAACAATAAACGTTCCAACGACGGACATGTTTGCGGCCATATATGATCGACTACTAGACAACAATCGAATGTTTCCTCCCTTCTTGGCAGTGCAATAAAATCTCCTTTGAAATCTCCTCTTGTAACATTCGTACCACGTACATATCGTACAGAATGAATAATGACGACAGCATCTCGAAGTCGGAAGTTTGGAGGGTGCGCGCACAATCTACATATTTGAGTTGTTAAAATATATTCAAGACCTTCGGGGCTACATTAAGAGAATCCAGTTTTTAAATAATATTCGAAACGTATTGCACATGTATGTGTGTGTGTGTGTGTGTGAGACTTTTATTCTACGGTTTCAAACGATTCGACGCCAGCCAGACAGGCCATCGATTATAGATAAATAATACGCGGCATGTGTAAAAAAAAAGAAATACATATACGCATTATAAAAAAATACTGGATGTCACAGAGGGGTTTTTTACATAAGGCTTTATTTCTTATATATAAAACGTGTTCTCCTTGAGCGCGACTGGGACAAAGAAATACTGTTGCACGTGAAACCAGCGGTAATCTAGTCACGTATGAGGAATCGTAAGATCAGACATCGTGCATGTCCGGCATTCGTGGGCTGCGTACAAATATCCGCCGAAAGCGGTTAGACAAGGAACGAACACGTTCGTCAAGTACACCTCAGGGTTTATAAAAAAAGAAAAGTAAAAAAGAAAAAAAATACACGGATGGATCCATCTTCCATCGGGAGCATTGCCCTGCGCCTTCGACGGGAAGTCTCGACGTTTTAGCCGACGTTGTTCAACAGTTGGTTAACGGCCGCCAAGGTGGAAATTGGAATCTGTCGGGAAGAGATTTATTAGCAATCATCTATCGTCGACGAGGGACTCGTTAACAATTATCTAGATCAGGATTTCCAAACTTTTCTTGTATTTCGTGCCCCTAAAAAATTATTAATGAACCCTCACACTCCCTAGAAAAAAAAATTATTCGTATGTTTTATGGTAAAAATTAGTTGTTAGGGTTTTAAGGTAAGAAGTTAATTTATATAATAATTTATTATTACATAGTATTGTTTTATAGAAATGAACTATCATTTTAATATTATAAAATTATTATCCATAGTGTCAAGCTTTGCATATGTGATACGTAATGAATATATACGTACAGATACATAAAAAATATATAATTTTAGTAACATTTTTTTTAATTTGATAGTAAAAATGCTGGATTGTCTCAAAATTCATGTTAATCATTATTAATTACAATCACTTTTCCTCGCACCCCCAAGAATGTTTTTTCGCACCCTCAGAGGGTGCGAACACCTTCCCCCGGTTGGGAACCCCTGGTCTAGATTTTTAGCGATATTCGTCGGGCGTACAGCTGGCGGAGCTACGAGTAATCGAATTCTCATACGACGCAGATTTCTCTGCGTTGGGACTCACGTTAAAGATGTCGTCGAATAGCGAGCCGCTGTAGCTTTTGCCCGCAACAACTGCAACGCCGCCGTCTGCGACCGTATTAGCGACGGCCAGGTCGCCGCTTACGTTGGAAGCGCTTTGAATCTCCGTCGCTATCGGGGCAACGTAGACCGTTTTCCTGGGTACGTTCCAAAATCTCTTTCTAAAGTACCAGCGGGGGTACACGATTCTTGAAACGGGAACTGTATTATTGTCTGAAAAAAACAGGCTGTTCACTAAACGCCTAAAAATTATACGTTTAGATTGAATACATTATCATACGTTTCGATTGAAATTAGTTCCTCAGAATGTAATTCCTCTTTCATTCAAAACTCTCGTTTTGTAAAAATTTGCTTGAAGTAATGGCGAAGATTTCGTCGCTTGGGATCGCAAGGGCGAATGTTTCACTTCAATTATGAACGAATATTTAACTTATATAAAGGAACGCTTCGATCGATTAGATCGATTAATGTTTTCTTCCATTACGAATGAAAATATTTACTCGACGATTGAAGAATTCAGCCTGCACATGGGCGAGAAGTATCTCGAACTTTAAGTGACTCGGCTGAGTGACTTTGCTTTTTGAATGCAATTCCGCAACCGAAGAAATTTAGTAAGTTTTCTTTATATTTCTTGAAATAAAATTCCATTCAAACCAATTGAAAACGTTCAAGACGGAAATACTACCGACTGGAATCACACAAGCGCGAATATTTTGTTTAAATTTGACGTTAAACTTGAATTGTTAATCGATACGAGTGAATGTTTTCAGTTGATTAAAATAAATCTACTGCAGTGATAATAGACTACATTCAAAATTCGCACCTTTCTAAAAAATTTTATCGGATGATTCAGAGTGGAGAATTTACCTTATTTGAGAGAAGAGTCACTCAAGTTTGAGTGATTTTTATTTTACGAATGGAATTTCATACTAAAAAATTAAAGAGCCTCTAAATTGACTCTCTGAATATCCTAGAACGAGATCTCGCTCAAAACAGGTGGAAACCGTCTCGAGAAGAAAATATTGCCACTCGAAATCACAAGAGAGTGACCGTTTAATTTCTTCAGAACTGGATTCCCTTCATCTGCGCGAGTTTCATCCGCACGAATGCTTCAGTTGTTTGTCAAAGTGAGTCAATTTCAATGCATAACGATGGAATTCATTAGATTCTTCGCTTTCGAATGCAAATGTTCACTCGATGACTCAGAATTCGCCGCTCGAGTTCGAAACAGCCAGTCTGTTCTTCTTACGCCGAATTTCACCCCGGAGGGAGAACTTTGCAGAGTAAGGGAGGATTCAGACTCGAGGAAAAAAGCAGAAAGCAGAAAGGCAGGCACCGATCAAAACTCGTGCTGATGATCTGTTTCTCTTTCGAAAGAGATAGAAGAGAGAGACAGATTACCAGCGCAAGTTCTGATTAGTTCCGCTTTTCTCTGTTTCCTGCCTTTTTCCCTGAGTGTGAAACCTCCCTTAGGGCGGATTCACACCTTGGCAGAAAAGCAGAAAGCAGAACAGCAGAAACCAAGAGAGTGCCAGAGAGAAAAACTCTCGCAAGAGAGAGATAGATTATCAGCGCGACTTCTGACTGGGTGCTGCCTTTCTACTTTCTGCTTTTCTGCCAAGATGTGAATCCTCCCTCAAGGTGCATTCACACCTGGGCAGAAAAGCAGAAAGCAGAACAGCAGAAGCCAAGAGAGTGACAGAGAGAAGAACTGTCGCAAGAGAGAAACAGATAGCGCCATTTGTGACTGGCTGCTGCCTTTCTGCTTTCTGCTTCTCTGCCGAGGTGTGAAACCTCCCTCAGACAATCGCTCACCGACACTTGCTGCCGCATTGGCGTTGACCTGAGTCGCAACGGGAACAATGAGCGGGGCTGCGGGAATCGGGACTGCGGGGACCAGGACGTTTTTCTCGACGGTTTTCGTGGCGGTGACAGCCGGCACGACCGCGCCCGCGGAAATCGAGCCAACCACGTCGAGCTGCGCCACAGGAGGTACGATCGCGGCGTACTTTACGGCACGCCGTACCTGTCACGGTGTCATACAATTACTCTCGTCACTTGTGTCGTCGAATATTCGCAATCGCGTTAATCACCGCCAATCGGCAATGCTCACCTCGTTGTTCTTCGGCTCGGCTTTAATGTCCGCTGCGGCTGCGTTGGCTGGCAGCGCGGCAGCTTCGACCGCCACTTTCTGCATTCATGACAGATTTTCGTTTTAAACACCCTGTACTGCCTCGCACAAGTGCGTTTGTTACGGCGACGGTATTATGCGATTAACGCCAAGTGTTAGTGCCAAGAGAATCCGACTCGTGAAGTTCGTGCAAAGTTCGTACGCTTTTATTGGCAATTACATAACATGTACGTATAACTGATTAACGAAAGCTTAATGGGACTACGACCGTTGTCGGCGCAACGCCATTTTCCCCAAACGACGACTAGACTACGGAAAATGCGCGCTCGGCGGACTCGACTTTTGCTCGCTCGGCTAGCAAGAGTTACACCCAAAAAAAAGTAATTTCAGAACAAGCAGAATCATCTAATTTTTAGAAGATTTTATTCTTATGTATGGTTTCAAGAGGATTCCTCTAAGATTAAGAGGAAAATATTATAAACATTATTCTTAAAGTTAGAGAGATTATATGTTATATGTATAATGTAAATCTCATTGATTTTAATATAAATTTTCTCTTATACGCCAATTATTTAATCTTTTTTAAGAGGATTATTATTTATTCTTACTGGTTATACCAGTTAATTTGAAAAAATTATTATAATGTATAACGAAAAGTAATATATATATATATATATGTACCTCTGGCTCCGGTTCTACAATAAGTAGGCATGAATAAAATTAAATCTTTATAATAAATAAATTTCCAATCAGTTTTGTTGTGAACTTCATAGCTACAAAGATGTTCGTCATAACCAATTGTATGAAACATAGTTAAAAAAAGAATACATTATTCAACTTCTTGCAATAGATTATAAACTGTATTTGACCAAATATGTCTAAGTTATTTTCATTATATGTTACAGCAACACACATACCTTCTTTAGAAAGCGTTCCAAATATTCTGAGCCATGAGCATATGGTTATTTATTCGTTCATATCTGGAAATAGAGTATGACTGAACAAAAGAAGTCGACATTCGAGTCAACATATTCCTCTTCATATAGGAGGAATATTAATTGGTATAAGAGGAAATCCTCTTGAAATAAGAGGAAAACAGTTAGAATAATATCTAATAAATTTTAGATGAGTGCTTCACGATTAATCGCTTGATCGAAAGAGGAAGCCTTTTCCTGTAAAAGGCTTCTCTTAGAATATGAGACTATAAGAAAAATCACTTTACAAATAGAATACTATTTTTTGGGTGTATAGTTTTTGGCTGTACTCGAGAGGTAGAGAGAATCAAAGTATCGCGGCCGCCGTTCATAAGAGACGGCTCGCCGACGCGGAGCTACATTTCATTGAACGGAACCTCTTTCTCCTTCCTCGATCTCGACGGAATGATCTGAATGTTCGTGCGGCCCCTCGTCGCCTTCGCTTCACTGGACGCGCTTGCGGCCGCATCGGTCTTCTCCGTCGTCGTCGCGCCAGCTGCTTGCGGACTGTCGCCAAAACCGGTGTAGGACACGTCGCTCGGGGCTGCAAATGGGATATCGCCGTTCTTGCCGACACCTCCGCCGAGGAACACGCCGGTCCCGAGGCCGCCGCCCGGTGTTGCACCTGCGTACATGCCACCGGCAATCGGATTCACCGACCGTCCGCTGCCGTCCAATCTGCCTCCGAGACCGGCCGCGGCTTCCGGCCTGCCGTTGCCGAGGCCGGCGCGAGCGTACAGTCCGCCACCTGAAATTGTTGTTATTGTTATTTATTAATTCTTAAACACTAAGGATGGGTGAAAATTCATCCAGTATTTTTTAACTGTTGCCACTAGATAGCAGCACATCACATGGCGGTGTCCTGTTAGGATTTATAATGTTCATAAATATCTTACAGCGTCTATGCTCAAATAAAAGTTTTTTTTACAACGAAAGATTCTTTTCCTTTCAAAGATTGTATAATTTAAAAATATTTTACACATCGCTACACATTTTTACCAAATATTTATAGTTCATGTACATTCAAAAAAATTAAGAAAATTATAGGTGAAAATTCACCTTGTCAGAAATTAATAACAACATTTGAAATTTTTCTTGCAAGAGAGTGTTTTAAATATAATACTTTGAGAGACTCAATGATGTTGGAGCATCCATTAGTAAGCGTGCTCAAGCGACCATTTGTTGTATATTTTACACAAAATATTTCGTGAAAGGAGACGCAAAATTGGCGACTGTTATCCTTGTAATATTTCTATAAAATTGTATTTCACGATACTGTCTCGCCGCTTGGGTTCCTATTATTAGGTATCATTACTTCAGAAAATCGCGGCACTTTTAAAATTCGATACATTTTCTCGAGGCAATGCAGGCCCATTATTCCGCCCTCGAAGCGAAGATGTCAAGGTAGTGTCAACAGTTTCCGAGATGCCAGCTATTGAAAAAGTTTGCACGTAATACTCCAATTTTTCACGTATATACACCATACATAATACATTCAATAAATTTATTATCAAAGTAAACTCAGGTAAGAGCTGGCCATGAAATAATATTCACACAATGTTATTATTTTTATAGTGCATGCACATAAAGTACTGTATAATAAATATATCAATTATCTCTGAAAACGTCGACAAAAAGTCATTGAGAAATTACAGCCTACGGCCATCTTTCTCGTATGTGACGCCATCTTACCCGAGTTTAACCTATTATTGTTGTTATTTCCTTTTCGTATCTGCTACTACTAACCGACAGTGCCTTCCTCCCCGCTTACTTGGCCGCCTAGTCCAGCTCCTGCGTGTGCGCCCCACGGGGTGCCCACGCTTGCGTGAAGTCCTCCGCCCGTTCCAGCACCCCTGAGGAGACCGCCGAGACCAGCTTCAGCATGGTATCCGGCGAAGTTCACTCGGATGCCTTTGTCAGTGAATTGCAGGAACGGCTGTGGAGAAACAACCATCGAAGAAGGTTGAGTCATGACCGGAAATACTCGGCGGAATTGGCAAGATAGTGATTGCACACGTTGTGTCGCGTAAATAGTAACTTCTCGCGAGATTCTACGAGACACGTCAATATTCTCTCTCTCTCTCTCTCTCTCTCTCTCTCTCTGCTACACGTTCCGTCTGTAAATCGTGCGCGACAATGCAATTTCCATCATGTTCCGGTCTACTCTCCGCCGCAAGACACAAGTATTTTTCTCTCTCAAGCTCGTCGCGTGTGAGTTTCATCAATCGCTAACGTTTGAGTGCTTCGGCTAATTTCGAAACTAGTCACTGTAACGTTGCATGATACAACAATTTCCCGTGGATATTTTTGCGCCGGGCATTGCACAAATGGAGCAAATCGAGCCGAAAGAGACGAAACGCGGATGCCCAGCTTACAATTAGATTACGACGACATCGATATTGAAATTTGCGAAGCGGTCATTAGCCGCGATTATATTTACTTTTAGCTTTGAGCATCAGTTCAAGAATGTCCAGGTATGTTAATAATGTGACAACTGAATAACGAGCGTGATAACCGTAAGCGAACGGCATAGTTCTCAATACGCTGCGCATTGCAATGTCATCAAATGGAAACTTCGTGTCACCGCGACAGGTTGAAGATTTATGATAAACGTTACAGTTGCATACACGGATGTTTTTTTTCTTCTGGCATTTTATTATCTATTTTGTTCTAAAACTATAATTTTGTCGTGTTTTTTAAGTAGTAGTGGTTTTAAGTAGTAAAAGAAGAGACTGTTAGTCAAGTTTATTCAGTTAAACGACATAGCAAAGAACCTCCAAAAAATGCCTGTTTTTCAGACCCCGATTTTTAAATTAAATTTTATGCGAAATGATAGCTCATGATAAGACAGTAATCACAAAAAAGTTTTACATTGAGCATATTCACGATTGGTTTCAGAGATATAGAAGGTCAAAGTGATCACAACCTACTAAGGAAATGTGTACAACATAACAGTTCCAATAAAAGTAAATGATTGTTTCACTATGTGTGTCCGCCATGTTACACCTGCCATCTTGAATTTTTAAAATCTGACATCAGATTCATAATCAACAAGTCAAAGAACCCACAGGTACCGAATTTTGCAAAATTTCGTGCGATAAAGCATTATTAGTGTCATACTTTCTTAGTAAGTAGTGACCACTTTGACCCTCTACATCTTTGAAACCAATCGTATGCTCAACGTAAAACTTTACTGTAATTAATGTTTCATCATGAACTATCTTTTGGCATAAAATTCGATTCCAAAATCGAGGACCGAAAAACGGGCGAAAAATCGATCTTTCTTGCGGAGGTTCTTTTTTAAAGCAGACTTTTGTTACCTCGTTACGGTTGTTACAAAATTATCAATGACGGTGAGTGTACGGACTATTATATATTAATTAATATATTATATATTAATATGTTAATATATTAATATATTAATACAACTATACAATTAATTCAACTATAAAAAACATGATAGGACTTAAAAATGTTGTATAATATATTAATATACTAATATATATATTATATATTAATTATTATATATTCTGTTTGTACAACATTTTTAAGTCTCATCATGTTTTTTATAGTTGAGCAGAACTAAATTATCAATAAGGTTCATTTTGTCAAGGAGAGAGGAAGACAATAAATTTTCTAAAAGCACACACGACAGAGTCTTTCAACTTTTCAATAAAATTTTCAAGTAATTTTTTTTTTATTTTAATATTGTTCTTATAAAACATGGCAAGACATTTTAAAGGCATAAAAAAGTATAGTAAATTTTGTAACAGTTCAGTTCTTAAAATATAAATGGCACGTACGAAATGAAAGGATAATAAATTAAGGGAAAATGTTGATGAGTTCCTGAGTTACAAATGTCTGCAGTAATTTATACTAAAAAATTCTCCCCATCCGCCATTTACTGTCGTCTCTTAGTTTGCCTCATTTTCAACTTCGCAAAGAGGGAACAAAGATTTTGTGACAACACAACGGTACGCTGTAGCCGTCCGACATTGATGATAAATTCAATTTCATGCTACATCGTAACGCTTCCGCGATCCTTTCTCCCGCCGGCACATTAAGAAGCCACCTTGGATGGTTATCTAACCGGCATAAGCTGCAACTTTTCCTCGCGTATTTTTCCTCTCGGACCAATTAGAATCAGTCCACGCCTTTCTGGATCACGCATTATATATTCTCGCGCGGCGTAATCTTTCTCTTCGCATTCCCACTTCTTAACTACATTTAATAGCCGCTCACGATGACGCCCGAGTGACGTTATTTACGCGGAATATAACTATGCTCGCGATTATAATAATGGCCCGTCATCAAACAGGCTCATTAAATCGCGATGCAATGTAGAATACTCGCTTCAGACGAGATGCGGTATAAACAAAATCGCAAGGACATCACCGTCTCTTTCATAAATATACTGAATAACGTATCGAAAGCACCTGTTATCAAATTTTCATATTCGGCATCGATATATTGGCTAGGTCTTTGCGATTTCAGCAGCCTCCGCCGCATGCTGTTTCATAATATATCTCATTTTTATCTGCTAGCGTACGCAGGCTTCACGTAATTGACCGCTAGGGATACGAGCGACGAACGAAACGTCCGGCGAGAGGCGATTTCTCGTCTCGTCTTGTACGCAACCGTGTGCAAAACACGTAATAGTATATTGCGCGGTTTATCTCATACGACGTTACGGGATCTCGGCGATGTTAATACGCGGTAGATAGTGAAAATTTACCTTTGGTGTCTGCATCGTTCATGTTCCTACACAAACAATAGTACCTATTGTGTTAGCCAATAAGTAACCCCGCATTTTTCATAAAATAAAATGATTCTATTAGAGGTGCCGGAAAGAGTCTTTTCGTCTTTCCGTGCTCTTCACTTTATTGGTCAAACGCTGCCATTTTCTGAGAATAAGCTCGATCTTAATGAAAGTTGATATACACAATAAAGAAATGTCGTTAACTAACCTGGAATTTAAATCAATTCTGGATTAAAGTTAAGAACCACGGAAATTGAAGGCTTTGAAATAGGAAAAGACTTTCCGGTATCTTCGATATATTTCTACGTCATTGTGAAGTTTTGCGGAAACCCACACGTTGCATCATAAATTTGAAATGACATACAAACACAGAGATTTCGTTGTGCCCGAAGAATCCGAGATTATTTATAACGAAACCTATAGTGTATTAAAATTACGTTACAACACAAATTACGTGCGATACATCTGTAACACACACACATACACACACACACACACAAATAAGTAAATAATAAAAGTCACACACAAATAAGATGCATTTTTATAAAAAAAAATGTTTCGTCTCTTCCTCCCTTTCAATGTTTTATGTTTTACGGATAAATGTAGTCGCGATTCTCCGTCAGAAGAACTTGAAGGAATTTGCGGCAAGAAGAACGCGTGAATGGGCAGAGATGTTGAACTTACCAGGCCGGACCTCTCCTGGGACGTCGCGTCATCGTTTTGCGGCATCCCGTTAGCGAGCGCTACGCAAATGATAAACAGATAGTGAGCTACCACGCCAAACGACATCTTCGCGTTTACTGACGGGGAACTGAGGCTGTAGGTAGGCAGGTAGGCAGTGGTTTCTCAGCTTGACCGTTGGGCATCTCTTACTCACCTGCTGATGGAAGGGGTAAGGCTCGACGAGATCCGTATCGTTCGTTCGCCAAACGGCCCAGGAGGACGCTTGGACTGCGATGTGGAAACGGACCAGTTGAACAGAGTCCAACCGCGTCGTACCGTGGAAATTTCAGATGACTAATATTTCAATGAATTTTTTTTTTCCGCCACGAATGAACGATTGATGCGACTAATGCGTGCAGCTCGGCGAAGAAAAACTCCGGTCGATATCCGGTGTGCCGCTTCTCGACGTTTCCCGGAGCAGGCGATTAGCGCGACGACAATTTCACATGACAAATAATCATTCGACGTAAGAATCGCGTTCCCCCGCGATCCACGGCAGCCGTTCGCCGTTATTTGTGTGATCGAGAGAGTGTGACGAGAAGAGAAGGGAAGCGCAATATGTCGGCGAAATGTGCGTTGTATGTTGTAGTGATAAAGAATACTTGGCCGAAGTCGCAATCGGCGAAATTCGACGTATGTGGAATCCGACGAAACGCCGCTCGAACGACACGTCGAAGCGACGGTTACGTGACTTGAGAAAGACTGATGGCAGACTACCAGGCAGAATTATATAAAGTACTGTACAATGGTGCCGTGACATAATCAGATCAGCTTATTGGTGCACCATAATTGATCGGCCGCCAATCGGCTGCCGATCCGGGTATATCGTGTATGTTAATTCGTGTTTCTTGTCGATCTCTTTTTAGACGACGACGACGACGACGACGATCTCACGGGAGTCATGCATATTTCTCACATGTGACATTCGATTAAACAAATTTTCTTCTCGCGTGTGATTCTACGAAGTATTTTACAACGATTTGCGACAGTCGATCACCGCGTGAGTCGTTACAGCTAAATTTATACGCTGTTATTGTAACAGCCGACTCACGTCTCTGCGTGCTGCGCTTCCGTCGTCGATTTGAAATTCATATAAAAAATATTATCTAAGTATTATCTAAGTAATAATATTATCTAAGTAAATTAAAAAATATTATCTAAGTATGAAATGACCGCGCGACGACGAGCGACGCGTACGGCGCGAATTTTAGCACGTGTGGCGCACGAGTTTCTTGCATTATAATGCGAAAATCGAGCAAAAAGGTCAAGGTTCGACTTGTGCTGGCCAGTACAGGGCGTTTCAGACTTAATAGGCCGGTCAATCATTAACTTCTGCCATTAATCATCCATGATCGGTTAATGAGCAATCTTGGACGGGAATACGTGTCGCAAGTTTTTAGTTTTCCAGATTTTAAGTATCTCTACAATCTTGCTTCAAATTAAATATCAAATCAGCGGGCTGATTACTTTGTTGCGTATTTTGTTATTTATTAATGTGTATCCGATTTGTCTACTGCCGAGAACACCAACTTCGAAGAGACAGCAATTTCTAAACTCATGATCTTTTTTCATCTTTACGGTGTGTAGAATACGCTCTTCAAGATCGGTTATTTATTTCTGTAGGCGCTTGTAGGCATGCTGAACGGGGCAATGCTTGAATCGAGTGTAGAACACATTTTCACAGGTTTCTCGCATCTTTCATTTCTACGTACATTTTCACATATTATTTTCCATTGTTCATGAAATTACTGAAGCTGACTGCGCTTCGGAGGTTTTATTAAAAATAACCGCAAATGACCGCAAATGGGCGAAAACATACTCGGTTTCGAACAACTTGCCAGGAAGCAGTCTGCGTTAATAGCGTCATAGTGAAGTCGCACCTTGACCTGTTCGAAGCTATCTTTGCATGATGACCGCTGACGAAACATGTCTTCTCCTTCGTGACGTTAGCGAGTGAATTTTCAATCGCATTACCGCCTATACACTAAACGCGCATTATGCTAATGTCGTTTCAATTTATTTTCGTTCATTCCGCGATGGCTCTAAGATTCTCACAACACTTATCAAGAATCTCAGTAGTGCTTTTGCGCCGTTTTTCTCTCTCATTTTTTATTTTCATTTACATATCGTCATTCGATCGTTAAATGGGGCGAGCAGGTTTTATGTACCTGATGTAAATCATCGATACTTAGAAATAAATATTATTTTGCCGCGCAGTTTCCTTGAACTTCAACCAATCAATTTCCGTCATTTTCTTATTAATTAAACATATGAAACTCCTTCTCTTCTCTCAATTAACTTCTCTTAACTAAATATAAAACACTATGTGAGACCGATGCGTATTTTATAAAACAAAATTTAACAGTATTTATTTAAAAATACAAAGGAATGTTTCAAATAAAAAGATTGAGCAGTAACTTTGCGTCGGAAATTTGTTCGTCTCTTATAACTTCATGCAGAAATAACAAATATATGTACGTAGTGTTATTATTTTTCAGTGAAGATTACAATATTACGATTATTATTTATTATCTGGGCTATTGTTTTAGATGGCATTTCAAGAACATCAAGATGTTATCTTATATTAAATATTTTAAAGATATATCCGCGATTAAGCAATTTTCTGATGAAATATAAACGATATAAAAATTCCAATTTAACTTATCAGAATTTATTCTAAGTTATTAAAACTTGTGGTTGAAACTTAAACATAGAATTCTAATATTTTAATCGGAATTTCTTAGTCTTTCATATTTCATCAGAAAACTAGCTCGTAATACATTTTTGCGCCAGATATAAAAATAATCATATTTAAATATAAAAACATCTGTGTATCTATAGCTTTATTATGTTATAATGTGAGAACATTAAAATGGTATTCACACGAACTGATTTGATATTTAAGATGCCATCAACTTTATTTTAAAATGTTATGCAATCAATAAAATGGATACCTCCGCTGTATTTGAAAGTAAACTTATAAAAATTCCAAATTGTCTAGACTATCAATATCGTCTTAGAAGGTTCAAAACACATTTCCGAAGTCTTTTGTAGACATGCGTGCGTGTTGTATGAATATGTATTGTCTTCGGTGGCTTTCAACCTTCGTTTGTGGCTTTTGTAGCTTTACTACAAGCTACAAGCTTTTGTAGCTAGTAAATATGCGGTTCTTTTTCCCACTCAATTATACAGAGTATATAAAAAGTACTAGGATGGTGAAATATCTCTAAAACTAAGCATTTTAGAAAAAAACGTTTCAGACGAAAGTTATATGATTTTAAGGGAGACATAAAACAACTATATCATTTTGTTTATAAATGGCATCACTTTCGAGATATTCACTGATCATTACTTTTCTTAAATATTAGTTTCTTAAATATTAATAGAAACTCCAATTTTTTATTATATCATCATTTTCTACTAATTAATTTGTACAACTTTTGTCTGAAACATTTTTTTCTAAAATGCTTAGTTTTCAATTTCGCCGTCCCGGTACTTTTTATACACTCTGTGTATGTTCTTGTTGAGAAGGATTTTAATTCAATTAGTAGTTTTGGGATTTTATTTCTCCAAATGGTTTGAAGCTGTTTTTAACCAATCCGAGAATTCTTTCGACCAGCTGTAAATTATTTCAGCGATTATAAAAAATTATAAACTGTACTTATAAATTTCAGCATCTCTCTCTCTCTCTCTCTCTCTCTCTCTCGCTATCACAATTGAATTTCAGATTACGGCTTCGCCATATAAAATTATAAAGTCTTCTTTGAATATATTTAAGATGATAGATGAGAAAAAGATTTTTTATAGATACTTTTATTACAAAAAGAAGAGTGCTAAAAATAAGGTCAAAATTTGTCTGTAACTGAGATGTATGAAGTCGGTTTACTTAAGTATTTTGTAGCTTCCTGTGCTCAAGTATGAAGCTTAAAATTATCCAAGATATGAAGAACTTTGTAAAATTGCAGTTTTCCTACACGAGAGTCTCGTTTGGCAGCAAATATTTTCTAATGGATAAATGATAACTGTGTACAATAAAAATCTTTTTATTTTTGAAAAAAAGAGAGTGGAAGAGAGAGAGAGAGAGAGAGAGAGAGAGAGAGAGAGAGAGAGAGAGAGAGAGTGAGAGAGTGAGGGTGGAGAAGGGAGGGGACAGGATGTTCTGTAACCGAAATTCTACATATTCATGGTTCTTCTTTGTATTTTGCGGACTTATGCTGTGTTCTCTACTTTTTCGCTGTAGCATCTCGCATACACATTTTTCTTCTCTTATTGTGAAGATGTAGTGAAATGATAGAGTAAATGTAGATATAAATATGTTGAATAAATATAATGTTCCATGCAATGAGAATAATGATATATGTAATCTTACGTTAGCTGTGCCCTGAGTAAAAGTAATCGGAACGAAACCATATAACTGTTAAACTAAAAGAAAACTGCGTCTGATTGACAAATTACCGATACTAACTATAACCTTGACACACTTGCCTGGTTCTTGCGCACATATAATTAAGATAATTTGGTGTTTTAGTTACGTAAAATTCCGAGATAGCATTTATAAACTAAGTATTTACGAAGACGATATTTCCCAACTTTTTGTTTGTTTATACAATTTATAGATGAATCAGAAGGATATTATTTATAAACATGAAATCAATATATAAGACGTTATTAGAGATAAATAGTCAGAAGAAAATATTGTCCTAGAGGACTATATGTGATTATGTTCAGATGACGCATTTTGCGTATGACTAATTTCCAATTAATAAACAGAATAAATGGCTAATAAATAATTTTCAATGAATAAATGAATAAATAAGTTGAAAATAAATTTTCAATGAATAAATAAATAAAAATAAAAGAGCAAACCTGAAAGTATATATTAGGTGTATAATTCTGTTTGATGTTTATTTATACAAAAACGAATAATTACCTAATCTTTAAAGTATTCCCTCTTACTTTCTACACTTTTCCATTTTTCAGGCAACTGTCGAATACCACTGCGGAAGAAAGATGGTTGCTTCGAGTCGATAAACGATATTTTTTTCAACATTCTCAACAGATGTGAAGCGTGAATCAGCCATGTGATGTTGCAAGGATGTAAAGAGATGAATAATCCGAAGGGGCAAAGTCTGGAGAATACGCTGCGTGAGGGAGAATTTCCCAGCTCAAGGCGGAAATGGTTTCCAATGTTATTTTTGCTGTGTGTGACCGCGTGTTGTTCTGCAAAATCACTTTCCTTTTTGCATTGCCAGTAGAAGGCCTTTTTTTCAAATGCGTCACTCATTCGAATTAGTTGGTGCTGATAACGCGCAGCAGTGACAGTTCGACTGAATTTGAGCAATTCATGTAAATAAACGTAAATAAACGCTTTTCCGATTCTACGTTCACGATATTTTCACTCGTCGATCATTTAACATAGCATTGTGGATTTTTTCGATGATTTCCTCAAGTGGTTGTGGCGGTTTTTGAGCGACCTGAACGTTCATCGTCAAAAATGGACGAACAATCATGTTGAAATGCAACAGCCCATTTCTTCACGAAAACGATGGTGAAGAGTTTTCCAAAGTAGAATCCAGCTCGTTTTTATTTCCGTTGGCGTTAAATCAAAATATTTTATCACTGAACGATATTCGACTTTATCCATTTTTTGAGAAATACCAAAACTTGTTTGCTTTATTCGATCACAACAAATGAATTACTGAATGCATCTGTCTGAAACGTTACGGTAGGCCGGAAGGATCAAACTTGAGAAAAATCATAACTATTTGATACTTCTGTCATCATTTTTGTCTTCAGGCGAGAATTTTTCGAACTACTTTCGAATCTTCAAAGCACTCCGTTTGCCTCGAACTTGAATTTAAAATTTGGATCTGAATGTCTAAGTGTTTCTGCGAATTCCTTTGCTGGTCAAAACTCGAGGATGGGAGGAATTTTGCGAAAAGAAGGATCTCAAGAGAGATATTAGATTACATTTTCTATTTCAAGAACTCATCTGTACGTTCAGAGTTTTTATATAATTCTGATATAACAAGTGATTTTTGTGGAGAATATTATACTTTGAGCTTGATTATTAATCTCTGACGTGCTTCGCACGGTGGGAGTGATCTTTTGAATGATCTTTGAGGAAATTATAGTGTTAGCCATATCCCTGAGGCATTAAGAATAGAGTAGGACATGCATGTCGTCGATATCATTCACGTGTTTGCTACAAAAATTTCCATACTTCCTTTCGATGCAGTTACTCATACTTATTTACATTTGTAGATTAGCTTGTGGTCTTAGCACTTCGTATACTGATACATAATGATTGGCAAACCTGCATATTTCACAAGCGAAAAGGAGTTTCGGTATTTGTATGGCATTAATATTGCCGCGTGTAAGGAAATGGGCGAAACTTCCAAAAGCGGCCTACTCCGATTTTAACCAAACTTAGTGAAAAGCTATGTTATAAGTTAAAATGGAAGATTATAAAAGGATTTTTGGCGACGCAAACGAGAAGTTTGGTTGAAATAGGAGCATGACTGCTTTTGGAATAACAGCCAGGAAATGTTTTAATCAGAGATCGGACCGGAACAAAATATCGGGTTAATTACAATAACGATCTAATAAGATTTAACAGTGGTTTCGATTTCTTGCTTGTAAATCGATATTACTTAAAGTACGATATTTTTATTTCGTGGTTGTGTTTTTTTTAAATATTTCTTTATAAATTTCTTTAAACATTTTTCTGAGGTTGTTTAAAAATTCTGTAAAACAATTGGTAGTGCCAAGAAATAGTTAATAAATTTCGTGTAATTCATGATAGATAGATTTTTTTAACACTGTTGTATTAAATATCACGAAGTAAAAGAACTAGATAAAAATTTCTAGAAATTAGCAGTTACAAGAGTCAAGCAGTAAATAGTTTTTTTTTATTGTACCATATCTATTCATTTATATGTATGTTATTTATACGGCGTATATGACTCTAATGAGGAGAATAATCAAAAGACTGTAACACAACTTTATTTCAATATTGTTCTAAGCGGTTTGCTCAGGCGTGATTCGACAAGTTTCGATACAAGTCAACGTGGCATTACATTCGCTTCGTTCAATGTTTATAAGAATTCCCGCGTCATATCTAATAATCCAATTACACATTAATGGTTACTATAGCTGCTGGTATTTATTTCCCCTCTTCCAGGTATTTTCGGCTATCATCTATAATTTTATTTTTGCTGCTTCCAATCAGCTTTTATTGCAATTATCTGATATTTGTTTACGTTATTATCTCAGCTATTGTATGCTTCGTATTGGGATAATAACAGTGGTAATTGACGGTATGTTTCCAAAGCAAACATAAATTCTGAAAATGTTGTGTTTCAGAGTGCGGTAAATGAAACAAAACGTTCGGCTAATCATCGAATATCGTGTTAGTTTGGTGTTGAATTTGTTCTATTTATCAAGAACACGATCACGTTATTTTTGCTTCTTGCGTACTTTGCATCTTTTCATTTATTAGTAGTCTGTTTTCGGACAACAAGAACAAGATGATTTTATGACGATACAGCAATCACATTACGGTTTTTTCTATCATTTATTATACATGCATAAATTCTAGTGAGCTGTTTAGCCAGAGGTATTAAGTAGTTGAAGGAAAACAGTTGTTTTTGCCTCATCTTCTTCTATTGAATTCTTGATACAATCGATTTCATTTGTTTCTCGTCAACAAAACAAGCAATGATTACACAATTTCGATTAAGCGAACTTTGTCGTATTATACGACAATGTATAAGAGAAGAGGAGAAAAAGTTTGCCGAGTTCAACCAGTTTGCAGAAATTCCCAGACATCTATCTAATTCTGTCGAAAAATTTAGCCGACTAAATTGAACAATGATTGATATGAAGATCAAATTACTTTGTGTTTTGGTCAATCAGTTTCGGCCAATTCTGGAACTAGTTTTCATCTCTTAGTTACCGCTTGAAATGTTTGAATAGTAATACAGCTCAAAAATGAAATATAGTTTGTATTTCAATTTATTACGAGAGAAGGACGATTGATCGGTGTTCGAAACAAAAAAGTCAACAATAATTTGTCGTGGGTAGAAATATATTTGTTTTTTAATGTAGTCTGTTTCTACCTTGATACTCTTTGACCAACACTTTTCAAGGATTATTATACCACTTCGCTAAAGTGATTTTTCGAGCTTTTCGAAATAAACAAGTATCAATGACTTCGTTGTTGCTCGAAAATTTCTTTCCGCTGGATTTTTTCAGATTCGAGAATAAGTGAAAATCGCAGAGAAATTATATAGAGAAATAAAGGAATTATAAAGGGATAATTATCAATAGCAGAAGATCACCATCAACATGAGGAGGGTGTTGGTTGACGTCAGATTAGTTCCTACCATATTTTGATTATTCCCTCTAAAATGATCGGCACACAAAAACTCGGACTATAACAATTAATCAATACATATAGAAGATCACTTGATTGACTCTTGTAAAATTGGGTTTATATAGAGATTTGTATCATTTTAACATTTCATTTGTATCATTGTAACATTTTTTTTCTTCACGGTAATAACCAATCAATTTTAAATTACAATATATTAGAATTTTTATGTTAGAATATTTACTAAACACACGTTTAGAGTTTGTTATTGTTAAAACTTTTTTATTTTTGCCTTCGACAATTTAAAGTTTCACGACTATGATTATCACGATTCTGACTATTTTCTTGAAATAAATAAATGCATAAAATCTTTTCCGTTGTTTTTTCTACTTAGAAATTGTCATTCGATTTTTAAACAGTGCAAACTGTATATATATTTATATATACAGTTACTGTACATATATTGATATATTTTACATTTATTTAATGATGGTGATTTATTTGATGATGTCCAACGGACTACATAAAAACGGTGAGAATTTGTCATAAAAGATAAACATTACATCTAGTATTATTCCACATATATTTATACATATATTTATTATTATTTATTTACACATATATATATTTGTGTAATAATATTATAATATATATTCCATATATATTATAATATTATTACACAAATTTTATCTTCCCGCTTCTCGGCGCAATTTTGTTCTCTAATGGCGGACCGTTGTCTTCTCGTTCCGGCTTATTTTTCATCTTGGCGACTTTGTTGTAAAGATCCACGTCGTCGCTCGAGTACTTGGATGTTTTCTCTTTCTTCTCTTTGGGAGCCACCTTGTTCTCAATCTTGATGTTGGTGTTGGGAGGTCGTGTGTTAAAGAAACTGCCGAAACCAGCGGTCAGGCCGTGCCAGGAGAAGGTCGTATCCTCGTTGACGTCTTCGTGAACCTCATAGGTATTCTGCGGTCGGTTACCTAGCAGTCCAGCATCACCAATCAGTAATCAATAAGCAATAAATTTATATTATTTGTCTAGATAAGTAGTAATAATTTCGGAAAGATAAATCAGGTCGCACAATCATGACCGGTCCTAATGTTAGTTTCTGTAGGTAAAAAAGTGACAGTTATGAAAGTTAAATGGTAAAAAAATATAATGGTCCTACCTATATAATGGGGCAACACTATGACATCTTATCACGAGACATTCTAAAATTCCGAAGTCGTCTCGTGAAGTTGTCAGAAAGACGTCCATACGATGTTTTTAAGATATTCTAATCTTAGATTATATCCATTTTTATTCCTAAATTTCGGATGTCTCGTCTTCAGACGTTCTAAGATATTTTAGAGACATCTTGTTCGAGACTATTTCTGTGTGCACATATTTATATAAATTATTTGGACTGTTCAAATATTATAATAGAAGGAATACATGTTTTTTGTATTGTCACTTATTGTACTGCAATTAGTGAAGAATTATTAGACTATGCATTGGCTCATCCGCTTTGTCTAGATTAGAGTTCGGTGTCGACACTTTTCGCCGATTTTAATATTTGTAGGTGCAGAAAAAACGAGGAAAATTGACTGATGCTAAAAATATAGTTGTAATTAGAGATACGTGCAGTTGAGCATTATAGTTATCGTATACAAGGTGTTATAAAAGTCCCGAAAGAGCAGAATAACTCGAAAAATATGAGTCCTAGAAAAAATGCAAAGTACTGGGTTTTTATGATTTTTTCCTAGTTATCCGACGATGACCTTGGATTTGACCTTGACAATGACCTTGAAGATCATTTCAAGGTCAGTTTAATTTTTTTAAATAGGACTCCACACTTTTGACCCCAGAAATGAAAAGAGCGGAAAATTCTACGTTCGGATATGACCTTGAACACTGCCAAACTTGACCTCTGAAGGTCACATAAAGGTCTAAGCTTGTTTTAGGCTGAAAACGCAAATATCTTCGAAAATGCACCTGCTGGGCAGCAATGTTACGCATAAGAATAAGAATGTAAAGGTTAACGAGGGATATTCAGCCGTGACTTTGCCCTTATTCTCAAGGTCATGAGTTAAGATTATTATTAAGGTCAAACCGGACTTTTTTAGGACTGAAAATCCATACTTTTAACCTAAAAGTGTCAAGATTGAAAAATTTTACTTCGGATATGACGTTTTTAACCTTGACCTTGTTCTCAAAATTATGCGTTTTACGTTACTTCACTGATCGTGAAGTCTACTAAAAGTAAAGCGTCTCAGAACTCGACCACTGAAGGCAAGGTGTCTCAAACCCGACCACTGAAGGCAAGGTGTCTCAAACCCGACCACTTAAGGCAAGGTGTCTCAAACCCGACCACTGAAGGCAAGTTGTTTCAAACTCGACCACTGAAGGCAAGGTGTCTCAAACCCGACCACTAAAGGCAAGGTTCAGTTAGTCCCGGCCACCGAAGGCAAAGCATTTTGTAACTCGGCCTAGGCCTCCCTTGGCTTCCCATATTTTTGGCGGTTTTTATTACTCCCAGTTTCTACAAATTGTCTGATGGTGCGAGATACAGTCGATATTGAAATATCTTCACCCTCATTACAAAAGTTCTCATTGAACAGCAATCTCACTTCACTGTATGACCTTTGTCTATCCCCCCATCCTCTCATCATCAATAGCGAAACTCTCTCATGCTCTGTAAGAGAAGCCATTTGGAATTGAAAACAAAAAATTTGCAAAAATTTGGTATAAAAAATTCGGTTTCTTTACCTTTAAATAAAAATAATAAGTAATGTACCATTGATCGCTAATAATAATATGATAATAATTCAAAACGGACTAGAATGACATCAAAACTTATTAAATCGATGAAAACTCAAAAACAATCTATTATCTGTTTGACATTGATAGAATCGAGACAAATAAAAACCTTGAAGCATACACTTTATCGATGGCGAATAAATTTTCGGATACCGATCCTGGGATTTTTGAGCTCGCTAAAACCGAATCCGACGTCGGATTTTGCAAATTCAAGATGGCCGATCCAAAATGGCGCCCGATATTGAGAAATTACCAACAATCGGAGTGTGACCTCGTACGTAACGTAAAATCTCACTCTTCACATTATGGGGGGAGGAGGTAAAAGTATATATTTCCAGCCTAAAAAAATTAATTGACCTTGATATGACTGACACATAACCTTAAGAACAAGGTCAAGGTTTCAAACGTCATATCCGAACATAAAATTTTTCAATCTTGACACTTTTAGGTTAAAAGTATCGATTTTCAGTCATAAAAAAGTCCGGTTTGACCTTAATAATAATCTTAACTCATGACCTTGAGAATAAGGGCAAAGTCACGGCTGAATGTCTCTCATTGACCTCTACATTTTGATTCTTATGCGTAACATTGGTCCTCAGCAAGTGCATTTTCGAAGATATTCGCGTTTTCAGCCTAAAACAAGCTTAGACCTTTATGTGACCTTCAGAGGTCAAATTTGGCAGTATTCAAGGTCACATTCGAACGTAGAATTTTCCGCTCTTTTCATTTTTGGGGTCGAAAGTGTGAGGTCCCATTTAAAAAAATTAAACTGACCTTGAAATGACCTTCAAGGTCATTGTCAAGGTCAAATCCAAGGTCACCGTCAGATAGCCAGGAAAAAATCATAAAAACCCAGTACTTCGCATTTTTTCTAGGACTCATATTTTTCGAGTTATTCTGCTCTTCCGGGACTTTTATAACACGCTGTATATGTAATTACACGAGGGACACCGAGACTTATTTTACTTTTAAATTATAAAAATAAGAGCAACGAAAAGTGAACAAAATTTGCAAGATATTTTGTCCCTTGTATCGAAACATCTTCGAATGAAATGCAAAGTATCTCCTTCTTGTTGACTTTAAGTTCATACTTTTATACTCACAAGAAAAGATAGGGAACTTAGAAATTCAAAAAAATTACGAAACTTTGTGTGGAAGTAAAGTAATTCATCTGTAATGCAAAACTATTTTTTGTTCATGCGGAATTCCAGTCTGAGGAGATGAAACCACCTTCGAAAAAAGAATCATTTTTACTTTTAGCGTATATCTTTTAAACTATGAGGCATATGCAAAAATAATTTATATAAAAGTTGTAGTGTATTTCATACTCTTTATAACTGTATATTAAGATTTTGCACAATTGGAGAAGGAGGGGGTATCCAAAATTTTCAATATTGCAAAATTTGAATACACAGTTGCAAATAGTACGAAATACACTACAACTTTCATAAATTAAATTTTACATATGCTTCGTATTTTCAAAGATATACAATAAAAATGAAAAAGATTTTTTCTTCGAGAGATGGTTTCACTCCCTCAGACTGGAATTCCGCACGAACAAAAAATAATTTAGTATTACGGATGAACTACTTTACTTCCATGCAAAGTTTCAGAATTTTTTGAATTCCCGCGTTCTCCAACCTTCCTTGTCAGTTAGTAGTTTTCGGTTATCTCTTTTATACTTGGATTTTATGTCATAACGATGCACCAGCAGGAAAACATAATATGATATTCAATAAAACATATTTGTTGAGTGACTAATTGTTTCCTCATTATGTAATTATCAAGAAGGCTGTAAGGTAAACACTACACTTCACAAACGTTAAACACCATACAAACAATCGTAAAAATCTCATGTTAGATAAACATTAATACGATCACACTACTTATTTCAAATTTCTTGCACACGCTGATCTTGTACAAGGATGTACCCACTCTTCCCATATTTAGCGAAAAACGTACTATGCATATTCAAAAATCTTTCAGCATATTTTTATTGTTTATTGTTGCATATCTTTAACTTTCTAAAATCAGTTGTACAGCAACATTTTTCTTGCGGAAAGAGTGAGTTTCTGCCAGTAGAGTTTTAAAAAATAATACTTCTCTTTAGAGGGATCAAAATACAAATTAATCTATCAAAATAATTACAATAATATCGATAAAATTAAGTTTGTTCTATAAGCAGGTAGGTAGATATTGTATATATAATTGCTCCACTACATGACAAAAAGTATTTCTCATTGTGTAAGAGAAAAGAAAAAACATACCAAGCGAGGTAAAGTAGAGACCAAGAATTGAAATCCGGGCGACTGCTCTACCAACTGAGCTACCCAAACACATTTTATACCTTTTGATATATAGTTTCGCTTTCTTTCTACTCTTTTAGTCATTGAAAAATTATTTAAAGTATTAAATAAATTAAGTTACCTTTTGAGAAATGAATAATAATATTTACTGGAACCAATCTTGGAGACAATTTGCAGAAGGAATAAAAAGTGGTACCAAATATATCGGGCATATGAAATAATGCAGGGGCCGGGAATCGAACCCGAGAGACTTTTCTTCGCTCGCCGGATAAATACTCTACCAACTGAGCTAACACAGCACCATATTCACTGTATTTTCCTCTACTTCTTATATCTAGATTTTATATCAAAACGATGCACCGATGTAAAAAGCATAATATGATATTCAATAAAACATATTTGTTGCGTAACTAATCTTTTTCCATTATGTAACTGCCAAGGAGGCTCCAAGGTGAACACTGCACTCCACAAATGTTAAACGCAAATATAAACAATCGTAAAAATATTATGTTAAGTAAATGTTAATATGATTACGCTACTCATTTCATATTTCTTGCACATGCTGATCTCATACAAAGATGTATTACTTTCCCCAGATTTAGCGAAAAACGTAACCACGCATATTAAAAAATCTTTCAGCATATTTTTATCTGTCTCATATCTTTAATTTTCTAAAATCAGTTGTACAGCAACGTTTTTCTTGCGGGAAAAGTTAGTTTCTGCCAGTAGAGTTTTCAAAAATATGACCTCTTTTTAGAGGGATCAAAATACAAATTAATATATCAAAATAACTATAATAATATCGCTAAAATTACGTTTGTTCTATAGGCAGGTAGACAATTGTATATATAGTTGCCTCACTACACGATAAAAAGTATTTGATTGTGCAAGAGGAAAGAAAAATATATCGGGCGAAGTAGAATAGAGATCAAGAATTGAAATCCGGGCGACTGTTGTGCCAACTGAGCTACTCAATCACACTTTTCTTCGATATATAATTTCGCTTCCTCTCTTCTTTAGCCATCAAGAAATTATTTAAAGTATTAAATGAATCAAGTTTGCGGTTATAATTACTGAATCAATTTTTTAGATAATTTGCGGAAGAGACGAAACCAATACATATTATATCGGGCATATAAGTTAAGGTGGGGCAGGAATCCAACCCGAGACCTTTCGCTTGCAGGCCGACGGCTTTATTAACTAATAAGGAAATGTTGGGAATCCAAAATATTCTGAAACTTTGTGTGGAAGTAAAGTAGTTCATCCGTAATGCAAAACTGTTATTGGTTCGTGCAGAATTCCAGTTTGAGGGGATAAAACTACCTTTCGAAGAAAAAATCATTTTCATTTTTTGCGCATACCTTTAATATACGAGGCATGTGCAAAAATGGTTTATATGAAAGTTGTGGCGTACATTCATACTCTTCGCAACTGTGTATTCAGATTTTGCAAAATTGAAACATTTTTGAAATACCCTTCGCTTTCTTCCAATTTTCCGAGTTTCCTATGTTATTTTATCACAATCTAGAAGAATCAACTTAAATAAGAAGAAAAAAGGGAATCCCCCCCAAGATAAAGGAAAAAACATAGATGATTCTATTAAACAAAAAATGCGGAGTTTCTTTTTATGTAGTATCTTTGCAGTTGCGAGAAAAGCAAGAATACGAAGGGAAATAAATTTTATCAGGCTGTCCAGTTTCTTTGCCCTCGGTCACATTTTTCTGTCTCGAACGAGACCAGATCCATTTCATTTGCATGACACATATCCTACGTAAGATCTCTGACCTTTTCGTTGAAAAAAAACAAATGATAAAAATGAATATAACCGCTATAATTACCAAGAATATTCTGAACGTGAGAGCCATGTCCGCCGTGTAAGCCATGATGACCTTTGCGATGTCTGTGGCCGCCACCTAATCCTAAAGGGTCCAGAAGTCCGCTATAGTGCCCACTGAGAAGTCCATGGTGCCCGACCAGAAAATCGCTCAACGCGTCCAATCCCAGTGGATCTTTGTGGTGCCTGACTACTCTGTTCACCTGTTGTTGAGTAAATCGTTGATTCAATATCTCCTCCTTCCGCTTCCACTTCTGCTCCTTCCTAGCCACCAATCGATCTCTTCGCTCTTGGCGATTCTTTTGGATGATCTCCGCGTTTTGTTGCCTCTGCTCCGCTGTAGACTTCACGAGGCTGCCGACAGCTTCTAGCGTCGCGACAGGGATCTATAAATAATTGTCACGATTGTAGAAGATGACAAAGCACACCTCGCGGCAAATTTCTACAATTATATGCGCATACGTGACCTTAAAAACAGAGTCGATCGTCTGCGTGTTCTCCGGCGAGAAGACCTGAGCGACGGTGGCAGTTTGCTTAATTGCCGTGATCGGAATCTGTAAAGTAAACAGTTCTCCGTATATCGTTTTGTCTGTCGCGATTCATATTTTTGTTGTGTCTATGTTTCGAACGTTTTTTAACTCACATCGAAAAAGATCCGAATTGGGACTGAAATGCTCGGTCTCATAAAGAATAACGAAAACAATTCTCGACTATGTAAAAATGAAATGGTCCAAATATAATACATCATATTAGGAGGTTGAATTAGTTCTGGTCCCTAGCAATAGATGGCTTTAGTAACAAGTTAATGGTTAGTACGAATGTTGAAATCTGGCAACACACAAGATTGAAAGATTTAACATTTCTCTATGACATATGACAGTTTGCGCGCTATTGTTACTGATAGTTTCATTGTTTATATACGTCTAAAATGGATCGTACAAAATTGTATTTTCGACATTCATTACTTTTTTGTTTGATTCGAAAAAATCGACAACTGAAACTCATGAAATGCTTGTTACAACTTATGGTGGACCAAACTCCATCGTATTCCAACCGTAAATTTTGGTTTCAACGATTCAAAAGTGGTGATTTCGATTTGAGTGACAAAAAACGTACTGGTCAAGCAAAAAAGTTCGGAGATTCTGAATTGCAATCATTATTGAATAAAAACACCGCGAACGGAAAAACAATTGGTTGAACAACTTAACGTCGATAAATCAACAATTTCTAAACGCCTACGTGAAAAATTTAAAAGGAAGGCAAATGGGTTCCACATGAATTGAGTGAAAGTGTCATTGTAAATCATTTAAATTTCGCCATGTCTTTGCTTGCCAGACAGAAAAAGAGTTTTTTCTGGCGAATTGTAACTGGAGATAAAAAGTGGATTTTTTTGGTAGTCCAAAGCGGAAAAATCATGGGTTGATCCAGGATAACATCGACGACATCAACATCGACATCAAAACGGAACATTCACTGTCACAAAGCAATGTTCTGTATTTGATGGGATATGGAAGGTGTGGTGTACTATGAGCTTCTAAAATCCAATGAAACAGTTATGGAGGAGTGATATCAACAACAATTGAACAAATAGACTGATGAATTGATGCAAAAAAAGTCAGCGATAGCTAGCAATAGACTCAAAGTGATTCTTTTACACGATAATGCTCGTTCACATGTTGCTTCAATCGTTAAACAAACATCATTAGAGCTCGAATGGGAAATCTTTTCCGCACCCAGTATACTCTCCAGACGTAGCACCATCTGATCTTACCATCTATTCTGATCGATGCAATACACATTTCAAAAATTACGAAGATGTTCAAAAATGGATGTCTGATTAGATTGCTTCAAAAGACAGATCGTTCTATCGCGGAATCGCTATGTTGCCACAAAGATGGGAAAAAGTCACAGCTAACGACGGAAAATATTTCGATTGATGTAAATTTAACCATTTCTTTAAAATAAAAATAAGAAGTTGACCAGAATTAATTCTCCTCCGAACCCTATACAAACATGTAATTACATAACTATGTATATATAAGAATTCTGTTATATATATAAGAAATATATAAGAAATCTGTTAGTAAACTTTTCGTATATTTTTAAGCTTCTACGTTTCAGCTGTAAAGATATAATAATGTTCTTTGAAATTTTCTTGAGCGGGGTAAACACACATTCGGTAGATACAAGTTACGAAACTTTTCTTTTTAGGTAAACTTTTGCGTTAACTGACAGTTTGAAATATTTTTATTTTTTAATTTTTAATTTTTTATCATATTGTCATGCACATATTGAGTAATGCTCCAATTCTTTTTTGCACTTTTATTACGTGGAAACATTCTGTACAACCAATACGACATAAATTTTGCTGAAGAAAATCAATATTCTGTTACTTAAATTTTTAATCGTGGCATTTCCTAAAGTTATTTGTATAATTGATAAAAATATTTTACGCGTTTATATTGCGTACGGATCTTATAGGCTTTCCAAACGTTTTTAACTGACTGGACATCAGAGAGGCTTTTACATAATATTTTTGTTGATTCTTCTCTTCTAATGCTAGCGCAAGAAATATCGATCTATCGAATAGAGAACAAGAAATCCGATTCAAAATACTCACGTTAAAAATGTTGTCTATTACTTGACCGCTCGGCGGTGAAATCTGGCGTCGCACTCTGCTCTTGGAAACATCCTAAAATGCATAAAAAGTAACTAAGACGCTAATATTCTCTTTCTTCCTTTCGCAGTTTCTCACACAAAGTCACGAATAATAAAGCGAATAATTAAGCATTCACAGAAAAATATCACTCTACCGTTAAAAAAAAAACGATTATTTTATCTTCAACAAAGAATATATCTATTGCGAATTTTGAAAAACCTCATTATTATTTACTCAAAGGAAAAGCACTTATTCTTAAGAATATCATAAAATTACAATATTATATTCTCAAGAATATTCTAAAATTTATATTTCTCAAGAATATTATAAAATTATAGCCTATACAGGAAAGAAAGCACATGGAATTTTTGTTTTAATTTAATATTTCTGATTGAAGCACTAAATTTATTTAGGACTCTGAATATATTCATGAGCAAAGCTGCTGCTTACGATAAATTTATGATAAATTGCGAGTATATGAACTTATGAAATAAGTTGACTTGAAGCAAGTAACATTTACTTGAATGGACCGTACATTTTTCTGTACGCGTGAATTGCGCAGAAATTTCTCCCCCGAGATAGATACGATAAACACGACCCACGCCGCAACCTGTCATCGGGCGTTTCATAGAAACGCACAGAGACCCACATAGGTCCATATGTGCATCTGTGAATCGTGCGTCAGCGTGTCCGATACCTGGTCATTACCGTAGCTTTCACTTCTCACGGATTGAAAATATCGAATAATCTTCGTCAATTATCGGAAAGGTGAATACGCGTTGTCGCTACCGTTGCGTAATTTCTCAGAACGCGAGGTTGGAATTTCTGCTGAATTTATGCAAGCATTTTTCCCGGTAAAGGTTTGAACACGATCCTTGTGGCTTTTGTCTTTGAAATCGCACAGCGATATTTAGACCGGGATGTAAATGAGAATTTAGAACGACTCGTGCGACCTCGATATGGGAACATTCAGGACTTGACTTTGAACTGAATCGACAATCTATTCGAAGCAATTGACAATGCACGGAGATTCGACCGTTTGGGCAGCATGGACTTAATCGGTGAGAGAAAAGTTACGACATTTTTTCTTCGATGAGCTTTAGAACTATTGAATGTCTGACGTGTCTTGATGTGATGTGTTACGAAACTTATGGAAGGAGAAGTGTTTTGCAATCCTTCTTTCGCTGATCAGATTGAGGAGAACTCGAATGAAAACGATAATTAACGGTAAAAATATATTTGTTTCTTTCACAATATATCATTTATTTTAGCTCTTGTTCTAACTAATTTCCGCGCAGGTATATAATTAGCGACTCGTAAGTATAACAACTTGATGCACAGAGAAATATATTATTCTGCTACGGAGAAAAGCTATCACTTAGTTCACTTTCTTTTTTTTAATGGTTATCTTCATTCGGGAAAACAAACGGTGTTTTTTTTATAACAGTTTTAAGGCAGATTCGTCTTAAGTTTTAGGGAAGTTAATTATCGTGTATCCAAAAGAAGAATTTATTTTCTCTCTAAGAATATTACAAAACTTATATCCTTCCTTTTGCAGTTTCTCACATGAAGTCATGAATAATAACTAGGCATTTACAGAAAAATATAATTTTACTGTTAAAAAAAACGATTATTTTATCTCCAACAAAGAATATATCCATTGCAAGTTTTGAGAAGCTCATTATCATTTACTCAAAGAAAGAATTTATTCTTAAGAATATTATAAAATTACAATATTATATTTTCAAGAATATTATAAAATTTATATCCTATGCAGAAAAGAGAAGATATATCGAATTTTTATTTTAATTTAATAGAAAAATTGAATTTAATCGAAACCAAGAACGAACCAAATGTTTGCAATTAATTTATTAAATATTCTAAATTAAAATGCTGAACTCACTGAATTCAAAATATATTTTAGCTGAATTTTATGCTTGTGATAAAGCGATGTGACAGATTTGCGGATATATAAATTTATGAAATACTTGAATTACTTGAATTATTATTAAAACATTTGAATATACGCTTGAAAAACAAGCGACACTTCATTGCATCCCCGAAATTCAAACTGTTCCAGTCGTTTAGTCCGAAAATTCCGAACACTCATATTTGTGGATCCTTCTTAAATTGCGATATTACCCGTCAATTTACATGCAACTTACGCCGTACGTGTCGCCGAGCAGGAGGAAGCTCAGAAGTCCGTAACACCAAAACATCCTCTCGACACTTTCCAGAGCGGACTATGATCCTGCGAGTTTCAACACAAGTTGACGTACGATTGGACCGCGAATCCGCCTTGCCGATCTATAAGGGCTGCGGCGAGATCCCACGCCGGGTGTCGACCAATCCGGCTGAAGGATCCGCGTAATCCTTGCGCCAGTCTGCCCGGATGAAGACGGTGCTTTCTACTTATCGCAATCGGGCCACGCGCGCTCCCCGGCTCCTCTTTCACCGGCCGATCGTTCCGCGTATTTTTCTTTATCTCCCGTTTATAAAACTTGGACGGCGTGGGTCGAGAGCCGGCACGCTTGCATAACTTGATATATCGTAGAGAGCGATGAACGCCCAGCTATGATATAACCGTAGCAAAAGCGGGGCCTTTCATGCCGAATTTCGGCACAACCGGCATCATCTTTCCCTCTCCGACTCAGCTGGGACTTCGTGAATCGGCCGTTTTCCGCCAGAATCGCGAGGGGCGAGAGACGCCTGTTTGAAAGTGGCAGGTCACGTGAACGACTTTATGGTCATTGCTGGCTTTTTTTTCGATTTCGCGCGACCGACTTTCGATTTTTGACGACCCATTTCCGTTCAGACAGAAATGCAGCGGACAGACGTATTTTTTTATGTTTATTATTTCTATGTATATATTACTTCCATTTAATCATAATTATTTACATCGGAACGTGTGTAATGAAACAAAATGGTTAACTTCTTTACATATGTTCACTTTTATCATCCGCACAAATTTGATTTATGCCTAAATATTTTCGTACTGATTACACTGATATAGATTATTGCACATTTCACGCGTGTCGATAACTGCTTCTGTTTTCATTTTTTTTTTCAACAATCTACATGTCATACACACACATACACACGCGCTATTGACATTTTAATTTAAGATACCGAAGATTTGGTACTCATTGGTTATTTATCAAATGATCGAATCTGTGATTATTTTCCAGTACCTCTGGCTATTTCCATGAAAAATTTATAGAAAATAAGAATTTATAGAAAAAATCTCGGCTTTTACAATAGAAAAATGTATGCCGTTCAAAACTTGTAAAATGTCTCTCTCTCTCTCTTTTCCTAAAACTTTTTTTTATACACAATTTTGAACCTTCCAGTTCTTATTTTACAAATTTAATGGAAAAGTACGGGAGAAGAATTAACAACGTTGGAACACTCGGAATTATATACCTTATGTACAACTTTCCTCAAAAGTGCCGTAACAAAAATATTAAATAAATCAGCTTTATATCTTTTTACAAACAGTTATATTATTACAGATTTGTATTTTGTTTTATTGTTTATTGCAAACCTAGAAAAAGAGGTCGAAACTTTTTAATTGTTTTAATAGCCCTACGATTCTTTAACTTCTACGATTTTTTTATGGTACTTTAATGTTCTATAATTTTTGTACGTTTGTGACACGTCACTCAGGTGATATCATTAATCTCTTTCGCTTTTAACACGCCTGGTTGCAAAGATTCGCCGTCACTATATTAACACATACGGGCACACACACAGCTATAGTTTTTGGCTAAATTATGGAACTGTTTATCGCTGATGTGCGTGTCTCGTTATATTGTATGCAACTTATAGCTTTCTTGCCCGGATTTACTTCCTCGAATATTCATTTCTTTGTACACTGCTCGTCACCTTTAAAAGGCGTTCGGGTTATCCTGCAGGAAACTGCCTACCTGATTCCCAAGGTCCTTTTGAAATTCTCTCACGTTTATCTCCGATTGCTGAAAGAGCGTGCGATTTATCGTGATTGCAAAAGATTTGCATACGTTGGACGACAAATAAAGAAATGTACAAGGAAGAAGAGGAAGACCATTGTCGAGTGTAACAAAAGACTTACATTCAAAGCGTCCTGCCATTCGAGATTGAAGAGCCTCACTAGACCACGCAAATTTCTTCGAATTATATTCTGCACGCCGTTTACCGTAAATTTGAAAGGTCTCGCAGTAGTAGTTGTTGTTGTTCCTGCTGCTGTCGTTGCCGTTGTTGTCACGTTTACGTTGGCCAGATTGCTGGACATGTTGTTCTGATCCTCCAGCGGTGTGGTGGATTTAGCATTAATCATCGTCAATGAATTACTTCTACTCGGCAGTTGCGTAGTTGTGTCCGGCTCGAAGTTCTCGCCGACGATGTTGTTAATTTGTTGAATCGCCGACCGCGTGTCGTTGTACGTCTGAAACAGAGCGAAACGTCAGTCGAGCGCAGCAAGTTCCTCGACTTGAGACTTGACAAAGTCACAAATTTGCTGTTGCACTTAGCGAGCACAGTAGCGAGATTGCTCGATGCGAAATTTGAGAGAAGTCCTGAATTTTTCCGCAGATAATTATGAATTTTCGTATTACGAATTCAGGTGAAAAACCTAAAGAACAAATGCGAAATATAGCAATATTTTAGCATCATCCGTTTGTCTCGCTATGTGTTTGCATGCTTTTGCGATAATATATCGTAACTGCGCCTGTACAGTCGCATTCACGACATTGAATGTGCACAGCATATAACATACTTTGCGGGGACGGAATTATAAACTGACCATAAAATGAAATTAGGTAATAAATTACAAAAATAAATATACACAGGATGTAATTTGCGCTTATTATTTATACAGCTCTATTTCTCATGAAAATTTGTGGCAATTTTTCCTCAGCAAGAATACCACAGAAGATCATTATTTTTAGTGATTTTTTAATTTTCAACATAACATATCTTTGAGATTAAGTCTTAGGTTAAAATTTTACCGAAGTAAAGTCCACCAGAAATTGACCAAAGAAAATAGTTTTCTTATCCATTCTGAAAATCGACTAAAGTTTAGTTAGTGCAAAGTTCCGCTTTTTCGATTGCTTGTATCTCGAGAACTATCGGATACCTCGACAGTTCTGCTGAGTTCTGCTGAGAAAAATGTGACAAATTTTCACAAAAAAGATATCGCTACATTTATGGGGCAAAATTCGATATATGTTGCTCATACTTCGAAGGCTAGTCTCGCCAAGGTCCAGAAAAATCCTGGTCGCTGCCTGCTGACTTGTCTTACGACTCTCTTCGTTTCCTCAGAAATATTCGACTCCGCGATGATGTTGTTTTCGATGATGTTCCTCGACTCGACGTCACTTTCGTCGGAGTCTTCGGATAATATCTTACTCAATATGTTCATTTTCTTCATGATTTCCTCGTCTTTCTTCCGAATCTCCTTATCACGCTGATCCAGTTGCGAAATGCCTATGTCGGATTGTCGCTCCTCAGCAGGAACTTTGTCGGACTGCATCGACCGAAATTGGTAACGCATCGGATCGTTGACTTCGTAGGAACCATGAAGCGGTATTTCAGCTCCGCTGTAAAGCGGAGGACTCATCAAGCAAAGGAGCAGCCATTTGGCTGCAAAGGAATTGATTGGCAATAGGTGCATCTGTAAAAAGAAGTACATGTGTGGGAATAATGATACGTGTCATCGGAGTTGTGAATAACGGATTAATAAGATAAATATCAAAATATAAGAACTTATATACGTTTGGAAAAAAATGTGGGGAACCGGGGGAAAAATAGAGACGAGTGTAGAAATGTTGAAAAAACGCAAATATTTTGTGTAAAAATGTAAGCATTACTGTAAATAGTTTTACACAGGGTATATAAAAAGTACCGGGACGGCGAAGTATCTCGAAAACTAAGCATTTGAGGAAAAAGTGTTTCAGACAAAGATTGTATGGTTTCATAAGGAACATAGAACGATTGTATCATTTTGTTTACAGATGGCGCCACTTTCGAGATATTCACTGATCATTACTTTCCTTAAATGGAAACTCTAGTTTTTTATGTATCATCTTTTTCTACCAATTAATTTGAACAACTTTTGTCTGGAACGTTGTCTTTTTCTAAAATGCTCAGTTCTCGAAATATTTCGCCGTCCCGGTACTTTTTATACATTCCGTATATCGCAAAATGTAAATGTGTCGTAAAAGTGTAACTCTGTACTGTACTGGGGCAGGGGTCCATGTTTTACGCTTTAGTGCCGCATAACGAGAAGTAATATGGCGTGTATTATGTAAACGGTGTTATAACAGAATAAAACGGATAAAGCAGTTGTAAAAGTACATTTCACGAGAGACCGAAGAAACATCACGCAGTGAGAGTCGAGTGATGACGGTGATGCACGAAAAAGAATTGACAGTTATTATGTAAGCACGAGGATATCTTCATTTCAGCGAAATGAGGAAAGCTGTGTCGGAGGAACAAAACCACAACGGCGGAATTGCCGGCCGTGTAGTTCCGGAAATTAAATTCTTGAGGCGGTTATAATTGATTTCTCTCACTAGTCAATTAGATGCACCGTAATGGAAATTTACTTGTCTAAAAAGTTCCTGTACAGGGTGTTCCATAATTCGCGTTATTTACATAGCGCGACTTTTTGTGAAAATTTTTGACAGTTCTTTCTTAATATCGAGGCAGGTGATTATTTATTTTCGTTTGAAATTTCAAGTCTACTTAAAATCGATCGAGGCAAATAATTTTATTATCTATTTGTAGCTTGAGCTCTCATAGTTGAGCGAAAAACAATAGCTTGTATCTGGGAAATTAACGATACCTTGATATTTTTGTTAAGAAAAACTAACGAAATAAAAAGAAAAAAATAATACTATACAGATAGTTGGAGCAAATTGCAGAATACTCTGTATATTATATAAGAATATTGGTAAGTAATCAAGTTTCAAAAAGGGATATATTTTTAAATCTAAAATAAAGTTTTCATTTTTCATCATCATTGATACGGTGAATTTCTATATCCAATACACTGAGAAGATATTTTTATATTAATCAAGATTGGATAATAATTAGTTAATCAGTTAATCAGTTAAGAATTAAGTCAAAAAGATGTTCCAATTGTTGATAACTTTTAATTTATCTCTGTTCATCTTAGAAGAGTTAACTTTTAATTTAAAATAGCTATTTCGGAATGTATTAATATTAACTTGTTCTTTTTTATATAAGTCGAAATAATTCATCAATATTAAAATCAATTAGGCTTGTGGACTGCTTATAAAATGTAGAATAAGAAGAATAAATAATAACGTCAGTAAAATTTTCTTTTCCTCTCTTTAAACAATAATCAGAATTCTTTTATACAGGATTTTAGACACAAAACAGTGTTGGTGTTCTCTTGTAAAAATCTTGTAATTATTTTATTTAAATTTAACACGTGATTAAAGAATTACTTATACGAAAAACATATAAATATATTTCGTATAATTGGTCTGGATTGTCAACTTTTAATTTTATGATGAGTCAGTTTAACTCCAACTTAATTCTTAATCAAGTTCTGGTTTTAAGCAATTTTTAACTGAACAAATCTAATTTCACAGATCCTTAATTAAGGTTAACTTAGTAATTAAGAAAAATATATTAACTCTTATCCAAGGATATATGATATTAATATATAATTACTCAGCTCAAGTGGAAACTAATAAGAATAAGATGCCTGTAAGTGCTTGCTTACTTATGAGCGACCTTAATAATAAATCTCTTGCATATTTTACTTATTATTGAGCAGAATAATTCGCGTGTGGAGACAGTGGTCGGTGCGAGTGAATTTTTCACGAAGGACAAACATTGTATACCCGAGCCCGAGGCTATCGAGCTCGTTGACTTACATCGACTTACTTCGAAGAGTTTCAAGTCCACACACGCATGCGAAAGTGTTTCTTCTTTTCTAGCGCGCGCACATTGCTTCGCACATTGCCCAACCACCCGACCTCCTCGAGCGTTCCTCGACGCACAGGTACACACATGCACGCTCTCACATGCATACACACGCGATTTTATATTCTCAGTAGCTCCCTCGACCTCCTGCGAGGAACGAAGCGATATTGGTTCAGCGATGCCTTGCACTGAAATATCGCAACTCGAGAGTCCTCTTCGCCGCAGAGTCGGCGTGTCTGCCACGGTTCGCTGCGATAAAACCGCGGTAGTCTTCTCAATCGCGTGTTCACGCACGGTTGTTCGGAAAATTGCCTTCCTTCGAGCCGATATGGCGATCGTATTGGAACACTAATAACGGCCGCCAGTGACCGCTAGCCTTCGTTGTTGGTCAAGTATGACTACCGACCGAAGCCGGCGAGTCACTGCTACCAGAGTCCATTCGAGATTTCGTCGATCCATTTCAGCATTCTTGCTGTACGTGACACGAACATGCAACACGTGCACCGAATTAATGCCTGGCCTGATTGCGCGTGCCACCGGACGGAGAAGCTCGACGAGTGTCTGATGTTGCAACTCGCGTGAAAATTCGGACCACCCGCATCGCGGCCGCTTCGTCGCCGTTCGCAGCCGTTTGAATAATGACGACGTGCGAAAGCTGTTCGAGGTATTCGCCAAGTACCACAGCCTCGGTCTAGTTGAGAAAGATATCCTGGAGGATCGTTTACGTAAATGAGCGATATCTTCATTGCAGGCCAATCGTCATTGATCATGAAGCTAATCGAGAAGCGTCGACATTGAAAAGCAGCTCCCCAAAGAGGATTTATATCTTATTGTATAAAATTATATGCAATTATACACAAGTTATGTATAATTATATAAACTATGTACAATTATATATGAGATACGTGTATATAAACTTTGTTTCTATATGACCATATAAGGAATAATGTGTAATTATATACGCTATACGTAAAAAAAAAAATTGCTGCTGAGTGAAGAGAAGAAAGATAAACATAAGAAAGACAAACATAAAAATTTATTTCAATTTACTATTTGTATAACGGCATTTTTGTTTCGCATAGACATGTTATAGCCACATAGAGGAAAGTTGCCTATATTGGTTTTCAATTTTCTTTTTCACAAATTGCAAATATTTAATAAAAATGGGATAAAGCTAATCGAAAGTGATCTTTGATCTATTTGTAATATTCTACAATTTTTTGAGATTTTTTGCATATCTGCAGATGTCTTTTTCAAAACGGCTACAAGTGGTACAATTTTTGAGAACTATTGACAAAGATTTGACAATTAATTTAAATTATATCACGGAGTTTCCCAAACTGTATCGTGTTTTTTTATTGTACTGGTGTAATTAATTTAAAAAGTTAAACATGTAAAGGGATAAAAATAAAATACAGACAACTTAAATACATACGTATTCAATTAAAATTATAATTTCTATAAAAAATTAAAGGGAATATTTTTTTAATTAGAAAAATAAAAATTAAAACAATAAAACTAAAATATTTTTGCTTTCAGAAACTTAACTAAGAGATTAATTAAAATCACAGCTTGTATGAAAAATTAAGAAAGAAAAAGTAAGAAAGAATACTTTTGAATTATAAAAACAAAAACAAATTGCTTATTAAAATATTTATTAAAATTATATTTATTTTTATATGAAATTTATTTTATGTGAAAGTTGATTTTTTATATTCATAAAATTATTCTTTGACCACGTAACTAAAAATTGCAGAATTTATCTATTACATCCTCGAAATTAAAATTACAGGAATAAAGTAAAATATTTTTGTTTTTAAGGAATTGATTAAGAAATAAACAAAAATCTGTTTTTTAATTAAAACAGGAAATAGATATAGGTAAGGCAAAAGAAAAAAAATAAACTGCTTTCAATAAACTTTAGGAACAATAATTATAGATATAATTTTCCTTGGAAATTCTTAAATTGTATCGATACAATATAGACAAGCAATAAGTGGTACGACTTAAGTTATATTTTTCAAATTATGGCAGTAAAGTATACACAGAGTAAGATTATGTCCAAACTATTTCGTAAATATGTAAATTTTAATGTAGTATGACAAGCAGCTAAATTTTTTTACACTTTTATTGATACATTTTTTGAAATTTTCGAAATGCCTTGTGTGTAAAAGTGGATAAAACATTTCTAAAACTAAACAAATTTTTACTTGCTTTTACTAACAAGACGCTTCCGCATAAACACTCACTTTCCTCTATTAATTTTATGGCGATAGATGAACCTCGCATAATATGCAGATGGCGCTAGGCCTCCGGATTCTACGGCGTATAAATGCGACACAACAGCGGCAACTATATACACTGCACGTAAAAAAAAAGATGCTGCTGAGATGAGTGAAAAGTAGGAAGATGAATATAAAAAACACAAGGACAATAATCTAGTTCAATTTACTATTTGTACAATAGCTATTGTTATACATTTTTGTTCCGTGTGCATATAACTACATATAGTTATGTACGGCCACGTATAAAGGCAAACTTCGTATACAATTGTGTACAATTTACGGTTGTCTTACACGTGATACTTCTTATCACACGATATCGCGCGAGTGTGAACTGCGGTTACACAGTGCCGCGGCACTTTTGCGAAGATTGCATGTGCGCCGGACAGCGCGCGCCATAACAGCGCAACTGAACTCGTGACGAACGAACGAGACTTTCTACGAGATTTTCGCGAAGTACATCGCACGAGGATTTCCGCCGATTGTGCAAATTCAAGCGCCGGACTCGCGATGATAACGCGCTCACTTTGCTCCGCGCGACCGCGCTTCGACGCTTTTCCTCGGCCGTTGGAAATTGTCGCGACTAACGGTCATTGGGAATCGCCGTCCAGCCCGGAGACCGGCAGCCGCGATACTTAACCGTCCTTGTCTTCGAAAAACCGCTGGGGTCCACGTGGACTGCGATACATAACAACTTCCATCTTTCACTTTCACTCTGCGTAATCACACACGTAATCGGGATTGGTTCCATTATACGCGTACCGGCTGTGATAACGATGACGCGCTTCCGCTAACCATCGTCGCTTCTGCAATCAATTATCCCGCCTGTCTGTTCCCGAGAACTTCCGGGATGGATAAACTTCGGATTAGATTTTCAACGTGATGTATTTCTACAAACGATGACATATACAGATCCGTTCTTCGATATTTCGATCCTGTTTTTCCTTTTTGTGTGCTTCCGTAATCATTTATCTTCGTTTGCTATCGGCAGTTTCCGGCAAATATATTTCACTCCTCCGCCGGAGATTTAGATTTAGATTTTCAACGTTTTATCGATGGATAGACAAGTTTGTTTTCTAATACTTTGAACTCGTTTTCCTTTTTTACTTTTTTTCCTTGTCTTCGCTTCCGCGAGAAATTATTCCGCGTCTATTTGATTGAAAATTTTCAATAAATAAATTTAATTTTTTGCGTTTAGATTTTTTACAATTGTAAAGATGTTACTCCTGTTTCTCTTCACTTTGTTTCTCTTTCAAAATCCAAGTTGATCAAAAGATAGTGCATTAATCAAAACTGATGATATATTGTTCTATTATCGTGCAGCGTTACATTAATATCCCGTAGGAAATTGGGATTTTTTTTATGCACAGTATGCTCCAATTAGCGGCCGCTAATTATTTCACCGTGAAAGGTGCGAGTAAAACAAGCACGCACGCACGCACTCGTTCGCGCCAAAATGTTACGCGTACATTGATCTGCGAGCCGTTTCTCTGTTGCGAAAATTCGTGATTTTATATGTGCAATAACTGCACTGCAATAGCAGCAAGTGGAGTTTCGCACGAAATGTTTAGTTTACGCATATAGCATACAGCAAGGGAGTATTGCCAAAGCTGTAATAAACGTCAAACGTCGGTTGTTATCGCTATTCTCAGCGGGACAGTCGTGTCCGTTAAACGCGAATGCGTCGCGCCTTCGGTTGCGCCATAAGTTGCCATGGAAAAAAATTTGGCAAGTCTGAAAATATTCAAACTGGCTTCCATGTGACTGTACGCGACTCATCTTTTCATACGTGTAGCTTATACAGCTGCTTTACGTAACGCACACGTCTTTGTGCGCATGCCGCTGCTTATATGTCTGGCGCAAATTTTAACCGATTATATAACAAAATATAGCGAAGTTAAATTTATGCAACTGCTTGCCTCGGTAATATATTTCGACTTATCTCTATTTATCTCAACAACACTGTGAATTCCCTTTCTTTAAATCATTTTTAAATTATAATATTACGCAAATTTATATATATTATTTAAAAAATATTATTCTATTACTACATTACTCTCTATTACTATATTATTCTATTACTACATTACTACATTTTTAAATTGTTATCTTTTGAAGGGGGATGCCGTAAAGTGCTCGACGGATTTAATTAAGCTAAATTTCAAGTTACGGATCTGTGAAATTAATTTAATCAGCCTAAAAATTACTTGAACGAAAATTAAATGAAAAGTTAAGTTAAAGTAAGAATAATTAAGTGAAAAATTAAGTTAAATTAACTTGTTACAATCACGAGTTAATTGCACAAATCGATATTCATGTGTGTTTACACAGATAACATTTCTCGCATGTTAAATTTATACATACAAGACAGTTAAAAGAGATCCTTCACGAGGAAATATCAACTGTTTTGTGCTTGGAATTCTACGAAAAAGAAAAAGAGAAAAGGAGAAACATTTTACCGAGATTATTTTTCATCTTTCTTATTCCTCGCGCAACGATTTCAATATCAAAGGATTATTTCTGCTAATGCAGAAAGACCGTTAAGTGTTTACGCATTTTGAAGTAACTACTTTTAGTTGAGAGTTAACTTCTCTGAAATCAACTGAGTTCGGCTAAAATTTCTCAACGCGATTTAACTTTTTAACTTAACTCTTAACCTTGGCAAATGGTGCCCGCTAGCCGAGGCTGTACGTTAAAGACCTCTGCGCAGTGTCGACCTTGACCACTCACAGGCTGAGGTTCAATCGAGTTAAATGGACAATGGAGTCATCGATAGACTTGCATCACACATAATGAAGAATACCGAGTATGATGATACGTAACACTGTAAGAAAGAGGTTTCCAAGTTGATTAGATGTACACAAAAGTTTGTCTTTTTTCGGAGCGCACCAATGTAAATATTATAAATTGAAATATTTTCCCGCCGTTTTGTGTTTTTATAAGGTTGGCATTGAACTTTTTACAATGTCATTCATATTATAATTCACTGGACATAACTTTAAAAATAACAATTAGTACAATAAGCGATGAAAAATGTTGTATTCAATATAAATTCCAGCGAGCGAAAAATTCTACTAAAGCATGCGAATCCATTTGCTCTGTTCTTGGGGAAAATATTACGTCCCACATTATATGCAGATATTAATTTCGTCGCTTTAAAGACAGTGATGGTTGCAAAACAATATTATCGATAAAAAAGATTTTTTGTCGAAAATTATTATTGGCAATAAAAAATAAATTATATATGATAATCCTAAATGTAAACATTCGTGGGTGGACAGCTTTCTATATCAATCAGGCAGAATCAAATATTCACAGCAAAAACGTCCTTTTATGTATCTGCTGGGATGGTTATATGCACCAATAAATCATAATATGAATAGCGTTTTAGAAAATTCAATACCAACCTTACAAAAACACAAAACGATGAGAAAATATCTCAATTTAAAATAATTATGTTAGAGGGCTGAGAAAAGACTAAAACTTTCGGATATACCTAATACTAATCTTCCACAAACATTATTACGCTGCGATTATTGGTCGCAAAGTGGATTTAATAGACGCGTTGTTTTGGGAAATCTTCAAGTCCGCGGCTCAGCCCGAAGGACTCGTCGAGGATTTGAAAGCTTCGGATTTTAGTACTTACGTCGTCCCGAAGGAACCTCTCGAAGGTGCAGGCTCGTCGACGTCGATCGTTAGTTAACTAGTCGTTCTTGTCTCCTGCATGCAATCTATTTGCGAGAAAATGCGAAATACGAGGAAAAAAGCATGACACGCACAATCCACGCGAACGTGACAGCCACTTACGTACCATGTGGCGCAGGTACGTTAGGTATTAGATCGAGTTTATTTCCTTCTTTTCTCCATTCACAGTTTCCGCGATTCGGCGACTTTCAAACGCGGGAGTTTCCGTTTTGAAATCGATATTAATAGGAAAAGAACAGAGAAATATCTTGGACTCTGGTGGTCTCGTGCGCAAGCGCGAACCTGCTCCTAAGCGCGTAAAGACGGTCGCGCCGGAAATACGATATCGCGCGGGTATTTTCACGGAAATGTTTGTCGGGAAAAATATCCTTCAAGTTTTTCCGGACGATAGCGTAATAGCTACTAAAGACGGTCTAAAGACTAAATATAAAGTCAAAACATTTGGTTATATTTGGTTATATATATATATATATATATGACCAGGGTTGGAAAAGTTACTTTGTAAAAGTATCTAGTTACAGTTACAGTTTTTTTCCCTGAAGAAGTAACTAGTTACAATAAGTGACTTTACTGACTTTGATAACTGAAGTTACTGACCTTCAAAAATAACATGTTACAGTTATAGTTACTTAGAAAGTAACGAATCGTTACTTTTTAGTTATTCTTTTATAATAATTGTGCTATTATTATAAATCTCGTAATTGTGTAAATTTTTTCAATTTTATATAAAAGTAGTTTGTTAATTATTATATTCCTCACATTGTACATAATTTTTATAAATTGGATTCATTAATTTAAATAGGCAATTTATATTTAGTTTTTAAGACTATTAATAATAATTATATAAGAACAATTATATAAGAAGAATTATACAATAAGAAAGTGAATGAATTTGACGAGGATAATAAATACTAAAAATAATAAAAATAATTTTAACATCAAGAATTAGATTTTTTCATTAAAAAATATATTGATATTTTATAAATAAAGACTTACATTCATATGTTTTCTTAAATTTGCAGTTAAAGTTCTACTTGCATAAATAATTTTTTTGTTGGCGCAAATTTTTTAGAGAAATGCCAACTGTTTTCGTCTCCAAATTTTTGCTGTAACTCGAATATTTCTGCATATGATGGCCATGGCATTTTACAATTTTTCTCCGAAGATTGAGATGTTTTATCCATTAATTGAAATTTTTATATAACTGAAACTACGCAGCGTACTTCACACTGAACGCAGGTTATGTTAATAAATAAGGGCCGACGACGCGCGACAGAAAGTCCAATAGGCAGAAGGTATAACTTTTTTTAAAAGATACAGGTTGCGTTCATCATTTTATCCTTGTTTTACATCTAATGAATGATAAAGATAGATGATAATAGCGCGTTTTCTAAATGCTGCCAGAATAACTATCGCTTATTGGATATCAAGTATCGCACGTCGCGTTATCGTGCTAGTCTGACAGAAACTTAAGTTTGAAATGTATAAAGTAACTATTAAACTAGTTACTAGTTGTCAAACAAATGTAACTAAGTTAAGTTACAGTTATAGATAAAAAAACAGAACGAAGTTAAGTTATAGTTACCGAAAAGAAGTTACTGTAACTGTAACTTCGTTACAAGTAACAAGTTACTTCCCAACCCTTAAATATGATATTGTACTTTTTACCGTAATGTGACGTTTATCAAAATTTTGGTTATTTAAAAAATACACATTTACACCGTGTGTTCGAATGGCCATTATCAATATCCAAAAAGTATCTTTCGCTTACATAGAAGTCGCACGATGATCTCGTTAGCTATTAAAGTTCACCGCGAGGGAAATTTGAAGTTTCAGCTCAAACTAGTGCTAAACTAAAGCTTCACTCGAAGTGAGATGCGTACGTTGGAGACGGTCTCTCTCTCTCTCTCTCTCTCTCTCTCTCTCTCTCTTCTTACTTGCGCGTCGGAGGAGAACTGTTAACAGATATCGCTTTACTTTCCACGTTATCGTTACCTCGCACATGCACACACCAGAGACTATCCAACTACACGCACATACACATACTTGCGTGCGTACACGTCGCGTTCCGTAGATGTCGGATCACATGGGCGAACGCAGCGGATGAAGTTGCGGGGACAAATGCATCTTGCCGGACGGCGGAATCGAAACTAACGAGATGAGTTCTCTCTTCCACCTCCAGCCACCGTGGATCGGCCACGACGAAGGTCGTCAGCATTTTTACGAAAGACCTTACGTGCCTTCGTCACGGTGTAAACGGAACAAATTGATGAAATTCTGCGACGCGACGCGACTCGCCTCGCCCTGCCTCGCCTCGTTGCTCCTCGCCACACCGACTCGACTGGATCGAAATTTCGTGCGTCTTGTCGATGTAGACCGCGACAAGAACTTTCGATCTCTCGGCTGTCCGATAATTGGCCAATCGTCGAGATTGCGAATGAGCAGTTGCGGGCTTAGATAAGGCCTAGGAAATGCCAAATTCGTTGCTCGTGGAAACGCTTCTCGGCTTGTTGATATTCAGCTGTGTCCCGCGCTCTTGCGTCACGTAACGTCGCGCGCATACATGTAAACAGTCTATTTGATTTTTCTTCTTGCGGATAATTAACAATGGAGTTTACTTGAATCGCATAGGTTATATAAATGCATCGCGCTTGTTTGCGCAGCCTCGGCGACCCCCCGCCGCTTTTTTCCACCTAGATCCTTCTCACCGCGCGTGTCGCAATGTTTCTTTTTCTCGGACTTTGCACGTCACGATTTATCTCTGTGTCGTGTCGCCTGCTTGCTCCTCATTGACTCGCTTGTCAAAAGGTAAACAGCGCGAGGCGTCGTTCGTTGGGCTTGGGAATCGTGCAAATAGCACACGGCTTTTCCCAGCTGCTTCCACACGCGTGCGCGTACGAGGAATACGTAAGGACTCGGACACACGGAAAAGCCTCAGCAGGAAACACAGTTGAGCAATGAGGAAATTGGCTAATCAAAATTGGTTATTCTTCTTACAGCCAAGAAGTATTTAACTGCGTTTGCTTACTGCTTACGTCTTACCCAGGGTTGGTAAAAAAAATATGTTTAAATTAAAAAAAACAAAATATGTTTTTCTTTGCTTAAAACTGCTTTTATGTTTTAAACACATTTTAAACATATATGCACTTGATGCGGTTTTTGATGCGGTTTGGAATGTAGTTTGTGGTTTAATAAGAAAACTTTTTTTAAATCATTTCATTTGAGTAAACTATGGAATACATATGCATATACAAAATTAGAATTATTAAGTAAATAGATATAATATATATACATGTAGATGCAATAATTATTTTTTTAATAATTGTGCAATAATTGTACATTTATATGTACGATTGTAATGTGCAAGAATATAAAAAAATAGATATTTTGCGAAAAGATCAATTTACGTCACCAATAATTTTACATCCAAAATTTATATTGAACATAAAAAAACATGTATTTAAAAGAAGTGCTTAAAAAAAACGAATATTTAAGATGATCGAATGTTTGGAACATATTTAAAATTTTTGTTTTAAATAAAAAGTTTAAAATATACCAACTCTGGTCTTACCTCTTAAGTTTTTCTGTATATCCGGGCATCCCTAAGGGTCTTATAACTCAGAATGCTCGTTGCGCATGCGTTTCCATCCTGTCTGTGATGTTATCAGTTATCCAGCAATTCGTTTCAATTTCAAATTCGTTTCATATTATTCATTTCAGCAGAGCAGGAAGACGCTCGAAAGGTGTGACAGTTAATAAATATATTTGGGTCACATGAATGTTTCAACTTGTTTTTGCGCTCTCTACTTGGAAGTTCTTGTTTCTTCGTCGCAGCCATCTTGATCAATGACGTCGAAAGCAAGAAAACGCGCGCTCAGGATTCTTACGCAAAATACGTCGACACAAATAGCTGTATACGTGAAGTGACGCCGACTCTCGATCAAACAGATTTGTGAAACAGTCCGGAAACTTTCCCTTCATTCTGACAATCGATAAACGACCGTGAAATTAATGTGACAGAATCATGGAAAAAGATTGGCTGAAAAGATAGATTGCACGTCATGTCGATTTTGCAGTTGTTAGGTCTAGTAGTTAATTCTTTCCGATAAAGTTTAAGTGACTCAGAGCAAAATTAAAAATTGAAATATTATCCCGCTTTTTTGTAGTTTTAAAGTGTTGACATTTGACTTTTCGAAATGACATATGATTTGGCGTTTGATATATATAACCTCAAATAATTAGTAGTGTTCACGATGGCTATCAACAAAGAACATATTCGATACGCGATGCATTTCGCATTTCATTTAAACAAAAACGTTTCTGAAGCAGTCAAAATGATTTGTGCTGTCTATGGTGAAAATGTTGTGACCAATCGCACGTGCCGAAAGTGGTTTGAATATTTTCGAAGTGGTGGTTTTGATCTTCACGACCAACCACGCCGCAGTTAGCCAAAAAATTTGAGGATAAGGAGTTGCAAAATCTACTGAATGAAAATACAAACACAACAAAAACTTGCGAGAAAACTGGGAGTAAGCCAGAAAGCTACTTGCGATCGTTTACATCGTATAAGAAAAATACAGAAAGAAGGGAAATGGGTTTCACACGAGCTAACCATTGACGACAAAAATGGCCGATTGACCACATGCGTTACCTCGCTCGCCAGACGACAAAAGAAAAGAATTTTTGCACAAAATCGTAACTACAGACGAAAAATAGATTATGTATGAAAATCCTAAACGCAAAAAGTCATAGGTAAACTCCGGTCAACCGACAACGTCGACAGCAAAATCCAAACGTTTCGGAAAAAAAATTCCCTATATATGATGGGACCAGAAGGATGAGCTGTATTATGAGCTCTCAGAACCGGGTAAAACCATTAAAGTAGAGATTTACCAGAAGCGATTGACACGTTTGAGCAATGCAATTGAGAAAAAAAGCCATTTACTGGATAAAGCAGCCGTAAAAGTCATTCTGTTGCGTGACAATGCTAAACCGCAGAAGCCACAAAGGAAACCATCCGACACTTGGCCTGGAAAGTTCTCCCACACGCGGATTTTTCAGACTTGGCAGATTTTCACTTGTTTTGGTCGATGCAACACGCATTGCCTGATACATTTTTCGACAGTTGACGACGTACGAAATTTCATCGATGACTTTATAGCCTCAAAGTTTTTATCATGATGGGATTCGGCAACTGCCGAATAAATGGCGTAAGGTCATCGATAGCAACGGAGAATATTTCATTGATTAATCTTGTTCTATTGATTTTTAAATAAAGATTGAAAATTGTCGAAAATCGAGAAGAATTAACTACTAGACCTAATATCTGTTGACTGTTTGAGCGAAAGAAAAGTTCCCAGTTGGTGCGAGAAAGACCTGTCATTCCTCCATAAAATTTTCATGACAAATTTGGCTACGAAGAGGGAAACAGGGAGTCCTCGATGACTGTTTAAAAAGAAGAAGGTGCTGACTCGAGATGTTATCCGTTTAATTTGCAAAAAAAGTTAGTTCTTCAAAGTTGAACAATCTCGACCTCTGTTTTATTTCACAAACGCGATGAGTCTTTTTCATCAAGTAACATCTTACAAATCTGCTTGATTGATTGCGAATTCCATTTCACAGGTTATCTCGTTACTTCGACGTATTTCGCCAGAATGCGCGTGTGTATTTTCACGCTTCTGACTTTGCCAATCGAGAATTCTACGGCTAGAGACTAGGATCCTTCGGGAAATTGTGTCCTTTTGTTGCTTAATGGGGCAACATGATGTTCGCAGGCGGGAAGGTTCCGTTGCATAAGGGGTCAAGATCGAATTCTCGACGCCGCCAGCGATGGAACACCCTGACCGCTTGATCTTGTATGATAATCGCACGGCCATCTAGGCCACGTATGCGATGATAATCAGCGTTATCTAGTGCACACCACTTCTGCGGAGCTCTCCTGCGAACTTCCAAGCGCGTGTTATCAAGCAGCACGGGACAAAAAAGTATTCGTATTCTTGCGAAATTGGAATCTTGTGTGTCTGCGTGTTTAGCAACAGTTATTTCTTTTACTGATGCAAATGAGTAGACTGGTACCGTGACGACACATGTCGGTAGATCTCCTAATGGTTATTTACAGTTTCGTTATGTCTGCGATTAAATCGATTTCGTAACGCATAAACTAGTTTGATCGTCGCTCTTTCTTCATCTCGTCACCTAGTTTTTCAGCTTCTCCTTACATATTACGTATATTTTTCTCTGTACACTCTATATTTAATTTTTATATACATACCTACGCGTATGTGTGTGAACATATATATATATATATATAAATATAATATTTACTTTCTGTACAAAACACAAAGTATATATACCACATATACACACACATGCGAGTCTGAAAACGTCTCACGACTGTCGAGTCTCACGCAAGAAGAGGAGAAACGAACGAGAATGAGTAGCAATCGTTCAAGGCACAAGGAACAAACCGGAGACATGGCGTCATAAATAACAATCTATAAGTGACAACAAAGCTACCGCCGCGAAGCGATGACGTAAACACATCTCCTCTAAATTGAATCTAGGGCTTCCTACGCGATCGCTATATGGAATAGAATTCACGAGCTGGATTGTCGTCGGTTTTTGGTTGGCGTAGAGTCTGCGGGGACGCAGGCTCTCCCTCCTCTTTCTTCCTCTTTCGACGAAGAGGGACGATTATTGAGCAAATTCTCGTGGGCTAGCAGGTGCGTGAGGATTTAGTGCGGGTTGTCCGACGGCAAGCCCTTGATAGCGAAGGAGCCGCGGAAGAAGGGCTTGAAGATCTCCAGGAGAGTCTGCGTTCGACGCGCCGAGTTCTGAAAAGTGCGAACGGGTCAGTCGCTGGGAGTCGACGCGATCTGCGGCGGTCGACGCCGCCGTGCCGTTTCCACCTCGGGGACGAATAAATTAATAATCTTTTCCCCGCACCTATTTATCTGGCACACGTGCGCGGTGAAGGGCGACATATCCGCGAGCGCGCGTTTATCGAGTCGCGGTCGAGCTGGGAAATAATCGAGCACTCGGCAACGGAAAAAGGCCGATTAACGATCGATTGATGAAACTCGTACTCACCATGATCACGCTGTTGAGGACCTTGCTGATGTTAGTGACCAGGGTGAAACTGGTACCGAAAGCCGCCGACGGCAACTCCAAGGACACCCTAGTCCTGTCGAACACGGGCGTGTCCTCTGTGGTGGTACCGATGGCATTCTGCGCAGAAATTCACACGACAGTCAGCTTTATTCGCCGTTCTCGTTTTCTAGTTGAATTATGCATTTCGTCAGTCGCAGCCAACCGGTGTGGGAAAATCGCCCGGCACTTTGAAGCCTGCGCATGTTACTGTCTAGGGATATATTTGTATATTTTCATTGTCGCTCTTTCTGACTCGTGGCGCCGTGGAATACGAAAGAGAAAGGACAACGGCCGTCTGATGCGCGCCGCTGACAAGATCCTGTGATGACGCGCCGATGAAGTTATTCGTTAGCTAGGATTTTACAGATTTACAGATGCGTAACACGTGAGATTAAAAGTACAAGGTAGTTTACGCACACATGTATATATATTTATAACATATACACACAAGGACATGCTTCTCCACAGAAGATGCGAAAGATCCTGTACGAGTGGTGCCAGCTTCGAGGAGCTAAGGATCGTGCGTCCTTAATTTTCGCCCCGGACGGCTTTCATCCCCGATCGTCCTTACGACTTAAGCCGAGGAGGACTTCCGATTACACGCAGGTAACAAGGACACGGGACAAGGATACACATCGGGCTTCGTGATGCTCCGCAATGAGCTCGTCACAGACAGATAGACAGAAATACAATCGTGAATTTATTTGACACAACAGCGACATCACCATTAGTCAATCATTATTCTTACGCGCCGCAGAGAATAATTGGATGCGCTATTTACACAATTTATACACAGCGATACTCGCTTCTCGCTCAGGGGCCCGGAGAGCTGCTACTGCGAAATTATTTACAACTTCCACGCCGGCGAACCGAGGGTTCACCCCTTCCGCCCGTCCGCCCTTCTGCGACTCAATGTTAGACGCAGCGCAGCTCACTGTTTAACCGGAAGCGTCGGCTCGTCGGGAAAGCGTTCCCCGCATGAATTTTCTCTCTTTTCTTCGTTTACTCGGGCTCTCTAAGGACACTCTCTTCTCTCTCTTTCTCGCCCTCCCTCGCTCCCTCTCAGGCGGGGGTTTCCGGCGAAAGAAGGAGCAAAAATGGAGGCTAAGAGAAAAAGAGAGGGAGAGATACGGGGGAAGCAGATCCTGCCAATTATCGGCCGTGCTGGAAACAAAAACCCACATTCCACATATTACATGGAACAATCACGAGTCCTTTCTTATCCCGGAAGTCCGTTCACTGTCCGTTCGATATTCGCCGGTGGATGCGTGTCGGTCGTCGTACGTTCGTTACTAGTCGCTTTGCTTCGAGGCGGGGAGGAGAGTTGCTCTCTCGTCTCAAGCGTTGCTGCTAGCTGCGGCTCCAAGAGATTCCGCCCGCTTCCCGCGCGTTTTGCCCGTCTTCCCATCGTTTCATCCCGCCCGTCGTTTGCCTTCGCTGTTCTTTAAGCCGTTTAAGAGGCCGTTTGCGGTGCAGGGTAATCGTACTGTTCGTGCACAATTGCTCATTTTAATGGCGGGTACAAGTAAATGACCTGCGGAAAGTCTCGTCGCGCGAAGACGTTTTCCGCGAGGGGGATGATAATAAGGGCGAGGCTCTCACGCAGCGGCGTTAATTAGTGACTCAGCTGGCGGTTTAGCGAAGCGTGTCAAGGCGGCCGGGTGAGCTACAAGCTCTCGTAATCTCTTACGCTTTTTATAGCCATCGGCGACAGTGCACGGCGCGGAGAAAGGCGCCGGAGTGGAGATGTGTCAGATAAGAATCGACGGCACACAAAAACAAGTTCCAACGGCCGTTGCATAAAGGGGCAGCGGCGTTTTGCGAGAGGTCGATACAGCTTTGTTATGTACACCGCGCGTTATTATGGCGTCAGAAAGCTCCGGTGAATTCGTAGTATTAGAGAGGAGAGGGAGGGGGACATATTACAACATATTATCGTGCAAATTAATCATCGACAAGTGGCTTTTCTTTACGGATGCATCCGGTAGCGAGACCTCTTGCAAGCAACGTCATGACGTCCTCACCGTCGTCCATGTTGGTTACGTGACATACGTTACGTTTATTAACCCTTTGCACTCGGAATGCCAGCACAGCTGGCATGAACATTTCTCCCGGTAACTCGGAATGCCAGCTGTGCTGGCACGAAGAAGATTTAATGGTAGAGAGCAATAAAATAATAAAATGTGGCGACAATATTAAAGGAAGTAAAGGTCTTTTTTGTAGCTTTTCTGGGAATTTAGAAACTATAATTATCGATTTGGTGGAAGGAAATGTATGGAAATATATTCCTCGAGTGCAGAGGGTTGAGATTTGTTAGATAACGTCAGATCCGTGTTTCGCGGTGAGTGAAATACATATATATATATATGTGTATATATATATTTGCACATAGACACAAACATTCTGCTTCTTACGGAAACGCACGTATCAGAATTCCACAGCGGAGAGTGACAGAGACAGCTTGCGTTACGTGTCAGACATAGAACGGGCGACATCAAAGTGCGGGACTTCAAAGTGCGTAAAAGTAAAAGGTTCACACACAGAAAGAGACAGAAAAGAGAACTTATTGCGATCCTACCCCTCCTAGGTTGGCGAAACCTCCGATATTGATCCCAGCACCGGCACTGGCACCAGCGGTGCTCCCGCTGGAAGCGCCGCCTGTGCCGCCGCTTGTACCGCCGCTGCTTTGGCTCAAAGATGACAGGGTGTTGATGCCTGCGGTCAAGAGGTTGCCTATGATGGCCGATCCGGCGGTACCAGCTCCGGCTCCGGCTCCGGCTCCGGCTCCGGCTCCGGCTCCGTGGTCACCTGTGGTACCTCCTGCATTTCATGAGTAGAACTATTAACTTATCCGTTCGAGCACTGAAGAGGAACCTAATTTATCCGTGATCTTCGGAGCAAATGTTTGTAAAAGAAGAAGAAAAAGAAAATGTTCGCAAAGAAAGAGAACGTTGCATTGGCAGAAGAAGAGAAAAGAAGAAAAAGGAAGAGATGGAAGATAAAGAAGAAATGGGAGAAAAAGAAAGAAGGAAGATAAAGAAGAAGAGGGAAGAAGAAAGAAAGGAACGAGAAGAAATGGAGAAAAGGACAAGAGGAGAAGGTGAAAAAGCAGGAAGAGAAGAAGGAAGAGAAAGGTTAGAAATTGGAAAAAGTTTTTCTCGTAGGATGAACCGCACGTCGGAATTTTTCTGCCGCTTTGAACTCTACGCGTCGCGCCGAGAATCTTCATAGAAAGGATCACGGAAGAAGCGATCTAGAGAAACTACTCGTAACATCATGAATTCATACCAGAGCTGCCACCTCCGGAGAGACCTCCGGAGAGTGAACTCAACGGCGCAATCTTCGAGATCAGCGAGTTCGACAGACCGTTTGCCTTTCCTGAGAACAGTACGGTCGCGCTGTTGATGAGCGGGCCGATGCTACCCGTCGCAGCGCGTATCTGCTGGGATATTAGGTTGTTGATGAACTGCTTAGTGGCGGATTGATGAGAGTCGATCCCGAAAACGGCGTTCTTCGCACGGTTGGAGTCGTCGAGCACTGTGAGCGCTTTTGTTTTCGAGTCCAAGAAGGAATCTATTTTCTGGGGGACGTATTTTCCTGTTAGAGCAACTGTTAAAAGACGCACTACGTGTCTATTAGCTATGCTACGTGGTATTTAACGCCGCATATCAGTGCAAGCGGCTGCTGTCTGAGAGAAATGCGTCCCGTTACGTTCCAAGTGCGCGTCTATTATATACGCCTATTATATACGCAAGGGGACAGCACAGACTGATCATTCTTCAATCGAGCTTACGTCAAACACGAAGGTGATGATGCCATTCGTCACACCGAGCTTCACGCCGATCTTCCTCTTTTCTCTGCCATTCTCCTCACCGTCGGCCGCGTCATCTTCAGCCTCGAAGACGTAGACCTAAGCAGAATTGTAAAGGAAGAGGTTTCTTCAGCTTCGTGAAACGGCGATATTTTTTGACGATTTTATTTTAATGCTCTGCGCTTTATTTACTGAAACAGCTCGACATCGATTGAATTCGTATTGACGCTTCGTGACGTCTGTTTTTTAATCAGGCGTCGCTAGATTCGTTATTTCATCCTTTGTATTGGTCTTTGGTTTGTTTGAGTCGACGTTCAGAGAGAGAGCAAGAGCATATGTTACATTATGTGTCCCCGAGACGTATGCGACAATTAGTTTCGTGACTGGCGGAACGTCTGGCAGACGTGATTCTAAAGCAAGCGGCTGAAGGGCTGACGAACTTGAAGAACGTAAACATCGGCGGCATAAAGAGCACCGCACAAACACCGACCCGATTATGCCATCTTTTTTTCGTATTTTTATTTTATTCCGTATTTTTACTTTATTTCTCTCGTATTTATTTTCTTTACGTATATATAAATCTTGGAAAATACAAATGAATATATTATATAAATATAGATCTCATATAAACACTGTTTTATTTAACGGGAAACATAACCACGCATATAAAAAAGCAATCCTTCCGCAAACTTTTTGTATATATTTGAAAAAAATCCTAAATTAAATTGCAAAGATACAGCAACGCTCTTTCTGAAATTTCTTTGACTGGAAAACAAAAATACGTTCGGCATGTGCAACTTGCGAAATTTCGTGCCAGGCAAATATTCGAATTCTGACTGACAGCTCGACATGTCAATTTTCAAATCTTCCGAATCGTCTTTTGTCACACATCGAGCAACATTCCGTCGCGTTTTCGCGCGTTCAAATATTTTCACTTCTTCCCTTGACCGTGTTCAGCAGAAGAAGCTGCTTATTAAATGCTTAGTGATTATTATCTATGATTGGTGTGTTCTCTCGGATCCTTGACAGATCCAGGGGAGCGAATCAATCAGAAGTGATAGTCACTAAACGCTTGGCAAGCAGCTTCTTCTGCTGAACGTGACCATTGTGTAAAAGCGTGTTTCTAATTCTACGCAAGTAATAAACTTCGGAGGCACGTAGGACTGAACGGGAACGAGAGAGAAAATTCGGAAAAAGATTCTCGAAAAAGAATATACGACATCCTATGGAAAAAGGGTGGCTATCAATTTCTTCGCAAGCGTAGGTCATTTCTGCTCGTTGCGAGCGTTTTTGCAATGTTCGTCAGAAAATCAAGTTTGAAAACTACTCGGCTGAATAATCACGCTCCGTGCCATTTGCATAATTGTTCGACGCCACAATTTCACATATAATTACGAGCATTATGAAACTCGCGCTTTCATCGAGGCCGAACATGACCTCCAGCCTCCGCTCATGTGTATGTGTGTGTGTGTGTGTGTGTGTGTGTTGTGTATGATTAGAGACGATGCGGAGGATCACATCGCGATTACACTGACGCGTCAAGACGAGAACGACCACAGACTTTTATATACAAGGTGTTCTAAAAAGATATGTCAACAATTTAAGAAGATATTCCTCACACCTAAAGGATGAAAAAATGTTATATGGACGTAGGTGCGGAAATATTTGTTTCAGGAGTTATGTTGAAAATACTGTTAGCTGTATTACTTACACAAGGAAAAATTTAGGATTAATTAATTTATTTATTGCAGACGACAATCGTTTAATTAGGCTTATTTACATTTGGTTTTAATGTGACCTTGAGTTAGTTAAAATAAATATTAAATTTTTGAACGTATCCGTGAATCAATGCGTCGACGTGTCACTGCTTGTATTCAGGCGAATGGCGAACATTTTCAATATTTATTGTAACTAACTCAAGGTCACATTAAAACCAAATGTAAATAAGCCTAATTAAATGATTGTCGTCTACAATAATTAATCCTAAATTTTTCCTTGTGTAAGTAATACAGCTAACAGTATTTTCAACATAACTCCTGAAATAAGCATTTTCGCACCTATAACATTTTTTCATCCTTCAGGTGTGAGGAATATCTCCTTAAATTTTTGACATATCTTTTTAGAACCCCCTGCATAAGCTAGACCGAGAACTTCCATTGGTTTTCGTATACAAAAGTGACCTTTAAGACCCGTAAAACATAAAATCGTGCACACATGCGCATTGCAAGATCCCGTTGGCATCCCATATAGCACAAAAGTTGCAGCAATATTGCTACAACTTTTGTGCTGTATGGGATTCTATATATTGAACGAACATTAAATGTGAACATTGAATGTGTCATTGAATGTGACATTGCAAAAGGAAATATTAAATATTAAATAGACATTAACATTTTCTGGAGTAAAAGTGCTTATACGGTTACAATCTTTCCGGGATTTTGAATAAAAATATTGAATAAATATTAACATTTTTTGGAGTAAAAATGCCTGCACGTTAATGAATATTTTTAGGGGACGTGTTAAAGAGACCAGTTATCGGTCTAGTATAATCGGTATAATATAATAATAGAAGTTTGTGCACTAGAAAATATAGTATTAAAATTGCGCGCATGCGCATTGCAAGGTCTGGAAAGGAACGTAACTGCACCGTACAGGCATTTTTACACGAGAAAATGTTAATATTTATCCAAAATTTAATATTTCTTCTTACTTCTTAATGTCACATTCAACGACACATTCAGTGCTCACATAAATATGAAATATTGGACAAATATTAACATTTTCTGGAAATGCCTGTACGGTGCAGTTACATTCCTTTCGGGACCTTGCAATGCGCACATGCGCATGATTCTATGTTTTATATAAGGGACGCTTTTATACATGAAAACCAATGGAAGTTCTCAGTTTAGCTTATATGTAGAAATCTGTGGTCTACTGTATAATATAGAAGTTTGTGAGAACGACATTTTCGCTACCGACTGTCGGCCACGCCGAGACACGCGTGGCCCACGTGCGTCGCGCGCAGAAATTTCGTTACACGCGTGCACATCCGTCTCTACGTGTCTGAGTTTGTAAGTCGAGGCGGTGTTTGTAAGTCGGGGCCACTTTCACTCTTCACTCGTTCAGCAGCACCCGACAGCGTGCTTCTCTCTTTTTCGTACACTCTTTCTCTTCGTTTTCCCTCTCCCTCCCCTGTTCTCGGTCCTCTTTCGCTCTTTCTCGCTTCATCCCATGCGGTCTCCGCGCTTTTAGCTAACGCGCCATTCGGAATGAGATACATCTTCCTCGTGAGACGTAACTGATCTTTACGACGACTCGACGTGTCGACTCTTCCTCGTTCGCGGTTCGAGAGAAGGAGGAAGAGAAGAAAAAGGAGGAAAGTCTCGACGTGAGATGTAAATTGTAAAATTCGATGCTGCCTTCTTAGCGCGCGAGCTGGAAGAGCGAAGCGGAGGAAGCCACGAGGAAGAGCATGGGACAGGGAGGGGGGGGGGAGACAGAGAGAGAGAGAGAGAGGCTTTCCCCCGTGCGTATCAATCTGCAGGATTATTCAAATATTTGCATGAACGGGCCGGTTTCTGCGGCCAGCTGCGAGCTCGCGCGAACCGTCTCTCCGACGTCTAATGCTCGTCTCTGCCAATGAGAAATCTGAAATTTAATGCGAGTTCGACAGAAGTCTCCGCCCGGGTGGAGTTGAAACGCGCAATCATCGGCGTGCGTTTCTTGTGCCGAATTCGGCGAAATTTGCGAAAAAATTGGCGAAAATTTCGCCGCGAAAATATCGTCGTCGGTTGCTGATCGGCCGCTCAACGAAGTCGAAAGTGAACGTATCGGCACGTTTATTTCGTGTGTCACACACTCGAGAGGGAAAGGAAGGACAAACACGCGTGTGACGTCGCGCAACGCGAGATTCCGTCCCAGTCAGGCTGGGAAATTCGCTCTTTTCGCGGCGTTTTTCGAAAGAGCGCACACGCATGATGAAGAGCACCTCGGATGAGGAGGATGAGGACGAGGAGGAGGAGAAGGAACTTCTTGTCCGCGCGGCAGCAGGCACTTCTCAGGCACTTTAAATGACCTCATTAAAGCCGGACGCTTGATCACCGTTCTCCGGAAGCAAAAGCACAATTTCATTCTCTTACTTTCTAAGGCGACGCGAGGTGATTCACCTTGTCTTTTGATAACTCTCTTGACGCGCGACTGGAGAAGAGCCCGAGGACGCGCTCTCGGTCGCTCTCGGCGGATACGCGCGCGAGCCCCGACGTCGCGGAGGGCAAGGCGAAACAGACAGGATATATCGAACGACTTACTTCGTTCACCGGGTCGAGCTCCTTCAGCGTCCCCTCCTCCGTTTCTCTCTTGACGATGGGGCTGCAATCGGCAATGGCGACGGCCAGGAACAATCCGCAGAGCACGCAGAAAATTCGCATCGTGTCCTCTTCGACTGTCGATCTGCGCTTCAACAATGGCCAGGCATGAGTAAAAACGGGCGTTTCTCTCTCTCAAGGTGACACAATTCCCAGCGCGACCGCGGCTCAAGTCAATTGAAAGTAAATTGTTAATGTCGAGAGTGAAAGGATGCTCGCGTAAGCTCGGTGCATTTCAAAAGCGACCTGCTGCCCGATCGTTTTGAGCCTGTCTTCACGGTTAATTGTTGCCCAGTCCCGAATGCCGTGTAATCGACAGAGAAAGAGAGAGAGAGGGAGAGAGAGAGAGAGAGAGAGAGAGAGAGAGAGAGAGAGACAGCTGCGAGCGAATCATGTGTTACGGCTGACAATGCTGAAGAATCCGCCGAAATGACATGGAAACGTTAGTAACGCAAGACCGAGTCAGCTGACTGTCAAAACGGTTGACGTAAAGAGGTCGCCCGTAGATCGTGTGAGACGGTTAACGCGCCGGATTATTACGTGGTTAAGATTAAGATACAGACAGAAAGCGAAAGCAAACAAGAAAGAAAAGGAGAGCGAGAAAGAGAGAGACACGTGACACACGTAATGCGAAAATGGGAGAGGTGAGCGAAAGACGCGAACGTGAAAATGGAAGAAAAACGGAAGAAGGAAGAAACGGAGGAAGAAAAAGAAGAAAAAAGAAGCTACAAGTAGCAGAGCAGCGCATTCACTCGGCAGACAGTCGTTCGTCGGGCAGCGTCGAGTCGCCGAAACGACAACTTTCCTCCCGGAGCGGAAATCCCGAAAGAAACACAGAAATCCCGGCGGATTTGACACGTGGTTAAAGTTAACATGGAGTGCAAACGCTTTAGAAGGAATGTGTGGACTTACGAATGCCGGTGCGGCGAGTGCGTGCGTGCGTGCGTATGCGCGTTCGTGCGTGCATGCGTGCGTGCGTGCGTGCGAGCGAACGAGCGAGCGAGCGAGCGAGCGAGCGAGCGAGCGGAGAAGTGTGTGAGCAGTTGTGTACCTGGCGAAGTGCGAGGCTCGTTTGAGGACCACGGTGAAGGAGGTCCCGATATCTTACGGAGCCGAAGGGGAACGCGAAGGCGAGCATGTGTGCCCCTTCGAGAATCGAGAATCGAGCATACCGCGCGAGTACCACGCGACAGCCTCGCTTCCCGCAGGTGGGGCGTCCTCCGGCTCACTCTATTCGCGAGACCCGCTCCTCGGCCTCCTCGGTGTCATCCGAAGACAACACGTTCCGCCACGAGAACACCCTTCTTCTGCGCTCGCCTCGCCCCCAGCGTCGAGGTGCTTCGGCTGTTAAATTCGGCGCGATTGCCGGAAGAGCAGGCTCGGCGTGTCTTAAAAACTTCTTGTTTGAAACTTTAGTTTCAAACTTGGTTTGAAGCTTTAGTCGAAACTTTAGTTTCAAACATGTCTTACGTCAGACATTCGATAATTCTAAACATGTGTTTTTTTCTTTTTCAAAACATGTTTTTTGTATTTAATATAATTTTTGGACGTGGAGTTGTGTCGATGATATAAATCTGATGCTTTCACCAAGTTTCTATTTTTTCATATTCTTGCACGTTACGGTATTACACACTACTGCGCAATCATTAAAAAATAATTGTTACATTTGCATGTGTGTATATCATATCTGTTTACTTAATAATTCAAATTTTGTTTATATATATTTCATAGTTTATTTAAATGGGATGATTTAGAAATCCTTTTTCGATACAATTCGGGATGCAGTCGACGGTTAAAAAAAATAAATTATTTTTTATGAATTCTCAGAAATAAAAACTTTTTTATTAAACCTGCTCAAAACATGTTTTTTACGCTTTTTTAAAAGATATTTAAACATAAAAGCAGTTTGTAACAGAAAAATATGTTTTGCTTTATTTATTTTAAACATGTTTTTCGTCAACCCTGAAGAAGAGCTCGGCAGTTGGCAAAAGAGCGCGCTTCAAAGATCGGACAGCGGAATCGTCGAAAAAGGGCAAACGAGATTGAGAATAATTCGACCAAATCAAGTCGGACACGAAAGTGGATACATGTTATTTTTAGATACTTTTTTCGGAGAGTACTCGACATACAGTAGAAATACCTGTTCAGAGAAATAGGCAGTACAGATCGGCTGATTGAAGCCTTTGCGGCACTTTTTTCTCGACGAGGAAATGGAAAAGTACCGCAACATTTAATGAGTCAACTGTACGTAAATTTGGCAGCGACTTTTACCCGTCGATATATAAAGGTTCTTGTAATCGTATAATTATGCTGTACATGGAACTAATATTTATCACACAGAATGTAACGGTGAATATGCATTGTTTCCGAAAAATGCAAATTTTAAAGAAATCGAAAACTGGGGCAATTTCCCGAAAAATCATAACACTGAAATTCAAATATTAGAATAACATTTCGAGATTTGAATTTCTCGACTATCATGGCTTTTTAGAAAATCGTGCCACTTTGTATATTTTGATACTTTTTTTCGGGAGAATAAATATATATCCACCAATAAAATAAACATATAAAGTATAAATACAAAAAATTTACCAGAATTTAACCAAAAAGCAACGTGTCCAATAAAAAGTAATTTTAAAATCTGTAGGAGACATATAGAAATTTGTTGTTATTTGTTATTAATGTAATCAAAAATTTACATCGTAATGATCGATTCAACACGGTATAATTGTCCTACAAATGTAATTAAAACATTGTGAAGCTTTTATCATCGATTGCCGCACGTTGCGACAATCATGAAAATGATTGGACGTCCCATGAGCGAACTTAGCTGCTGCGAATTTATAGAAAATTAATCGAAGACGAGTCTTTTCATTGGACCCTCGCGTTTCAACTTGCATCGAGTTCGTTTCGTGCCTGTTCAAAGGCGTTTGATCCTGCAGGATCATCGCGCCCCAAGCCGTCTCACAGGCGACTCCTTCCCGGGCATAAAAGGCGACGGATTGGCGATTAGCCGCGAATTTGACTGCTCGCAGGCATAAAATGTCTGACACCTAGGTTTGTGCTGCCGTTATTGTTGCTCCCACTGTTATTATTGCTGTTGTTGCTCGGTTAAGCTCGGTTAATCTCGATGGTCACGCATCTCGCTCAAGCGATGGTACGGCCTGACGCTCAATTGTGATAGCGACCGCTTCCGAGATGAGAAAAGGAGATAAGTGGCGGACATTAGCAAATGCGGGAGCTGCTACATGGCTCACTTTCAATCACGCTTGTTACACTCGCCGTCTTTCATCAAAAACCGCAGATAGCCGGCAGAGAGCGTGGCCGAAGCTGCGCGAAACGCTCGCTCGCTCCAATGGTACGTGATCCTGTGAGGTGAATGCAGCTTCTCGGAAAAGCCTCGAAGGCTCAAAAGGTTTAAAAGCTGGACTCTGGAAAAAATATCGCACGCAATGCGATCCGAGAGCCTCTGATCTCTGAGCTGTGTGCGGTCCGCTCGTTCGACCGCATTGGCCAATTCGCGAGAGTTCGCATATGTAATATGCATATTAGAGCCGCGATTGCGTAATTTTGAAGCTCGACGAGCCGCGCTCTCGCTTTCTCGACTCATTTTTCCTGCGTGCTACCCCGCACAAAAGGGGAATTATTAGGCTTGCGCTTGCGTAAGCGCACAGTTTCTCCAAATTGGACCATTCCCGTTTCCCTTATTATAGTATATACGTCGGGCCAAAAGTCGGGTTTTTTTTTTGGCTTTTGCGAAGCGATTGGACGCGGATCATCGTCGCTGGCGAATCGGCTCCGCTCGAGTGTTTCGCAGTTCTTCTGAACCGCTCGATCGGTTGCGTCACATACAGCTCGGCGAGACCCATCGCCCGGGCGCTGGATCTAGGACGGATCTTATGATAACGCGTCACTGGAAGTTAGCAAACTGGAATGACCACTTGAGGGAGCGCGCTTCCTGCGCGTCGATTATAACATTACGTTAATTATGCCTGCTTCCGCCGCTGCCGCCGCTGCTAATTATCGTTGTTGCGCAAACACGGCATTTGCATTTCGCGCGCAATTATAGCGCCTCACTCTCCGTTCTCCACGATTCCGTAAAGCGACGAATCAGAAGGAACTCTCCTTTCACCTTGACCATAATCCTTAAGGTATCGTCTTTTCGACCTTAAACACCTCGACGTTGAAACAACCCGCGTCACTCGCGCGTATTTTCTCTTCCTTAATTGCTCGCTCCAGTGAGGTAGTGCACGCTCCAGGTAGGCCGTGTAAACTCTCATCGCGCATGAATTATGCTCATATTCACGCGCCGGAGGATACGTACTGTGCATTCAAGTAAACGTTACTTGTCTCAGGTATCTGGCGAATTTTTATATCCGCGAGTCTGCCGCGAGTTATTCGTAATCATCGGATTTACTTGAAATACACTTCGAATTCTAATAAATTTAATATTTCAGTCAAGAATATCAAATTAAGACATAAATTCGATTCGCTTCCTATGTAGAGTATAAATTTTATATTCTAAAAAAGAGAATAAATTCTCTATAGAGTATAAATTTTATATTCTAAGAAAGAGAATAAATTCTTCTCTTTTGAATGCATGAAAATTATTTGTTTTTTTTAATTTATACTGAGTATATATTTTATTATTGTCAAGAAAATATCCTAGGAAAAGATTGAGGATAAACACTCAAAGGAAGGAGAGTAAATCGAGCAATTGCTATCTAATATTTGTTATAATTAATATTTATAAAAATATTATCCTTTTTAATCTTTTTGGTAAATATATAGAAAAGGATATACCTCACCGATTTTTTTCATTTTGAAATATGTTATAAAGGATGAAATTCTGAGTGACTTTTCCTCATACAATTATATGGGGATCGCTTATAGTTTCTGAGATATTTGACTTTAAAGTTTTATAATTGTACGTTGAAGTATATTTGAAGTAGAGGTAAATATATAGAAAGGGGTACACCTCACCGGTTTTTTCATTTTGAAATATGTTATAAAGGATGAAATTCTGAGTAACTTTCTGATACAACTATATGGAGTCGCTTATCATTTCCGAGATATCTGATTTTAAAGTTTTGGAATTTTGATTATCCTGGAATTAAATTCCAGATATCATAAGCTGACGTTATTTACAGTACAATCCAAACAGTTATACTCAAACATAGTACCCAGACAGCACACGGATGTCCACTGGACGTCCGTTATATGTCCATTTTTTTTACAAAAGACGTCCATAGGACGTACGTTTGTCACAATTTCGGACATCGAACGTCCTACAGGTTCGATGTCCAATAAGGACATCCTTGTTACGTCCAATTTATGTCCACGGACGTAAATCGGACATACAGACATAAATTGGACGTGAAACGTACATCCAATGGATGTCCGGTGCTATCTGGGTATATACATAGAAATATAGGAAACAATACATATAAGCGGGAGAAGGGCTCCGCCCCTCCCCCGCACCCCCTCCTAAAAAAAATCCTAACCTAACCCAACTTATTGCATCTTTATATATTGTTGGGCGATGTTGACAAGATCTTAAAAGCTACAACACTTAATTATATGCAGATATTATGATAAGTTAAGTTGAGCCAGGTGATAGATCTTAAGAGAACTTTTTTCAACAATGTCCAAAAATATATAAAGATACAATAAGTTAAGTTAGGTTAGGATTTGTTTGGTGGGCGGGGTGCGGAGGAGGGGCGGAGGAGGGGCGGAGCCGCTCTCCCGCTTATATATTGTTTCCTATATTTAAAGTGAATGAAAACTGCTTGCTTACTTGAAATATACTTCAACGTACAATTATAAAACTTTAAAGTCAAATATCTCAAAAACTATAAACGACCCCCATATAATTGTATTAGGAAAAGTCATTCAGAATTTCATCATTTATAACATATTTCAAAATGAAAAAAATCGGTGGGATGTATCCTTTTCTATATATTTACCATCTTTTTATATTCTTGTATAATTTTTAATTCGTTGACTGAAAACTGCAATTTTGCCGTTTTACGATCTTATTTGCTCCAACTTTGGCAACAAAATTAAACTTTCATCATGGAGCAATGGATTAACTTAATTTGTAAATATTAGTAAGTGCCATAGTGGAAGTTGGTACTCCTCCTATACGTGTGGTACTTATACAGGGTGTCTCATTATATTGGCAAATAAGTTTGAAGAAGTAGGCGCTTTGAAATGTATTTTGTGCCTCGCAATACCGCAACACTCGTAACAAAGTGGCTATGAACTATTCTACGCACAAGTTCTACATTGATAGTTACAACTTTTTTTTTCAGGGCAATTGCTCAATAGCGAAACCGTTCACGGTCGCTTAATATCGCCGTTTATATGCATCACGTAGTAATGAAATCAGGGCTTCCGAAACGGTTTTCGATAATGTAACACTACTATTCAGCGCTGAACGCGTCACAACATTGCGTTAACTTCGAGGCGTGGAATCGATACACATTACGGTCTTAATTTTGTGCCTAAACAAACAAAACAACGAGAGAACGAAAACGTAAGAGAACTCATTGATCGAAGTGAGAAAAAGCGAAAAATAAATTACCTGAACTTGAGTGCAGGCGTTGCTATGATGTAAATTATTCTAAGCTGTTAATATTCGTAACATTTCTAACAATAAATTATAAAACCACGTTTCGATCACGAGTCTGGGTCACCTTTAGTTGTAACAATTGACGATGTTAATTTTTTCAGAAATACTGACATACATGTGTATATTTAGGTGCGTTCAATTATTTTTTTTAATTCGAATATTGTCGGCAAAGATATAACAAGCAAATAAACGTTTGCGGAAGAAACAAATCACTTTCTCTTAATTTTCATAGATCGACTCTTGAAGAGATTAAGCGACATAATTAATATTTATCATACGTTAATTTGTGTTATCGTGACATGTTTATCAATCTTCATTATTTGTGATTATTATTATTTGTTTTATTATTTGTAATACTTTATTAATGATTATAAAATTATATAGGAATCTTTTGGAAAAGAAAAATTGTAAAGATTAATTAGATTAAACTGAGAAAAAAGTCAGGTATCATTTTTCAAAAACCACAACATTAAGTTATTAATGATTGGAAATCCAGAGGCTTTTTAATTAATAACTTGAGAATTTGCTTATTTTTGCAAAATGGTAAAGAACTTTTTTGATCAGAATGACCTAACCTACAATTATATGACGGCCATTGTGCCTAATGATAGATATGAGTATACTGAACTTTGAACCCTGAATCTTGAACCTGTCGTTAGGTATAATATCTGTCATATAATTATAAATTAGGTCATTCTGAACAAAAAAGTCTTACTATTGTATTTTCAAGTTATTGATTAAAAGAACTTTTAGATGTGCTCATTTTTAATCATTAATAACTTATTGCGATTTTTGCAAAATAGTACTTGACCTTTTTTCTCAGTTTGGTCTGATTAATCTTCATATTTTTTCGTTTCCAAAAGATCCCGTATGTATTACCTATTACATTATATATTACTTCATTGTTCGTAATTTGAACCAATCCACATTAATGGCAGTTTAGCTCTGCTATTGAAGTTGTAGCCTAAATCGATTCGAGGAACGAAGAAGAAAAAATACGTGAAAACGCATTTTGCAAATCAGCGTATCAGAAAACGAGAGAAAAAGGAAGAGCGTAAAGAAACGGAATGAAATGAAGGAAAAAGGAAGAAATGGTTTGCAGGTTCGAGCGGGAGATCGGCTGCTCCAGAAACGGGCCTTAGCCGTGCAAGTAGTAGAGATGTCGTATGGTCAGCCTATGAGAGCGCGCTCGTGAAGTGGCGCCGCGCAGCGTTTGTACAAACAGACGCAGGCGGCATCTCAACCGCAAAGGAACGCCGCGTGACTTTCCAATGAAAGAGAGAGTAACGCGCGCACGTCGACTATCTTCCTACGGGAGGAGAGTAAAAAGAGGAGCGAAGTCTCGCGCACACTCCCGGGCACAGGTGCAAGTTTACGTAAAGCGGCGTGACTTATCGCTCGAGATGTGACTTGAAATATAAAATTACACGGGTCAACGCCTTTCCGCGGGCACGATCGGCACTGGACAAAAATAAATAATTACGTAATCCCCTTTCGATTTTACCTGCGGACCCTGCTGTTGACGCATACGATACAGTCCCGCGCAGAATTCCGATGAGGATAATTGTCGAGAAGCGGGAGAGAAGAAAATAACAACTTCCTCGCGCACGTAACGGTACCATCGGTATAAGCCGGGTGCTTATACCGGGTGTTTCTATATTTGAGTACCCAAGGTCGTGGCTGTTACCCGAATATCTGCATACAAACAGATTGTTTTGATGGAATCGTGTGCTTCTCTTTAGGTGAGTATATTCTCCTCGACAATCGACGTATCGAGAAACATTAAAGTGAAGTCAACGAAAAGTTTTAATACTCATTATATTCATTATTATAAAATTAAACGTTTTTAATTGAATATTTGCTTTTTTGTTGACTTTGTCTTGATCTCTTTAAACGACTGGACGAGTGAATAAAAAAGATAATCGACCGAATATTAAATATTTTAGTACTTGAACATTCAACCAACCACTAATACGTGTAACTCCTTTTCAATCCAGTTTCTTTTCCAACTTTTGCTCTAATCTTCTTTCCATACGTAACCAATGCGTACACATATCAAATGTGAAGGATGCGATTGCATCAGAATTGGTTACATCTAAAATGTTGTAACAAACATTCCAAGTCATGTATGAAGAAATTTGCATCGTGCGAGCCATCACGCGCATTTAATAATATAAGATTTATTTATGGATATCTTGAGAGCGCGCGCAACGTAATGTTGTGACACACGTTTATCAACATCACATACGTGTCGATACGCACGACCTCATAGGGCAGGGTCCTGTGTCTGTGTCTCTAATCGACAGAAGAACGTAAGGCAAAAATTCAATTGAAACGGCTTAAAAATTACTTGCCCGGTATATGCAATCTTGAAGACACGTCAAACGCGCGCGAATATTGATTTGCCCGTGTTGCTCCTTCCGATACTTCTGTCGAGATTTCTCCTGATTAGTGATAAATCCACGACGTTTCGCACAATAAACGATGCGTACAGACGACTCGGTGAAATTTGACGTTCTTGATTAGCCAGGCTTCGCTCGATTATTCTTCTCGGCTGACCGAGAAGTTTGCCGTCGACAATCGCATAGGTTAGGTTCCGGCCATTTTGCTCATTTCATCAGATGTGTTCTCATTGGTTTGAATTACCAGCGACTTTTCGCTCGATTCTTCGAATATAGAAATGCTGTTGTATCGACAGAATTGGTCAATAGCTTCGCGATAAATAATAAGTATAACAATAATAACAAGAATAATGATCATGCAGCGATAAACTTTATGAAGACAAAATCTCTTAGATGCAATAGCAAATTATTGAAACTAACATTATTTTAACAACTAATATGATAGTTAACAACTAATAATTAATAATTAACAACTGGTACATTAAAACCAACAGGAACAGCATTAATTCTAGCGATATCGCCGTTGGATCAATATGGACTCCCATTATGACGCTGTTGACCAACTTTATTGACAACGCAGCTTTTTTCACCGGGACTACTGTATTTCACTCACCTTCGTGTAGCAGAAAGGCCCCTCCTCGCAGCGGCCTAGCCGAGCTCTCGATCACGTCGACCTCAAAGCCGCGCAGGACACGTATCCGGCTAAACTCACATAATAGTTCACCGTCGCGGTTCACCGACACGCGACACTCGAAAGACCGTAACCTTTGCCGCGAACGTCCTCTCGATCATCGAAAGCGAGACGCGCGGAGGGACCGCGGCGGATTTCGCCAGTCATCGAAGGAGGCACTGCCGAAACGGATCGCGAAAGGCCGGCAAGTGGTTGCCTCGCGGCGCCGCCGATAGATAGAAACTTTGATAGCGCGGCCGGAATAACGGCGAGGAGCAGCCACGCGTTCGCCGCTCGTTCGGCCAGTCGCGAAGGAAAGTCGCGACGGGGAAATTACCGGCGCGAAGCAACACGTAGCACCATGGCGGCACGAGCCGGTGAGCAGTGCCGAAGAAATTGGTCCTGCAATTTCAGCCTCGCGTGACACGCGTGGAACAGCCTTGTTTTATGCGTCACCTTGACGGATCGATGATAGGATCGATGGATCTGATTAGCGGCACGCTAGCCGGAACAAGCGGCAGTTGCTTTTGCGATTCTTCTGGGAAATGATATGTAAGAAAATTCGGAAGTCTTCGGCCTGAAGTAAAAAAAAAAATGGTAAAATGAGACAACCATTTTCATTTCTTCGTACAATCGCTCTTTATTTCGATACATTTTTTAGAACGACGAATTAATTGTTCTGTGTTGCGGAAATTTTCGCCTCTTTCTTTATCATTGGTAAATTTTTTCCATTCAAGTCGAGCTTCAATTTTGGAGGTAAAAGATTACTACTTTTTTTATATTCTTGGGCAATTTTTGGACTTCATTACGTAGATTTATCCATTATAGCTGCACTTTCTATATTATATCTTGTAATCAATAAAATCTTTTAACAAATTAGGAAAACCCACTATTGATTGAGATTTTCATAATTTGCACCTTGGTCCGCTTTTAGTCGTTTTATAATTTTCTATATTCTTCTCTTTTCCCCACCGAGACCTAAAGGCATACCTACTTCATTTTAAACGCAGATGATGCGGAGGCTCCTACTTTCCACCACGCGCTGCCAGTTTTTTCATATCTGCACATTTTACTCAACTATTTCCTGGTCTCCATGTTTCTCCGCTAATTTTCTAGGATACTATTATTTTCTTTTGGGTCAGACGTAAAACTAATTTTCATGTATCGTCTTGTTCTTTGCGTACTGACACCTTTGAGTACCACATGGGGAGAAATGTAATTTCGGACATGTTGGAATAAATCTTGATTTAATATTACTATTGACATGAAGTTACTGTAATAACAATATAATATGTTAGTTTTAAAAATGTCGCTATGGTGAATTAAGAAAATTTATTCCATACTGATACATCATATTTCTCTGCAATCAAAATATTTAACAGTACTAATTTAATATAATAATTGTATGTTATATTCTCAGTAAACTAATAGTATTGAATTGTGTAATAAAAAATCGATTTCGAATTCTTTGGGTAAAACTAAATGTTTATATTTTTATGGCGTTATCATTTTTATGACATAATGCGTATCGTTTTAATCTACTACTGGCCAAAATACATTTTACCTGGAAAACTTGAAATTCTTTTTGGGAAACAACCCAGTAATGATAATAATTATAATAATAAAATTAATAATAATATCACTCACTCGGCGGTGAGTTTCTCAGAAAATTATAGACATGCGAGGTCCAAAGAATGCGGCCGAACGGAAGCAAGAGGATCTTGCGGTTCAAACAGGACACATGGAAGAAAGTAAAAATATTGCGTAATATTCCTGAAAAAGAAAAAGCGAATACGCATCTTACTCTGGGATGTTCCAATGCGATATTAATGCGGAGTGATATAACGAACGGATTTCGTAACAGAGGATGCATAAATTTTCGCATGTGGCGCAATATTTTTCATACGAGACGTTCAAAACAGATCGAAATTGTCAGTCGATAACTCAGTTTGCAATCATCATCTGTGAGCGATATAATCCCAAAGAATTCGCCGAGCAATGACGCTTTTACCACGTCGTGCGATTCACATTTTGTCCGAAACTCGAAGAGATCCTTTTCTTTCCACACGCGAGGCAAAAAAGAAATCTACGCTTCGGCAAGAGTTCATCCGGATAATGTCAAAGTCCTCTTCCCAATATACGGTTTTACGTAAGTGGTGCACCACGTGTTTGGTCGGTTCGTGCGTGCGTGCGTGAGTGCGTGTGGTCAATGTGCGCGATGACACGCCGGCCGTTGTTCAATCCCGGCCGTGTAACCCGAATAAATATCGTCCTTTACTTTCTCCGAGCGACTGTGCGCCTACACGAAACTTCCTCTATCGTCGTTGCGAGCCGTATCGGGCGTGCGCTAAGAAATTTATCGTAATGGGCATGACATGTCTTGCAGCGTTCATAAGAATGGGAGTAAAAGTCGATTACGTAGGTTGCGCGATGAATATTTTATCCTTGAGAGCGACCCCTCCTTCGACCGCGAGCGTTAGATAAAGGAAACATTTCCCGTTTAACTCGGTCTCTGCCTTTTATTGTATTTATAACGCTGTATTCATAACGATGCGAGAGAGACAATACAAGCTCCTGGATTATTTACGTATCACTAGGTAAAAGTAAAGTAGGCTTGTGACATTCTAAAGCTTAGTCATCCTTGAGAAAGTGATACTGATGAGATGAGAGAAAGAGAGAAATGGAGGGGGGGGAGAAAGTAAAATTATTGCGGTACGTTATTACAGATGTTTTTTCATTTTGGTATAATTATTTCGTATTGTAAACCTTTTTTCTTCTCTCCTCTCTCTTTTTTGCCTTCTCTTGTAGATTGTAACCATTGCACATGTAAATAATTAAATAATATCTATCGTGTGTCCATTAAGTAATATGATATAAATTATATTATTGAAATTATATTATTAATTATATTGCTATTATTATTATTATATTATTGTATTATTTATATGTGTGTGTATCCATTAAAGGGAAAAAGATTCTCATAAATTAATAAATGTATTATTTCTCGAGTCATAATTTCTCAATTATAATGAGCACCTCGTGAAAATCTACACACGACACATTTCGCTCCGGAAGTCCATTTCACAGCTCCACTCGAACACGTGAGCATTCAGCGAGATGAGAGATTGCGCGACGACGGGACATCAATCTCGATTATATTTTACGCGACGTAAGAAAAGGTGCAATAGGCGGCCGAGAGAGATAATAACCGAAGCGTGCAATATAGATAATGACAGGTCTGATCGAATCTATATCGTCGTGCCGCTGTACTGCCCCAGCGTGCTTACGTAATTGACAATAGACATGTATTGCCCACTGTTTTGCAACTGGGTGATAATTTCAACGAATCTCCCGACGTAGCTTCCGTGTTTTATTGCCCCGCCCCGAATATTAAAAATAATACAAATGCGAGTGGGACGAGCCGTCGTAGAACGGTAGCTTCTGCGATATTCTGAAATTGAAGCAAAAGTTTTCGCACAGAAACAAGATTCTCCCAGAAGTGTGAATTCCGAATGTGCGAATGTCCTGAAATTGACGATTTCACTGTATTGTCAATTGAGAATTTTATTCTTGAGAATTTTATTTCACAAAATGATGAGTTTTCTGCCTGGAACAAAACTAGAAATAATGGGTACTTTTTTTTTTAGTAAATAAACTCGATATATTGTTACGACGGGGTCAAGTAGGTAATGTTGTTATGAGAAACGAGGTCTATGTTGCATCCGTGAATATTCTGAGAAACTTCCACGCGAGTTTCCGCAAAATCCATCGATTTGAGGATACGATGACCCCACACACTCGCGTAATGACTCCTGTCTACGTTGCAATACGGAAAGCACAAGCGCAAAAAGCGGAAAGATTAATATCATATAATAACGCATTATTACGTCACACAAATTACAGCTGTCGCGCAAAATGGGGCGCTGCTTGGCCCGCGATTGTCTCGCGGACACGGATACTTAGCTAACGACGCGAGATTTTTGTGGAACGCCGATTCGTTGCCGTCACGTGCGCTTTCACGCGTTCGATTTACGCGCCTTCGTCGCGTATTTGTCTCGCACAAATTTCCAAATCATACCGTTACTTCGTTTATTTGTCGTCTAATTCGTCTCAACGAGACTTTAGCAGAACGGTCGAATAAAAACAATGTTCTTTTGCCGTGTATTTTTGTCTTAAACAAAGCACGATAACATTCTTGTGTCCGAAATCTTAACTTAAAGAGCTACTCTGTTTCGATGACGAACCGCGGTATAACTTTAGGAGATTACGATCTAGTTTTGAGAATTCTTTTTTCTCAAAAACTGATTTTCTTAAACAAGATAATGAACAAATACTTGAATCAAAATATTTTCCTTCGTTTTCTACAACGTTTTCCCATTTTTCTGGCAAGAGATGGATTCTGCGGCGATAAAAAGATTCTTCTTTGGAGTTGATATAATTTGCAACCAATTTTCGCATTAATATTGCGCCTCAAAATGGATGTTGCTGGTTGGCCTGGATCAACCCATGATCTTTTGTGTTTGGGATCGAAATAGATCCATTTTTCATTCCCAGTAACAATTCGATACGAAAAACTCTTAATTTTTTGTTTGGCGATCAACGAAATGCAAATGTTTAACCGGTTCGCAATGGCATTTTCCGATAATTGATGAGGAACCCATTTTCTCTCTTTGTGAATCTTTCCTATAATCGTGTAAATGTTAAGTAACTATTGTACGATCAACATTTAATGTTCTGGCAAGTTTCGAAGTGGATCGTGCTTGATTTTCGTCCAATAATGTTTGCAAATTTGCATTTTCAAGCTTTTTTCGTCGTCTCGAGCGAACTTTGTCGTTCACATTGAAATTACCACTTTTGAATCAATATTCACATGTCTTATTTAACGGAGCAACATTACCATAAGTTTCTATCAAAATTCTATGACCTTCAGCCGCCGTTTACTTCTTCTTGATTAATAAACAAAAGCAACGCATGTCGAAAATGCTTTTTGGGAAGCTTCATTTTTAAGATGATATTAACACGATTTTTGCTGCGTCTATTGTTAGTAAATGATTAAATATCGTGAATTAATATTAAAGCATTAAGAAATAATAGCTGTGATTGGACAATCTTCAGCAAAACTGACATTAGTGCTATCTCTTGTAAAATTCTCAAAATTGAATTGTATTCTTAATAGTAAGCTATTACTAATAACTTAATTTTTAAACACAAATAATACAATGTCATATAATATAATACATAATATATAATAATGTCTAACTAATATTTTCATTTGTTATTACTTTGTATTATACGTATATTGTATCAATCCCATTTTATTAATACAGTTATATGTGTTTTTTTATTCGCTATTATTATCTTATTTGTTATCGATAAACTTTATTACCTTATTTATAATAATATTATTTATAACAATTTTTTACATATTAATAAATTAAAAGATTTAATTACTTATTTTAGTTTAATTTATCTCATTT